TTATTTTTAAGAAATATCTGAAGTTTGCAACGCAGGACTTTTTGCGAGTTTAGTACATGGCCTCGTCTAAGCACCCTGGAAGTTGGGAAAATCTCAAAAGTTGTACAAACCATCAAATGCGGCTTGAATTCAATAACCTGTGATGTATTCTCCCAAAACCACTCGAAATTAAACGAAGCTATGTAAACACGGAAAAACCCATTAAATAACCTCTCCCTGTTGAGAATCACCCCCGACTTTTAAAATTCGCATGAATAAAAAATGAGACGTCATAGCCGTCAGGGCATCTACGACAAGTTTTGAATCAGTTAGTCTGAAATTCGAAAGAGAAACAAGTGTATATTTTCTAATGGCTGTTTTGACGCCAAAAAAGTTTCACGGCATCATTGTGATTCTCCAAAGTTTTCTGGTAAATGCATATTCGAAGGGAAACAGAGAATTTTGCGGGAGGATATTTGAAACTCAAGCTGGTAAGCATGATTTAAAACACGTCATTTCCAATTTTGTTTCTGTTCTATTATTTTTCACTTTACGACAGTTCTTTCTTGATGCATTTTAGATCGTGTTTTAACTAGACATGTCTTGCGTACCATTAATGTTTCTCACGACTTTGAATGCCAACTGCAATGCCTCGGAAGTGATAACAAGAACTGCAAGTCATTCAATATCCGACCTGGAAACAAAACGAAAAACCGCGTCTGTGAGATGAACTACAGTTCACGGCAGCTGAAACCAAATGATTTCAAACACGAAAAAGGATCTATATACTATGGTTCCTTACAGGTTGGTTTGCCTGTTTACATTTCGGCCTCAAGTCAGTACAACAAAAGCTTGTTAGAGTCAGTAACTTAGATCTGGAGTGCCCATAGGAATTATGTTAGTCCAGTGCTGACCCCTTACTTCAACTAACGCCAAACGCAAAGAGCATGTGAACTTAAGAATTCCACGATATTAAGAAAACCGAATTCTTGAAGTTTTGAGATGGCTGAGAGATCAACTATTTGGAAACATATAGAAAGTGATAAGAGCGCATCGCATCGAAAAGACTACAAGGGGCCTGAAATTTATTTCGGTAAAAGAAAAAATACGTGATAAAGCTTATCGAAACATCATTGCATAGTCTACCTATGAAACAGTTTTTTGACTCGTTCATTTATGACTCTAGATCTCGTGCATTGATGTCTCCCTCCGGCGCAGTGGAAAAACAAAGAGAGGTCAATGTCATTCAGGCTACAAGGGGAAACATTGTGAAAAATGTGAGTACAGTTATCAATTTATCCTAAGTTTGGTCTCTTTTCATTTCAATTATTTTATTTAAAAAGGGAGTTTTTTTTATTTCCGTTTGAGGAACCTGCTAGCTGTGGGCGCAACTCAAAATGCTATTCAATCAAGGCAAGGGTTTTTGCTCAATGTTAGCGCGCGCGCCAGCGTAATGTTTTTTTCTAGAATATGTTTTGTTTTTGCTTTTCAAGGTCATTTAAAGCCATAAAAAAGGCGATGAGCCAGGTTCGCACCATCGTTTGTTTTAGGCGACGCTCATCAACGATACTGTTTGGCTTTGCCTTTGATTTTCTTCAATTTGCTACGGTGAAATCTCTCAAAATTTTCACAATTTGTGAAATTTGTCCTCCCGATCATTTAAAAGCCGAAAAAATAGGGGTTACAGAGGAAGTTTCCTCGCTATTTGTAATTTTTTGTTTACTTCCTCTATCTCAAATTTGGCCTTATGAATTTTTTTATCAACAGGCACTAGGAAGGGCACAAATTTGTTTAACGGTCCAGTAAATCTTAGGAAATTTCACTGAAGGAAACGCGATAAATCTTGCTCGAAGGATCCCTATTTTCAAGTTCGTCGCAAAACATTAAGTTATGGAATAGGATTTCACCAAGATCTATACCTGACTGCATGGGTAAACTATCGAATCCATCGCCTTTTGGCAATCTTTCCCACGATGCTTTCCTTTTGGGCCTATGAATATTACAGGTGCAGTTGCTGGAAACCCTAGATTCCATCACATAAAAACTGCAATGAGTTAAACTGTTTTTAGCACACCCTTTCAGATAACAATCGTGCGTATCGTGCCACCATGTTTGTTTTGCATAGTGCCTTGTAAAGCTTATGCCATGTTTGCACCCAGATCTCGTGCCGTCAAAAAACCCTATGGAGCCTCCTGCCGGTCACGAATTGGTTCTTTGGCCTTCGGGGAGACAGGGAACTATTTATTTTTCATAAATGTTAAGACATTTACAGGTTTTCACGTATAAAAGACGTTCCCTACCAACTTGTTGATTTTTACTAAATGTTCAAATCGTTTTTAGTCTGTCCAACAGGATGGACTTTGTTCAAAAATAACTGTTACTTATTCAATGACTCTGCTATGACATGGCTCCAAGCTCGAACGTTCTGCCGCGGCCTCAAAGGGGAACTGGTGAAGATTAACAGCGCCGAAGAGAACGAGTTCGTCTGGGACCTCGCAAGAAGACAAGCTCCGTCTGTGAAATATATTTGGATTGGGCTGAAGTGGAACTCAACAGCGAATGATTTCTACTGGTATGACCATTCAGTTCCAGTTTACAAGAATTGGGCTACAGGTGAGCCGAATGGAAAGGCTTCTGAGCCATGTGGTCACATGTACGGTCTTTCCTCGCCATCTAGCGAACAGCGTTGGAACGATATCCCTTGTAACCGAACCATGGGAACTGCTTGCCAAAGAGTTCCCTAGCCCAATTAACCCAAAAGTGCTAGTTGTAAAGAATAGTTAACAAGTGAACGATTCCATTAAAGTAATATGATCATGTAGTTGGTGAAATTTGTAACCAAAATATCTGAAGAAAAAGATAACCGCTCCTTAAAATAAAACTTCTATAGAAAGAATAAAGTATAAGCCATAAGCCATGAAGGAACGGAGAAATAGGATCAGTTTGTTAATATGCTAAGATTTTAAAACAGAATGTATATAAGTAAAGATGATCATGTCTGGGGAAGTCCTCTTTTGAGGGAGATAAACTCATGCGTTTGATTAATACACGAAAGGCTGTAAAAACCCTGCATTAAAAAAAAATGGACAGATCTTGGCACTCGTGCTTTTGTTCTTTATCACATTCGCGGTTTTACTTGACATTCTAAATACTTTGAAATGATGCCTTGAAGGTCAAACATGAATGGCGATGAATAATTAAATAAGTCATCAGTATGGAATATTGGATGAGGACCACTTTTCCGAGGGTACTACCTTCGAACCTGTCTTAAGCGGTCACCCAAAGAGAAACCGCTTAATACAGGTTGGTCAGCGAATGATTGGTGTGATGTTCGTGCGTATTTGTCCCAACAGTCCAAAGATAATCTGCAAAGTATTAAGGATATTAGAACTCAAAGTTCTGAAATTGATTTCGGAGACAAACATGGGATCTTTTTTACTCGAAAGATTATTCTTAGTTTTATTTGTGTGGTTCCACTGTAAGTGACCGTTGAATACAGGTGGAAGACAATACAAACAGGCCGTTGGGGCTCGGTCAAACATGACCACAACCGCTTAACAGAAGTGAAAACTATTGAACTCAGGGGGTTAAAAATTTCGGGACTTTGAAAACCGATCGCTTAGTTAATATTCAGCAACCGCCCCTAGTCGCTTCGGGGGACTTCGTTGCTGCGTTGCGGCGATGCATAATTTTTGGTTTCTTTCAAACGAGTTTTAAACCGTACAAACAACCCTCGTTAGCAGGATTCATGGTGGCTGTTGTCGAATTTCAACTGAAGAATAGAAAAGCAATTGATAATATATAGATTTAGCCAAGCCTAAAAGCGGAGCTCGCATTTTTTTTTCCCGCACGTCTCAAGGGCACAACGCCTTGCCCCGGCCATGACTAGGACCCGGGTCGTCCGACTCGGAGCCCAGTGCACTGACCACTGGACTACTGAATAAAGCCGTGGCGTTAGCGAGCCCGCGGTACAGTTGACCACGCATGTTAAAAGTAGCACCCTGTACGGTCGTACGGTCGTACATCCAAATTTTTTCGGCTTGATGGGTTACTACTATTTTGTATAATTATGGGGCTACGCTCTGCGAGCTCCGCTATTAATGGTAATTTGTCGCAATTTTGAATGGACAGGTCTGTAAACTGCCTCAAATTGGAGTTGTTGAATGTGCCCATGCTTAATACATGTTCGGCTCCACATGAGTACTACGTGAATGCCTCAGAGCGTGGCGCGACCCCGCGCAAGAAAATCTTCAGTTGGACGCAACCGTTTACCAAAAACATGCTTTTAACGTCGGATGACAATGTTATCAGAATTTTCCCATATATCGTGTCAGAATAAAATGAAACATTTGCGTCTTGCGAAAAAGTAAACCTAATTATTACTTGTCTCAGCTATGACAATTCGAAATGGCACACAAATACAGATATGCTCAATGGACTCCAACCGTCATCAACTTAGATGATGCAATATGCTAATCAGGCTCTTTTTAGCGCCATTCTTGCTGCACTTACGGCTAATAATTACCACTGAAATGAATAACAAGTATTGGAGGGATGTCGGGGTAAACTAGTTATTTTTTGAGAGAGAGAGAGACAAAGAGAAGAAATGCCTTAAAGACCGACCAGACATACCTCTAAAATCCCCCCCCCCCCTCCGAAAAAAGGGCGCGTTCCGATAAATCTTGTAGAGGACGTTCCAACTACACAAAATTCCTCTCGAAGCCTTTGAAACCTTCCACTTCCTCTATCATTTGAGCATTACTCCCCGCTAGTCGCGAATCATTTCATTTCAATTAGCTAAGAGAATTTGGTGTCATATCAAGTGCAGTTCCAGCCGATAACTTTGTGCATTTTCGTCTCCTGTTGCTCAGCAATGAAACAATGTATTGATTCTGTCGAAAAAAACTAGGTGTTAAAAATTCCTAGAAGCAAAACGGTTACACTCAGAAAACCTTTAAATTTTCCCTTCATTAACAGTTACTAATCACTAAGTAAACAACAATTTTTTCCTGTAAAAATAATTTCCACTCCGTACTTTGGCTTGAATACCAGGTTTATTGACTACTACTCATTGAAAGCGATCAAAATGCTGTTAAAGCCATTTCAAAAGGTATTATGTGTTCCTATTTAACTGAAAGGAAACTATTTGTGGAAAAATAGCTTCATATCTACTAATATGGTCTGCAAGCCATAAGTAAGTAAGCCACAAACGGCATTACGTTTTCCACACCATTCCCTCGAGTTATTATACATTCCCTTACGAAAATGCGTCTATCTCACGTTGGAAAATATAAAATAACCTCGCGCTTATAAAATTATCTTCTATGGTACTCTCAGGTGTCATTTTTCATCAATCACTGTCTCTGCTATTTTGTTAACCTTCTGAGGCACTTTGTTAACTATTTCCAGCCAATCAGACAAACTATGACAATGACAGTGACAGTTAATGACGGCAAAACTCATCGGGAAGTGATAACGACCGATGTTGTTTTATTGCACAAACAGGCCTGTTCGCCTCAGATCAAACTGGATATGTCGGTTCTGTTCATTCAATTCGACATACAAATGTTCCCTGAATTAGTAACAAAACTATATCTACATGCACTACGTGTCATCTTTTCTTTTGCTCTTTAGTTTATCGAATCTCTTCTGAAGGTGATCGTTAACGGTCTGTAATTCGCCTATTTCATCTTGAGCTTTACGAAGCTGCAATAAAAAGGGAGAGAAATAGAATAAGAGCAACGAAAACTTGCCACAACGCAAACAACAACAACAACATCAATAATAACAACAACAACAAAAAGGGCATTACGTGAAGTTTCTACGTCTCTGTAATTCCAAGAATATTTGTCAGGAGCTTGGGACACAAAACACTTTCGCGTCCCCCGTGAAGATTCGACCCCCAGAACTTCTGATTTCAAAGTGGTAATCTTTCAGAATTAGCACTATGGAGTCGGGGGAGGGGGAGGGGAAAGAGGGAGGGGGAGGGGAAGGGGGAAAGGGGAAAGGGGGAGCGGAGGGTGAGTAATGAGCTAGAAAACAATCTAGAAACACGCATTAACACAAACCTCTCTTTGTAACTTTCTTTTTTCAGCTTTAACAGAATCCTCCGTCGCTTCCTGTGAGAAAGAGAAGTTTTGACATTGTAAACTTGAGGAATCAGATAAAAAAAGAAAATAAGAAACTACAAGAACGGCACTATGGGTAAACTGACATCTTAGAACTTAAGATAGAGTTCTCACCGCGGCCTCCGTCTGAGTCTTGTAACGCTTCACTTGACTTTCCAGTCTCGCCACCTAGAGCAGATTTCACATTCGAGTCAATAATGGACGGTAAAGAAGAACACAGAAGAAACTCACGCAATGTCTGTCACGCAACACTTCTCTGCGACAGAAAGCGAAATGACCACTTATTGCCGTTTTGCCTTGGGCCTGCAGAAATCATTGTAAAATCACTGAGATAGTGAAAGAAATTACGTACCAAGGGAGAAGTGTTGTTTTGGACAATTGCATGAGATAGATTTCTCCTAGTTTTAGTGACTTAAGTTCCGCTTTTGGCTGATTAACAATTTGTAACAGTTAGCACTAAACTCCTTCGGTCAGAAATCTTCAAGTTCTCTTGCAAAGAAGGAAGGTATTTGTTCCCCCTACGCATCCAGTAAGCAGGTATGTTAGGGTACGTTCGGGGGTTTAACTTGATCACTTAACATGTACTAGGTACATTCAACAACTCCAATTTAAGGCAGTTTACAGACCTGTCCATTCAACATTACGACAAATTATCATTAATATCACTTGCTTTTCTATTCTTCAGTTGAAATTCGACAACAGCCTCCAAGAATCCCGCTAACGAGGGTTGTTTGCTCGGTTTAAAACTCATTTGAAAGAAACCAAAAATTATGCATCGCCGCAACGCTACGACGAAGTCCCTAAAGCGGCTAGGGGCGGTTACTGAATATCAACTTTATACGAATGTTTGAATGTAACCCCAGGGTTGTAGATAAGAGCCGGCAGCCGGCGAAGTACGCCGGCTTCTCTGCAAGGTTTCGCCGGCTACTTTCATTGCTTCGAGAGCCCGTACAGTCATGATGTTTATCAGGTCTAAACTTGGGCTCAATAAGAATATAAATTTGCACTGCCTATCTTTTCTGAAAACATAAAAAGACTTCTGACCCAAGGTTAGTTTAAAAACGTTCTGATGGGGACTGTCTTTTTGACAAATCTTGCTGCGGTGGCAGGAAAGTACGAACGATATGACGTTTTGTCCGCCATATTGGATTTCGAGATATGAATACATAATTATGCGAGCAGGAAACTGGGAAAGAGCAGTTTCGGGACCACTCCGGACCCACAGCCGGTTACCTTTAAAAAAGCTCCGGCTACTTAAAACCTTAAAGAAAACCCTGAACCCTCTCTTATATTTTCACAGGCACTACTTAAACTAGAAAGTTTATCCCTTAGAGAACTTCTTGCACTCGTCACACAACCTTCTTCTCTCCTTCTGGCGTATTCCTATGTAAGAGTTTGAAATAGGCTCAGTGTCACTTGTGAGGATAAGACAAGAATTTCGATAAATGAATTCGACTTAGTAAGCGTTTTGTCCAATACTCTCTTCTTTCAAATGACTGACTGATTGACAAGTGGCATGGAGATGAGTTTAAGCTATTTCAGCCATTCAGTTTTACTTACAAGTCCTTCAAGCCGCGCATTGTCCTGCTCTGCTTTTTGCAGCTTTATTTTGAAATCATTTATTTGCCTACTAAATTCTCCTGGAAGGAAAGGGAAAGATAGCACAATAATTTGTAAAATACTGACACTTTGTACCTAAATACAAGTTGGAATACGTTCAACGGCAATTTCACAAGGCAAAGCGGGCCTTTCCGGTCAGCAGTCATTGTCACAGGTGCAAGATTACGTGGAACGCTGCAAGTGTGTTACCGCTGACATCGTTGAGCCGTCGAGAAATTTGGCAAAGGCCGCTCTTCCAGCGATCCCGGGCACTTTCGTAACTTTTTTACAATCGCTTCCCCACCCAACCCCCTTTACTTATTCCCTTTTTTGATCTAAGCAGGGTTGACAGGCGTTGGGGAAGCTTACTCATAGCTGGGTTGCGGAGATTTTCCAACCATGAGGGTGATATTCAATCTGAGGGCTGGCTCGCTGCAGTGGAGCGCCCTGATACCACCGGGCAAGTACCTTCAACTTCAGCGAGACAGCGTCTGTTTTGAATAAATCTAATTTACCTTAAGTCATTTAACGCAACGCATGTTTTAATAACGTGTTAATTCAAGTGGTAAGTAAGACGAAGAATGAGATTAGTGATGAAACTGTTACAAATTTTACTCAGCAATTAGTAGACGTTACAATCACATGATTAGGACGCGACTAGGCCGTCACTTTTATCGTTCGTTAACTTACGTTAGTTTGCATCCATAAATGCATTCGTTATGTATTACTGCGTTACGCGTTAATTCACCTGTGCATGTAAGTGAAATGAGTTTTAACTTAACCATGAAGCTATCATTTATGGCAACACAAGAACACAATAAGAAGAGGTGGGAGATTATTTCGGTGTCACTGTCACAGAATTTGTTCGACAAGACATAACATTGCAGTTTGGTTCATGCAGATGGGAAAAGCTAAGCCTTTCCCCAACACGAGAAAACCTTGCTTTTGCAACACGTACATAAGAAACTGACTATCTAGCCCTGAGGAAACGTATGAATTTTCTTTCCCTTTTAAGTGTACTGATACACAGGTGGAACCCACAATCCTAGAAAATCTTAAAGAACAACCATATGAAAAAGAAAGGCGGGAGAGAGATGTCCTAAGAGAAGGACATGCCCTTCTTGTCCCCAGAACAGGATAATTTTTTTTTGGCAAGGATCAAATTTTCACAGATCTCCAGCAAAATTACTTTACAGGTGCCTATGCACTACCAATTTTTCAAGCTACAGCTGAAAGCTGCTATGAGAAGAGCCAAACCCTGCCGGCTTGGTTCAAATGTTATCAAAACAACAGAACAATGAAGACTGGAAAAATAACCCTGTCAAAAATGCAATGAAGACTACTTGCAGTCTAAAAAATTGTGTTTCCACAATTGCAATTAACTTGTTGACGCTAAATCTCAACAAAACAACACATACTTCCAAGTTCTTCTAAATCAGCCGTGATTGCTTTGGGCGTCTCAATATCTTCTCTCTTCAGAGATGCTACTTCTGTTTGAAGATTCTTTATCTGGTAATGAAGAAAAAAGAGTCAAATAGAATGAATCATCAGATACATGTGTCATAAATTCCTCTTGCTTGTCACAACTTGAAATCCCCTTTTCAACCTACTCACTCCCAAGATCTCATCAGTCTTTTTTCTTACTGTCTGCCATACCATTCTTATATTAGTTTGGAGAATTTAGTATCGGATCAACTAATAATCTCAACTCCTTGCTAATATTTTTCTTTATTCCCATCACTTTTCTGCTTGATATTGTTTAGATAATGTAAGGAGAAATCAAGTCTGGATCAGGTGGGGAGTTAAAGAGGTATAATTGTGGACTAGTGACTAGTACCCAGCTCAACCTGTCGCATCCACATCTGGGAATGGAGTGATAGTGGAATCAAACCTCAGATGTACTCAAAGAAAAGAAACACACCAAGTGTAATTCACATAATGTTGCCATTTCTAAGTACAAAAGTTTGATTTTTTTTCTATTGCATCCACAGCCAAAATCTCATTTTCTTTCAATATCAAACAAAGCAGGACAGAAAAACTTGAACCAGAGAAAAACTTCAACAAACTAACCTAGAGATAAAAACAAATTGAAAAAAAACCTTTCAGCACCTGTAAAACTAAAACATCCTTTTCATCTGACAAAGATGGCCGCCGACTGTTTGAACGACTCTTTAGTGGTTCAGATACACTGCTTCGAGGAGGTTTTGTGGACAAATTCATGGGTCTGATGTGAACATGCTTAAGAGGTCACATTCTCTCTTGATGTTCTCTTGCCATGTCTAGGTACTATTCACAATTTGGAGCTGGGGAATTTTGGATATAACTTAAATTAAGCATGCTTCAAAACCCAATTAAAACTGTTAGAGTGAACACATCACCTGTTAGGTGTTTAATTATTAGTATTAAACTGTGCCAAATAGCTTTCCTTTACTGATTTTATTTAAAATTACAAAAAGTCTTTCTCCTCAAGTTGCCTCCATTTCCAGTCTCTCCACATTCCATAATGATGCTGTTCTGTAATGTTCAATAAGACCCATCCATCACTATCAACTTGCTTTAAGATACTTGCCACATCTGTGGTCTCTTGGTCCAAAATTCCAAGGCTCTATCCCACTTGTAATGAAAAATCTTTGTCTCGACCTATCCATCCTTACCTACCTCCAGTAATCAAAATTTATCATTTCATCTGTTGTCATCACTGCATGGTAACACCCTCTTGGAACATTTATCCCTTTTTCCTTCCTTAGTTTGAAAAGATATTGCTCAGTGATGGCGTTAAGGCCTTGGAATACCTTCCTTCCTTCCTTCCTTCTTTCAAATAGAGAATCTGTAGGGTTGGAATCTGTGAAGAAAATCAGTCTCCATTAGAAAAGAAACTTTAATGACACTCAGCTGATGAAAGACTGTCTTTACAAAACTGGTATTAAAATGCACATTTGGCCTACTTTCATTGGGTTGGTTGGACTTCTTTGCTAATGAAGTACCACTAACCTTGAGTATCAGTATGTTAATGATAATATGCTATGAATTAACTCAAGGGACAATGAAAACAACCTTATCCTTCTGTTAACCCACCAAACAAATTTAAAGCAATTTTTAGCAATCAAAGAAGGAACATCAATCATTAGATGTATTTATAATAATTTCCCTTAAAATTTATTGCAGACATAAGGCAATAAAAAAACATCCAAAACTGGTCATCAAAGGACACATAAAACAAAAGCAATAGTAATTATAATTGTAATAATAGTAATAATAATAATAATAATAATAATAATAATAATAATCCCCTAAACTACTTGGCATGTTACAAGAACAACTCAGCATAGTATAAAATAATGATAATAATAATGATATTCCCCTAAACTACTTAGCATACTTACAAGAACATTTAAGTAATAATAATAATAATAATAATAATAATAATAATAATAATAACAATAATAAAGTAAGAGAAAACCTAAACAGAAGAAAACTATAAATCACTCACAAATTCTGCATACTTCATAAGAAGCATCTTTGGGAGGCTTGAGGAGCTCAAACAGGACAAAATCTTCATCATCTGGTTCACTGGCTATAAAAAAAGCACACAATGCTTTCATTAGCAAATAACAAAAAACAAACAAGGTTTATAGAGATAAATAATTATGGAACAATGTAGCAAAAGACTCATCTTACAAAAACAAAGAGACAAAGAGTGAAAATGGTCAACATAATTATTAACTACCTTGAATATTGTTTTCATTTGACAGCTCTGTGTCTTTGTCCAATAGTTGAATGTCTAATGGTGAAAGAGGAGGGGGGAGAACAAATAGATCATCATTCATATCATCATAATCCTTCTCAAAATCTCCTGATTCATACTCACCAGGAAAAGCAACACCAAAACCAGCAGAAACCTCTTCCATGGTTTTTCCAGGACTAAATGGACTCACTCCGACCTGTTTTTCATTTCTTGATTCCATCTTTACCTATTCTTGCACTGCAGTCTTCACCAGCACAATGCACAAAACAGTATCTGCTAGTTTTTCATAAACATATTTCTGGCATCCATTGAAGCTACAATCTGCTAATAAAATATAGTATTTGTGAATAAGTACTAGCTATCTATGATTGCTACCTTAAACATACATTTATTGATCAAACCTTTATACCCTAACATCAATAGGCATATTCTCTGTACCATTCTCTATACATTTCCTGAGCTGTTGACAAGGAGAATTTGTTTAAAAATCAAGAGCTTTATAAGTTGTTGGTCATTTCCTTGATGATATTGTAAGGAGAAATTAGAGGCTGGCCACTCTTAGGGGTTAAAGGGTTAAGATTTTTTCTTTCACTAATGTATTGCAAACTGTACATAACTAGTAATAAAAGCAGATCCTATTTAATGGTTCAGAGATGACCTTTCTACAAGTAACTGGAGTTGAGGCAATGGAAGATATTGTTGCATGCTCAGTGTATTGTAGCATGATAGTATTCAAAAGTTTCCTGCTTCTGAATTCCAGCAGTGGATAACTCTTGTATTCCAGCACTGTTATTTTCCAGCCTCTCTCAGCTGTTCTCAGTTTCTCAGCAGGAGTTAACTGTAACTTCTTTTACAGTACTTACTTGTATTTTCCAGCCCCTGCAAGCTGTTCTGTCATTTTTGTTTCCCAGCTGGAGGTAACTGTTATTTCTAAGCACAATTATTTTCTGGCCTCTCTAGGCTGATTGGAGTTTTCCTGCTCGAGTTAACTGTTATTTTCCGTAAAACAGAATAATGTACATAAGGACCCAGGCATGAAGTGAAGAAACCTTCCTTGGAAACCTTGGAAACAAGACAATAATGTTTTTAATTGCTCAGATCAAACCAAAAAATTTTATTGTTTGTTAAAAACAATGTTATGTATTATAAAATAATTCAAATAGTACGCCCGCTCTGATTGGCCATAAAACCATTTTACATGAGCGCATGTAAACATGGTTTTCATACTGAATCTTCTCGCGGAGTTCTCCCTGCTATTTATTTAGCAGTAACTCAGTTTCTTTAAGTTTGTTTTGAGTACAGTAATAGAAGAAGAACATTTTCCTAATTTTTCTTTGGAGTTTAATTTTCTCAGTATTCAAGAAACGGCCAAAAAGCCAAATGAACAACAACAACAAGCATGTTGCTTTCCTTCATTGCAAGAAGAGGCTCTTTCATTAGTTATTTTATAAAAGAAATATAAAATGGTTTCTGTGTTTACATAGCCTGACGTAAACACTTGGGAGGTTGGGAGAACACTTGATAAGCTGGAAATCACTCCGCTTCGCGTTGTGGTTTCCTACGCTTATCTTGTGTTCTCCCAACCTCCCACATGTTTACATCAGGCTATGTAAACATGGAAACCATTTTACATTTCTTCAATGTTAAATGTTACATAATGTTAAAAATATGAAGGCCAACAGTAATTTTGAACACAAAATTTAATAAATTTGACCTGTGGAGTATGTAGCATTGCTTATGAATGAGACAAGAATGTGCTTTTAAATTTCCATCATACCTGAATAATGTCTGTGTAAAATTTGAGCTCAAATGTAGTGTTTTTAACTTATAAATCTACTCCTAGTAAGTGGCCCTGGCAACCTATCTTTACATGTAACTGCCAATAAAATAACCCTCCATCTTCATAAAGATCTAAGTAAGCTTTTAAGGCATTCCTGTCATTTTTTTAAAGCATGGCCTCACAAACTTTTTCTTTTAGCTCCACCGATAAAAACGTTTAGAGAAAGTCATATAATCAACAACCACAATAACACAGACACTAGGGAAGGTTCTTAGAGAGGTTACCTTTGATACTTTTATAACTATAAAAGTAATAGCTTTCACTGCAGTTTAAAGTGATTTAATTTTTGAAATACAGTTAACTTCTTCACTTATCACACAACAGCTGTGCAAAGCATATCAATTGTAAATAACAAATGTGGAGAGTTGCAAATTACTTTCAGTACTTTATAGTGCAAGTAATGTGTTCCTTACCATCATTTTTATGTGTTTTATTTCCATTTACAGACTCAAGTGGCTGTAACAAAAAAACAAATTCAAACAATTTTACCTCACTTCCTAAAGCAAGAAATCACAAGACTAAACAACAAGTGTAGAAACTTAGACATACTTAGGCTAGAACCCTAATTCAAAAATTAAAAAACTACCCCCTGGCAAAAATAACCAGAAAGAGTACTGGCAAGATAGATAACCAAATGAGTAGTGGTATCAAACTAAAGCTTGTGGCAATTCACCGACCTGACTATTACACCCTATTCTTTTTCCCCAGGTCTATGTGAACTAGATTTTGAGCACAGAATGCAATACCTCACCAAACATCTGCTAGGATGACTCACTTAAAAGTGTGCATGATTATCATCTCTTGCTTAGATAGCACACTACACTTCAATGTTTTTATTACTACACATATGGGGGCTTTGGTAAGATTGCGGAAAGGAGGGACAACATTTGAGCAGCTGGGAGGGACAAAAATGACAGTGTGGCAGCCATTTATTCCCACTTGGATAGCAAAGTCTGGGGAACCTTTCCCTGGAAATTTAAAAGTTTGGATGTCCAAAAGGGTCCATTTTAGGCCACTTTTTCTCAAGTTGGCTAAAAATTATATCTGCTACAAGGGAGAGTGAGAGAGAGTGTTGACACTGATTTAATGAATAGAGTAGCTTTTACATAACAAACTATATAAACATTATATACATAGTAATGTTGTCTCATAGATGATGTCTGTGTGGTCTTGTTTGATTTTTACCTTTGGCTTGCTCAAAAATATGAAATTGTGCCCTGGACAACATTCAATTTTGGGGCACAGTGCTGTGATTTCTGACACAGTATATTTAAAGCAATTACTGATGGCAAAGGAATTAATTGGTACTTCAATGATGAATGTAGAGTACAGAAATCAATGTAAACCATCATCCCAAAAATCATGGTGACTAGTACATTCACCTAGAACTCTTTGCACAAGAAAATCCTGGAACCACTCAAAAAGTCAAGCAGAAAAAAATCTGAAAAATTTTAAATTTTCATAAATAATGTTGTTGTTTTGTGAAATATTGCTTTCTACATGTGTCTTACCCTAAGAATAAAGGTGAAATGTACAGGCACCATCTTTGTCTGTAAGTGGATTGAATCTATTGGGTAAACACCAGAAAAAATAACAATATTGATACAAATAGGCTGAGGGTTTAGTATAGGTATGCCGTGGTTTAGTTTTATCTTTAGTTTATTCTTCTACTTTTAAAAGAGGCCAAATTTATAGTAACATATCATCTCACAATAACTTAGGCTAGGAGCTAAATTTTATCTTTCTTTACACAAAATGCATTTTTCATTCATATCATTAACAAAACCAAAGGAAACTGATTTTTACACCAAGGACAAAAATTAAGCACAACAGATACCTTTCATCTGCACTTTTGTTTACTTTGCTTTGCTGCTGGTTCTCATCCATGCCTGTATGAATGATATTAAGTAAGGGTGAAAGGATTGGTATTTTCTTCACAAAGATAGTTGCAGAGAGTGTCTCCATTGATATATGGATTACCAAACACTCACAATGAACGCCAACAAGACCAAGTTCTTGTTAACAAGTGTAGGAGCAATAATCGCTAATAATGGGCAATAGTCTGTATTGAATTAAGTATTCATCTGTACAAGAATTAGTATTTATTTCACTTTAATGTTTGTAACACACAATTGAAAAAGTATGTAAAATGTGGTAACAAAATACATATCACTGTGGTATTCCTCATAATTTAGTTCAAGGGGCTTTATTCTAAATAGATCAAAAGAAAGAAAGTGGCATACGTCAGCCACTGATTTAAATAGAAAAGCACATATTATTAAGTGATGAGTAATTTTGCTGCAAATTTGTGCCCTTCTGGGTGAGCAAAGAGCCAGCACCCTATCCTTTATAAGAGACCAGATCTTCATCATATGTGTAGGTAGTTTGTAAGTTAACTTTCCAGGATATGTGAAGTTTAACATCGACCATACATCCTAGCTGAATTTTTGGGTAGCCCTGTACATTTACAATGAATACATGTCTTCCACTGTACCCATAATAGCCACCAGTGTAGACACTATGAGATTGCTACATGAAACATAATACAAATTATTGAGGCTGGAAGAAAATCACAAGTTTTTGATCATTGAAACACCGAGATCTGTCCTGGTTTTTAATCGTGTAATATCTGGTGTTGAATGTCCCAAACAAAATAAAAAAGTCAGTCCTCGACACAGAAGGATTCAATGAATCCAGGTATCATGCAGCTACATGAAATCTACTGGAATTTAGCACAAAACTTGAACGCGATCTTTGAAGAATGGTTGTAATATTTAAAATTCTAAAAAATACTAGCACGAAGTGCAACGAAAACCTTACCTTATTGTACTAGCTCCAACAGAAAAGTAAGGAAAGCCATGAGGCTATGTCAAATTCTCGTCTTCCTAGGCTTTCCAACTTATGGAAGAAAATTTCCCAAATACCTCGCACTTAAAAACGCTACCAACCTATCAACCCTTCTGAGCAGTCTCGTACCCAGACCTTACACGGCTAGGCGTTTATAATAACACTATGAGACCTGGGTACGAGACTTGTCCGGTCCTTCACTACACACGTCAGCTATATGGCGTGGCTGACTTAGCATTTCTAAGCGTTTCTGACTTTGCATAGCACATAATGATTACGGAACTCGTCGTGTTAGGGCAAAGTTTTGAGTAACTGCAGAATACCGTGCCACTTTGGTCAACCTCATTTACATGCGTCGTGAGGCTTTCAAGAACGAGACATAACGCAATAGACGCTATTCTTATTCAATGACAAGTAATGAGAGGCAGTGAATTTTTATCCTTCTATTTTGCATTGACTGTCTTCACGATGAACGAATGCATTGCAGGCAAATCTCAGCGGTAATTTTGTTCGTAAGGCCAAGCATATAATCGAATTTGGGATCAATATCAGTATCTGGACCGAAGGCGCTATGTAACAGAACTATTTAATTTTACGATAAAACGGCCTATGTAAAAAAGTACCAGTAAGCAACCCCTATGTAATTAAGGTCAAATAAATGGCCTTATATAATAAATATTTTTAAAATGTACGACCTTAAAGTTATTAAGTGTTCTTAAAATGCGGCTATTGAACATTCGTAAAAAACGACCGTTAAATGTTCGTAAAATGCGACTGTTAAATGTTCGTAAAAAGCGACCGTTAAGTGTTCGTAAAATGCGACTATTAAATTCTTAAATAGCGACCGTTAATTGTTCGTAAAATGCGACTGTTGAATGTTCGTAAAATGCGACTGTTAAATATTAGTAAAATGCGACCGTTCTGCCTGCTCGCAGAGCCATCACGTAAACAATAAGTGAGTTGCCAGGAATCGGATACTTGCTTTTGCGCAAAGAGTTCTGGGTTCGCCACGGGGCAAACATTGTAACTCGCTAGAAAGGAACGTATGGCGAAAGGTTGTTTTGACGTCCAAAAAAGCGATTTTTGCGAGAGATTATAGCTTTTTCGCCGCAGTTTAATCATACGTGGATAAAGATATGTTGATACGAGGGAAGTGTTGGTTTTTGTTGAAATTACCACGAAATATGTTATAAAAAACACCGAAAAACTTCTCTCTTTGCGTAAGGTCTATTGTGAAATCGTCATCGCGTATGGTCTCGAAATATTACAAAATTCGCCAGAATCACTTGGAAATAACTCATTTAAGTCTTTTCAGTTGTATTTAAATAAGTACAGCCTGTTTTCATGCTTGTTAACGTATTAAATAGACAAATTACAACGTTTGAGAATATACCTCCTTTAAGGAGAGAAGTCGTTGTCCACGGAGATGGAAATTATTTTTACCGAGCTGTTGCTCTCTGAAAGGATGAAATAAGTGATGGAAAACATGAGGAAATCCCTCATTCAAGTGATAGTTTGTTTAAGAAAAACTCAAAGGTCTTTGAGTTGCAACTTTTCTTCTCGAACTCCTGGAAGGATCTTGTCAAGAAAAGCAAGATCACATGAACTCCGGCAGAATCTGTGGACATATCATCGGTTGTGCATCGCTCCTTAAGGGACCAATTTGTATCACTCAACGTCACAGAAGAAAGGGTTCAGTTTTGAGCCGATTATCAACGCTGATCCGTTCGCATTCATCACTTTAATGTACAGCAATAATATTTAACGCTCAAGCACGCCATTTCGATCTCCTGCTGCCTCAAGGTAGCTCTTCTAACGTTCTTTTGTATTATCAAGCCACGAAAAACGCTAGAAGTAGATCTAACACAGGTACAAAAAACTTAAACGGCTTAGTTGAGTTATTCCTTGGCGATTTATAGTTATGTTTTCAAAATTTTGAGACTATTACGCGATGTCAAATTTACAATAAGCCTTGCGTATGGAGACAAGTTAATCGGTAGATTTTACTACTTATTACATGGTTTTCCATACAAAAACTTACGTCTCCCTTGTATCAGCATTAACCAAATCCATTTTTGATAAAAGAGCGGCGAAAAAGCGAAAATCTCTCACTAAAATCGTTTTTTAGACGTTACTGGCAACTCATTCATTGACAGTGTGATGGATGAACAATACAAAAAAGGTGTATTAGGACCTATCAAAGTATTAATTTTCTTTATAATAAAGTTCGGATATAATGCGCGCTGTCATTGGTTGAAAGAGCGTGCTCTATGAGAGTATAGAGCATAGAGCTGAGCTAAAGCTGTCACGCCATCTGCCAAATTGTAATATGTTCGACCTTTTCCGGGACTTCTTTTTAGCTTTTTTCCGGTAATTGAAAGTGAAATTTCGGAACAAGCGAGCCGGCAAGTAGCAACAGAAGAACCAAACAAAGGTTTGTAAACTTACCAGGCGCCGTAATTTACGTTATTTAAACGTGAGCAGGTACGAAAATCCTCAAAGGAAAAACAAAATAGACATTCCGAGTTTTAAAGATTTGCACGCTCAGTTAGATTGCAAGCTTACGTACGGAAATAAAAATCAAACACAGCTAACACTCGTATAGTATATAAAGTTCAATGTTCAAATACAAAACTGAACAAAACAGAAATGATGAAAAATATAACCAAACTGGCATAACTGTTAAAATTAATTCTAATCATGACGGTGTCTGCGCGAATATGATCATGCTGAAGTCCATCGCGGCTCGCTTATCATGACGATCTCCGGTCATCACAGTAAAGCAAGCCTCAGAAACTACATCGGCCGCCCTTCGAGTAAAAAAATAAGAGCTTGCTCTGATATCCTTTCCGATGCGTTGAGTGGAAAGTCACATCAGTCGCTGCAGCCGAGTTTTGCCGTGCTGTCATCCCGAGCGATCTTCATGTTCCAGTGAATTCGGCTGTCGTTCATTCAAAAAACACTCGCCTTGAACAGTTTGTTTCCTACCTTGTCATGTGAAAAAACTCGCGTATTTTTATGAGCCATAATTCGGCTGAAGTTCACTGAACATTTCACTTCAAGATTTTGTATTAGAGACTTAACTTCAGGCAAAAGTGTTAAATTCGACCTGCCGAACTATTTTAGTTTGTAAACCATCGCAGAATGTGAACTTCGATGGTTTTTTAACTTTGATGGTTTGACACTTTTGACAGCTTTAGTCTTGTACAGCCAATCAGATTACTTGAACCATTCTAACAGGGATTCTGATTGGCTTATTGAAGCGTGCTCTATGAGAGTATAGAGCATGCTGACGACACTGTTGTTCGTTTGGGAATAAAATTTGTTTTGAAAATTGAAAGTAATGCTCGGGGAATTTAATGGATTATTTATTATAAAACAAATAGAGAAGCCTTGACTGTTCTCTGTTTCCCTTTCGTAAGGGAATGTTTAATAACTCGAGGGAATGGTGTGGAAAACGTAATGCCGTTTGTGGCTTACTTACTTATGACGTGCAGACTATATTAGTAGATATGAAGCTATTTTTCCACAAATAGTTTCCTTTCAGTTAAATAGGAACACATAATGCCTTTTGACCTGGCTTTAACAGCATTTTGATCGCTTTCAATGCGTAGTAGTCAATAAACCTGGTATTCAAGCCAAAGTACGGAGTGGAAATTATTTTTACAGGAAAAAAATTGTTGTTTACTTAGTGATTAGTAATTGTTAATGAAGGGAAATTTAAAGGTTTTCTGAGTGTAACCGTTTTGCTTCTAGGAATTTTAAACACATAGTTTTCTTCGATAGAATCAATACATTGTTTCATTGCTGAGCAACAGGAGACGAAAATGCACAAAGTTATCGGCTGGAACTGCACTTGATATGACACCAAATTCTCTTAGCTAATTGAAATGAAATGATTCGCGACTAGCGGGGAGTAATGCTCAAATGATAGAGGAAGTGGAAGGTTTCAACGGCTCCGAGAGGAATTTTGTGTAGTTGGAACGTCCTCTACAAGATTTATCGGAACGCGCCCTTTTTCGGGGAGCGATTTTAGAGGTATGTCTGGTCGGTCTTTAAGGCGTTTCTTCTGTGTCTCTCTCTCTCTCTCTCTCTCTCTCTCTCTCTCTCTAACACAATCTTTTTCATCACAGCTATTGCTTTCTAGAGGTGTCATTTGACGAAATGGCGAGCCACTGCATCCCTCTCAAAAAATAACTAGTTTACCCCGACATCCCTCCAATACTTGTTATTCATTTCAGTGGTAATTATTAGCCGTAAGTGCAGCAAGAATGGCGCTAAAAAGAGCCTGATTAGCATATTGCATCATCCAAGTTGATGACGGTTGGAGTCCATTGAGCATATCTGTATTTGTGTGCCATTTCGAATTGTCATTATAACTGAGACAAGTAATAATTAGGTTTACTTTTTCGCAAGACGCAAATGTTTCATTTTATTCTGACACGATATATGGGAAAATTCTGATAACATTGTCATCCGACGTTAAAAGCATGTTTTTGGTAAACGGTTGCGTCCAACTGAAGATTTTCTTGCGCGGGGTCGCGCCACGCTCTGAGGCATTCACGTAGTACTCATGTGGAGCCGAACATGTATTAAGCATGGGTACATTCAACAACTCCAATTTGAGGCAGTTTACAGACCTGTCCATTCAACATTGCGACAAATTACCATTAATAGCGGAGCTCGCAGAGCGTAGCCCCATAATTATACAAAATAGTAGTAACCCATCAAGCCGAAAAAATTTGGATGTACGACCGTACGACCGTACAGGGTGCTACTTTTAACATGCGTGGTCAACTGTACCGCGGGCTCGCTAACGCCACGGCTTTGTTCTGCACTGGGCTCCGTGTCGGACGACCCGGGGTCTAGTCCTAGCCGGGGCAAGGCGTTGTGCCCTTGAGGCGTGCGGGAAAAAAAAATGCGAGCTCCACTTTTAGGCTTGGCTAAATCTATATATTATCAATTGTTTTTCTATTCTTCAGTTGAAATTCGACAACAGCCACTACGAATCCCGCTAACGAGGGTTGTTTGTACGGTTTAAAACTCGTTTGAAAGAAACCAAAAATTATGCATCGCCGCAACGCAGCAACGAAGTCCCCCAAAGCGACTAGGGGCGGTTGCTGAATATTAACTAAGCGATCGATTTTCAAAGTCCCGAAATTTTTAACCCTCTAAGTTCAATAATTTTCACTTCTGTTAAGCGGTTGTGGTCATGTTTGACCGAGCCCCAACGGCCTGTTTGTATTGTCTTCCACCTGTATTCAACGGTCACTTACACTGGAACCACACAAATAAAACTAAGAATAATCTTTCGAGTAAAAAAGATCCCATGTTTGTCTCCGAAAATCAATTTCAGAACTTTGAGTTCTAATATCCTTAATACTTTGCAGATTATCTTTGGACTGTTGGGACAAATACGCACGAACATCACGCTAATCATTCGCTGATCAACCTGTATTAAGCGGTTTCTCTTTGGGTGACCGCTGAAGACAGGTTCGAAGGTAGTACCCTCGGAAAAGTGGTCCTCATCCAATATTCCATACTGATGACTTATTTAATTATTCATCGCCATTCATGTTTGACCTTCAAGGCATCATTTCAAAGTATTTAGAATGTCAAGTAAAACCGAGAATGTGATAAAGAACAAAAGCACGAGTGCCAAGATCTGTCCATTTTTTTTAATGCAGGGTTTTTACAGCCTTTCGTGTATTAATCAAACGCATGAGTTTATCTCCCTCAAAAGAGGACTTCCCCAGACATGGTCATCTTTACTTATATCCATTCTGTTTTAAAATCTTAGCATATTAACAAACTGATCCTATTTCTCCGTTCCTTCATGGCTTTTGGCTTATACTTTATTCTTTCTATAGAAGTTTTATTTTAAGGAGCGGTTATCTTTTTCTTCACATATTTTGGTTACAAATTTCACCAACTACATGATCATATTACTTTAATGGAATCGTTCACTTGTTAACTGTTCTTTACAACTAGCACTTTTGGGTTAACTGGGCTAGAGAACTCTTTGGCAAGCAGTTCCCATGGTTCGGTTACAAGGGCTATCGTTCCAACGCTGTTCCTTAGATGGCGAGGAAAGACCGTACATGTGACCACATGGCTCAGCAGCATTTCCATTCGGCTCACCTGTAGCCCAATTCTTGTAAACTGGAACTGAATGGTCATACCAGTAGAAATCATTCGCTGCTGAGTTCCACTTCAGCCCAATCCAATATTTCACAGACGGAGCTTGCCTTGTTGCGAGGTCCCAGACGAACTCGTTCTCTTCGGCGCTGTTAATCTTCACCAGTTCCCCTTTCAGGCCGCGGCAGAACATTTGAGCTTGGAGCCAAGTCATATCAGAGTCATTGAATAAGTAACAGTTATTTTTGAACAAAGTCCATCCTGTTGGACAGACTAAAAACGATTTGAACATTTAGTAAAAATCAACAAGTTTGTAGGGAACGTCTTTTATACGTGAAAACCTGTAAATGTCTTAACATTTATGAAAAATAAATAGTTCCCTGTCTCCCCGAAGGCCAAAGAACCAATTCGTGACCGGCAGGAGGCTCCATAGGGTTTTTTGACGGCACGAGATCTGGGTGCAAACATGGCATAAGCTTTACAAGGCACTATGCAAAACAAACATGGTGGCACGATACGCACGATTATTATCTGAAAGGGTGTGCTAAAACAGTTTAACTCATTGCAGTTTTTATGTGATGGAATCTAGGGTTTCCAGCAACTGCACCTGTAATATTCCTAGGCCCAAAAGGAAAGCACCGTGGGAAAGATTGCCAAAAGGCGATGGATTCGATAGTTTACCCATGCAGCCAGGTATAGATCTTGGTGAAATCCTATTCCATAACTTAATGTTTTGCGACGAACTTGAAAATAGGGATCTTTCGAGCAAGATTTATCGCGTTTCCTTCAGTGGAATTTCCTAAGATTTGCTGGACCGTTAAACAAATTTGTGCCCTTCCTAGTGCCTGTTGATAAAAAAATTCATAAGGCCAAATTTGAGATAGAGGAAGTAAACAAAAAATTACAAATAGCGAGGAAACTTCCTCTGTAACCCCTATTTTTTCGGCTTTTAAATGATCGGGAGGACAAATTTCACAAATTGTGAAAATTTTGAGAGATTTCACCGTAGCAAATTTAAGAAAATCAAAGGCAAAGCCAAACAGTATCGTTGATGAGCGTCGCCTAAAACAAACGATGGTGCGAACCTGGCTCATCGCCTTTTTTTATGGCTTTAAATGACCTTGAAAAGCAAAAACAAAACATATTCTAGAAAAAACATTACGCTGGCGCGCGCGCTAACATTGAGCAAAAACCCTTTTTTCTTGATTGAATAGCATTTTGAGTTGCGCCCACAGCTAGCAGGTTCCTCAAACGGAAATAAAAAAAACTCCCTTTTTAAATAAAATAATTGAAATGAAAAGAGACCAAACTTAGGATAAATTGATAACTGTACTCACATTTTTCACAATGTTTCCCCTTATAGCCTGAATGACATTGACCTCTCTTTGTTTTTCCACTGCGCCGGAGGGAGACATCAATGCACGAGATCTAGAGTCATAAATGAACGAGTCAAAAAACTGTTTCATAGGTAGACTATGCAATGATGTTTCGATAAGCTTTATCAAGTATTTTTTCTTTTACCGAAATAAATTTAAGGCCCCTTGTAGTCTTTTCGATGCGATGCGCTCTTATCACTTTCTATATGTTTCCAAATAGTTGATCTCTCAGCCATCTCAAAACTTCAAGAATTCGGTTTTCTTAATATCGTGGAATTCTTAAGTTCACATGCACTTTGCGTTTGGTGTTAGGTGAAGTAAGGGGTCAGCACTGGACTAACATAATTCCTATGGGCACTCCAGATCTAAGTTACAAAAACTGGCTAATGACTCTAACAAGCTTTTGTTGTACTGACTTGAGGCCGAAATGTAAACAGGCAAACCAACCTGTAAGGAACCATAGTATATAGATCCTTTTTCCTGTTTGAAATCATTTGGTTTCAGCTGCCGTGAACTGTTTTTCATCTCACAGACGCGGTACTTCGTTTTGTTTCCGGGTCGGATATTGAATGACTTGCAGTTCTTGTTATCACTTCCGAGGCATTGCAGTTGGCATTCAAAGTCGTGAGAAACAACAATGGTACGCAAGGCATGTCCAGTTAAAACACGATCTAAAATGCAACGAGAAAGAACCGTCGTAAGTGAAAAATAATAGAACAGAAACAAAATTGGAAATGACGTGTTTTAAATCATGCTTACCAGCTTGAGTTTCAAATATGCTCCCGCAAAATTCTCTGTTTCCCTTCGAATATGCATTTACCAGAAAACTTTGGAGAATCACAATGATGCCGTGAAACTTTTTTGGGGTCAAAACAGCCATTAGAAAATATACACTTGTTTCTCTTTCGAATTTCAGACTAACTGATTCAAAACTTGTCGTAGATGCCCTGACGGCTATGACGTCTCATTTTTTATTCATGCGAATTTTAGACATAATTCCTCAGACTAACCTGTTGTATACATAAGAGGCGCACTTAAAAATTAACATGTTGTGTTTTAGGAAACGTTAATGACATGATACTGGCGGTTCCGAATTATTGTCTTTGCATTTGGCTCTGGTTGTCGATTCCGCTAAGCTTAATGAGAATTACTATTTAACAAATAGAGAAGCCTTGACTGTGCTTTCTTCTGTTATAAAGCACGCAGGAAGCGGCTATAGCACTCAAGAAGTGTAGGGAGAAACACGAGACGTAGTCGACTAGTAAAGACAATAATTCGGAAGAAAGTGTGCGCATTTTCATCAGTCGAGAAATGTATTAATTTACACTTTTAAAATTCGCATGAATAAAAAATGAGACGTCATAACCGTCAGGGCATCTACGACAAGTTTTGAATCAGTTAGTCTGAAATTCGAAAGAGAAACAAGTGTATATTTTCTAATGGCTGTTTTGACCCCAAAAAAGTTTCACGGCATCATTGTGATTCTCCAAAGTTTTCTGGTAAATGCATATTCGAAGGGAAACAGAGAATTTTGCGAGAGCATATTTGAAACTCAAGCTGGTAAGCATGATTGAAAACACGTCATTTCCAATTTTGTTTCTGTTCTATTATTTTTCACTTTACGACAGTTCTTTCTCGTTACATTTTAGATCGTGTTTTAACTGGACATGTCTTGCGTACCATTGTTGTTTCTCACGACTTTGAATGCCCACTGCAATGTCTCGGAAGTGATAACAAGAACTGCATGTCATTCAATATCCGACCTGGAAACAAAACGAAGTACCGCGTCTGTGAGATGAACAACAGTTCACGGCAGCTGAAACCAAATGATTTCAAACAGGAAAAAGGATCTATATACTATGGTTCCTTACAGGTTGGTTTGCCTGTTTACATTTCAGCCTCAAGTCAGTACAACAAAAGCTTGTTAGAGTCAGTAACTTAGATCTGGAGTGCCCATAGGAATTATGTTAGTCCAATGCTGACCCCTTACTTCAACTAACGCCAAACGCAAAGAGCATGTGAACTTAAGAATTCCACGATATTAAGAAAACCGAATTCTTGAAGTTTTGAGATGGCTGAGAGATCAACTATTTGGAAACATATAGAAAGTGATAAGAGCGCATCGCATCGAAAAGACTACAAGGGGCCTTAAATTTATTTCGGTAAAAGAAAAAATACTTGATAAAGCTTATCGAAACATCATTGCATAGTCTACCTATGAAACAGTTTTTTGACTCGTTCATTTATGACTCGTTCATTTATGACTCTAGTTCCCGTGCATTGATGTCTCCCTCCGGCGCAGTGGAAAAACAAAGAGAGGTCAATGTCATTCAGGCTATAAGGGGAAACATTGTGAAAAATGTGAGTACAGTTATCAATTTATCCTAAGTTTGGTCTCTTTTCATTTCAATTATTTTATTTAAAAAGGGAGTTTTTTTTATTTCCGTTTGAGGAACCTGCTAGCTGTGGGCGCAACTCAAAATGCTATTCAATCAAGAAAAAAGGGTTTTTGCTCAATGTTAGCGCGCGCGCCAGCGTAATGTTTTTTCTAGAATATGTTTTGTTTTTGCTTTTCAAGGTCATTTAAAGCCATAAAAAAGGCGATGAGCCAGGTTCGCACCATCGTTTGTTTTAGGCGACGCTCATCAACGATACTGTTTGGCTTTGCCTTTGATTTTCTTCAATTTGCTACGGTGAAATCTCTCAAAATTTTCACAATTTGTGAAATTTGTCCTCCCGATCATTTAAAAGCCGAAAAAATAGGGGTTACAGAGGAAGTTTCCTCGCTATTTGTAATTTTTTGTGTACTTCCTCTATCTCAAATTTGGCCTTATGAATTTTTTTATCAACAGGCACTAGGAAGGGCACACATTTGTTTAAAGGTCCAGCAAATCTTAGGAAATTCCACTGAAGGAAACGCGATAAATCTTGCTCGAAAGATCCCTATTTTCAAGTTCGTCGCAAAACATTAAGTTATGGAATAGGATTTCACCAAGATCTATACCTGGCTGCATGGGTAAACTATCGAATCCATCGCCTTTTGGCAATCTTTCCCACGGTGCTTTCCTTTTGGGCCTAGGAATATTACAGGTGCAGTTGCTGGAAACCCTAGATTCCATAAAAACTGCAATGATTTAAACTGTTTTTAGCACACCCTTTCAGATAACAATCGTGCGTATCGTGCCACCATGTTTGTTTTGCATAGTGCCTTGTAAAGCTTATGCCATGTTTGCACCCAGATCTCGTGCCGTCAAAAAACTCTATGGAGCCTCCTGCCGGTCACGAATTGGTTCTTTGGCCTTCGGGGAGACAGGGAACTATTTATTTTTCATAAATGTTAAGACATTTACAGGTTTTCACGTATAATAGACGTTCCCCTACCAACTTACTAAATGTTCAAATCGTTTTTAGTCTGTCCAACAGGATGGACTTTGTTCAAAAATAACTGTTACTTATTCAATGACTCTAATATGACTTGGCACGAAGCTCAAACGTTCTGCCGCGGCCTCAAAGGGGAACTGGTGAAGATTAACAGCGCCGAAGAGAACGAGTTCGTCTGGGACCTCGCAACAAGGCAAGCTCCGTCTGTGAAATATATTCGGATTGGGCTGAAGTGGAACTCAGCAGCGAATGATTTCTACTGGTATGACCATTCAGTTCCAGTTTACAAGAATTGGGCTACAGGTGAGCCGAATGGAAATGCTGCTGAGCCATGTGGTCACATGTACGGTCGTTCCTCGGATCGGAACGATTGGAAGCATTGGAACGATTTCCCTTGTGAACGACGCATGGGATTTGCTTGCCAAAGAGTTCTCTAGCCCAGTTAACCCAAAAGTGCTAGTTGTAAAGAACAGTTAACAAGTGAACGATTCCATTAAAGTAATATGATCATGTAGTTGGTGAAATTTGTAACCAAAATATGTGAAGAAAAAGATAACCGCTCCTTAAAATAAAACTTCTATAGAAAGAATAAAGTATAAGCCAAAAGCCATGAAGGAACGGAGAAATAGGATCAGTTTGTTAATATGCTAAGATTTTAAAACAGAATGGATATAAGAAAAGATGACCATGTCTGGGGAAGTCCTCTTTTGAGGGAGATAAACTCATGCGTTTGATTAATACACGAAAGGCTGTAAAAACCCTGCATTAAAAAAAATGGACAGATCTTGGCACTCGTGCTTTTGTTCTTTATCACATTCTCGGTTTTACTTGACATTCTAAATACTTTGAAATGATGCCTTGAAGGTCAAACATGAATGGCGATGAATAATTAAATAAGTCATCAGTATGGAATATTGGATGAGGACCACTTTTCCGAGGGTACTACCTTCGAACCTGTCTTCAGCGGTCACCCAAAGAGAAACCGCTTAATACAGGTTGATCAGCGAATGATTAGCGTGATGTTCGTGCGTATTTGTCCCAACAGTCCAAAGATAATCTGCTAAGTATTAAGGATATTAGAACTCAAAGTTTTGAAATTGATTTTCGGAGACAAACATGGGATCTTTTTTACTCGAAAGATTATTCTTAGTTTTATTTGTGTGGTTCCAGTGTAAGTGACCGTTGAATACAGGTGGAAGACAATACAAACAGGCCGTTGGGGCTCGGTCAAACATGACCACAACCGCTTAACAGAAGTGAAAATTATTGAACTTAGGGGGTTAAAAATTTCGGGACTTTGAAAACCGATCGCTTAGTTAATATTCAGACAATTCGAAATGGCACACAAATACAGATATGTTCAATGGACTCCAACCGTCATCAACTTGGATGATGCAATATGCTAATCAGGCTCTTTTTAGCGCCATTCTTGCTGCACTTACGGCTAATAATTACCACTGAAATGAATAACAAGTATTGGAGGGATGTCGGGGTAAACTAGTTATTTTTTGAGAGGGATGCAGTGGCTCGCCATTTCGTCAAATGACACCTCTAGAAAGCAATAGCTGTGATGAAAAAGATTGTGTTGGAGAGAGAGAGAGAGAGAGAGAGAGAGAGAGAGAGAGAGAGAGAAGAAAGACACAGAAAAAACGAAAGACCGACCAGACATATCTCTAAAATCGCTCCCCCCGAAAAAAGGGCGCGTTCCGATAAATCTTGTAGAGGACGTTCCAACTACACAAAATTCCTCTCGGAGCCGTTGAAACCTTCCACTTCCTCTATCATTTGAGCATTACTCCCCGCTAGTCGCGAATCATTTCATTTCAATTAGCTAAGAGAATTTGGTGTCATATCAAGTGCAGTTCCAGCCGATAACTTTGTGCATTTTCGTCTCCTGTTGCTCAGCAATGAAACAATGTATTGATTATATCGAAGAAAACTATGTGTTTAAAATTCCTAGAAGCAAAACGGTTACACTCAGAAAACCTTTAAATTTCCCTTCATTAACAATTACTAATCACTAAGTAAACAACAATTTTTTTCCTGTAAAAATAATTTCCACTCCGTACTTTGGCTTGAATACCAGGTTTATTGACTACTACGCATTGAAAGCGATCAAAATGCTGTTAAAGCCAGGTCAAAAGGCATTATGTGTTCCTATTTAACTGAAAGGAAACTATTTGTGGAAAAATAGCTTCATATCTACTAATATGGTCTGCAAGTCATAAGTAAGTAAGCCACAAACGGCATTACGTTTTCCACACCATTCCCTCGAGTTATTAAACATTCCCTTACGAAAATGCGTCTATCTCACGTTGGAAAATATAAAATAACCCCGCGCATATAAAATTATCTTCTATGGTACTCTCAGGTGTCATTTTTCATCAATCACTGTCTCTGCTATTTTGTTAACCTTCTGAGGCACTTTGTTAACTATTTCCAGCCAATCAGACAAACTATGACAATGACAGTGACAGTTAATGACGGCAAAACTCATCGGGAAGTGATAACGACCGTTGTTGTTTTATTGCACAAACAGGCCTGTTCGCCTCAGATCAAACTGGATATGTCGGTTCTGTTCATTCAATTCGACATACAAATGTTCCCTGAATTAGTAACAAAACTATATCTACATGCACTACGTGTCATCTTTTCTTTTGCTCTTTAGTTTATCGAATCTCTTCTGAAGGTGATCGTTAACGGTCTGTAATTCGCCTATTTCATCTTGAGCTTTACGAAGCTGCAATAAAAAGGGAGAGAAATAGAATAAGAGCAACGAAAACTTGCCACAACGCAAACAACAACAACAACAACAACAACAAAAAAAGGGCATTACGTGAAGTTTCTACGTCTCTGTAATTCCAAGAATATTTGTCAGGAGCTTGGGACACAAAACACTTTCGCGTCCCCCGTGAAGATTCGACTCCCAGAACTTCTGATTTCAAAGTGGTAATCTTTCAGAATTAGCACTATGGAGTCGGGGGAGGGGGAGGGGAAAGAGAGAGGGGGAGGGGAAGAGGGAGAGGGGGAGCGGAGGGTGAGTAACGAGATAGAAAACAATCTAGAAACATGCATTAACACACACCTCTCTTTGCAACTTTCTTTTTTCAGCTTTAAGAGAATCCTCCGTCGCTTCCTGTGAGAAAGAGAAGTTTTGAAATTGTAAACTTGAGGAATCAGATAAAAAAAGGAAATAAGAAACTACAAGAACGGCACTATGGGTAAACTGACATCTTAGAACTTAAGATAGAGTTCTCACCGCGGCCTCCGCCTGAGTCTTGTAACGCTTCACTTGACTTTCCAGTCTCGCCACCTAGAGCAGATTTTACATTCGAGTCAATAATGGACGGTAAAGAAGAACACAGAAGAAACTCACGCAATGTCTGTCACGCAACACTTCTCTGCGACAGAAAGCGAAATGACCACTTATTGCCGTTTTGCCTTGGGCCTTCGGAAATCATTGTAAAATCACTGAGATAGTGAAAGAAATTACGTACCAAGGGAGAAGTGTTGTTTTGGACAATTGCATGAGTTAGATTTCTCCTAGTTTTAGTGACTTAAGTTCCGCTTTTGGCTCATTAACAATTTGTAACAGTTAGCACTAAACTCCTTCGGTCAGAAATCTTTAAGTTCTCTTGCAAAGAAGGAAGGTATTTGTTCCCCCTTCGCATCCAGTAAGCAGGTATATTAGGGTACGTTCGGGGGTTTAACTTGATCACTTAACATGTACTAGGTACATTCTACAACTCCAATTTAAGGCAGTTTACAGACCTGTCCATTCAACATTACGACAAATTATCATTAATATCACTTGCTTTTCTATTCTTCAGTTGAAATTCGACAACAGCCTCCAAGAATCCCGCTAACGAGGGTTGTTTGCTCGGTTTAAAACTCATTTGAAAGAAACCAAAAATTATGCATCGCCGCAACGCTGCGACGAAGTCCCTAAAGCGGCTAGGGGCGGTTGCTGAATATCAACTTTAAACGAACGTTTGAATGTAACCCCAGGGTTGTAGATAAGAGCCGGCAGCCGGCGAAGTACGCCGGCTTCTCTGCAAGGTTTCGCCGGCTACTTTCATTGCTTCGAGAGCCCGTACAGTCATGATGTTTATCAGGTCTAAACTTGGGCTCAATAAAAATATAAATTTGCACTGCCTATCTTTTCTGAAAACATAAAAAGACTTCTGACCCAAGGTTAGTTTAAAAACGTTCTGATGGGGACTGTCTTTTTGACAAATCTTGCTGCGGTGGCAGGAAAGTACGAACGATATGACGTTTTGTCCGCCATATTGGATTTCGAGATATGAATACATAATTATGCGAGCTGGAAACTGGGAAAGAGCAGTTTCGAGACCACTCCGGACCCACAGCCGGTTACCTTTAAAAAAAGCTCCGGCTACTTAAAACCTTAAAAAAAAACCCGTGAACCCTCTCTTATATTTTCACAGGCACTACTTAAACTAGAAAGTTTATCCCTTAGAGAACTACTTGCACTCGTCACACAACCTTCTTCTCTTCTTCTGGCGTATTCCTATGCAAGAGTTTAAAATAGGCTCAGTGTCACTTGTGAGGATAAGACAAGAATTTCGAGAAATGAATTCGACTTAGTAAGCGTTTTGTCTAATACTCTCTTCTTTCAAATGACTGACTGATTGACAAGTGGCATGGAGATGAGTTTAAGCTATTTCAGCCATTCAGTTTTACTTACAAGTCCTTCAAGCCGCGCATTGTCCTGCTCTGCTTTTTGCAGCTTTATTTTGAAATCATTTATTTGCCTACTAAATTCTCCTGGAAGGAAAGGGAAAGATAGCATAATAATTTGTAAAATACTGACACTTTGTACCTAAATACAAGTTGGAATACGTTCAACGGCAATTTCACAAGGCATAGCGGGCCTTTCCGGTCAGCAGTCATTGTCACAGGTGCAAGCTTACGTTGAACGCTGCAAGTGTGTTACCGCTGACATCGTTGAGCCGTCGAGAAATTTGGCAAAGGCCGCTCTTCCAGCGATCCCGGGCACTTTCGTAACTTTTTTACAATCGCTTCCCCACCCAACCCCCTTTACTTATTCCCTTCATTGATCTAAGCAGGGTTGACAGGCGTTGGGGATGCTTACTCATAGCTGGGTTGCCGAGATTTGCCAACCATTAGGGTGATATTCAATCTGAGGGCTGGCTCGCTGCAGTGGAGCGCCCTGATACCACCGGGCAAGCACCTTCAACTTCAGCGAGACAGCGTCTGTTTTGAATAAATCTAATTTACCTTAAGTCATTTAACGCAACGCATGTTTTAATAACGTGTTAATTCAAGTGGTAAGTAAGACGAGGAATGAGATTAGTGATGAAACTGTTACAAATTTTACTCAGCAATTAGTAGACGTTACAATCACATGATTAGGACGCGACTAGGCCGTCACTTTTATCGTTCGTTAACTTACGTTAGTTTGCATCCATAAATGCATTCGTTATGTATTACTGCGTTACGCGTTAATTCACCTGTGCATGTAAGTGAAATGAGTTTTAACTTAACCATGAAGCTATCATTTATGGCAACACAAGAACACAACAAGAAGAGGTAGGAGATTATTTCGGTGTCACTGTCACAGAATTTGTTCGACAAGACATAACATTGCAGTTCGGTTCATGCAGATGGGAAAAGCTAAGCCTTTCCCCAACACTAGAAAACCTTGCTTTTGCAACACGTACATAAGAAACTGACTATCTAGCCCTGAGGAAACGTATGAATTTTCTTTCCCTTTTAAGTGTACTGATACACAGGTGAAACCCACAATCCTAGCAAATCTTGAAGAACAACCATATGAAAAAGAAAGGCGGGAAAGAGATGTTCTGAGAGAAGGACATGCCCTTCTTGTCCCCAGAACAGGATAATTTTTTTTGGCAAGGATCAAATTTTCACAGATCTCCAGCAAAATTACTTTACAGGTGCCTATGCCCTACCAATTTTTCAAGCTACAGCTGAAAGCTGTTATGAGAAGAGCCAAACCCTGCCAGCTTGGTTCAAATGTTATCAAAACAACAGAACAATGAAGACTGGAAAAATAACCCTGTCAAAAATGCAATGAAGACTACTTGCAGTCTAAAAAATTGTGTTTCCACAATTGCAATTAACTTGTTGATGCTAAATCTCAACAAAACAACACATACTTCTAAGTTCTTCTAAATCAGCCGTGATTGCTTTGGGCGTCTCAATATCTTCTCTCTTCAGAGATGCTACTTCTGTTTGAAGATTCTTTATCTGGTAATGAAGAAAAAAGAGTCAAATACAATGAATCATCAGTATCAGATACATGTGTCATAAATTCCTCTTGCTTGTCACAACTTGAAATCCCCTTTTCAACCTACTCACTCCCAAGATCTCATCAGTCATTTTTCTTACTGTCTGCCATACCATTCTTATATTAGTTTGGAGAATTTAGTATCGGATCAACTAATAATCCCAACTCCTTACTAATATTTTTCTTTATTTCCATCACTTTTCTGCTTGATATTGTTTAGATAATGTAAGGAGAAATTAAGTCTGGATCAGGTGGGGAGTTAGAAAGGTAAGTCTCCCTGATTTTTGTTGACTTTTGAAGGCCACACTGTATACCGTAGTTATTCGGTTATAAGGCGCACTCGGCTAGAAGACGCACCCCCAATTCGGCAACTTCATTATTGAATGTTTTCAAACTGAAAATATCGCTAAAATACTTGGTTATAAGGCGCACTGTTGTTTGGGGAGTAAAGATCAGTCAAGTTTATTGTAAATTCTTTCATAAACTTACAAAAAAGCGAAAAAGTCGCGTATTGATTATAGTTTACTGTTAATTAACAAAAGCAGAATTGTCGCACACGCGACCACGCGCACAAACAAAAGCCTTGATTAAACAAGAATTAACATACCGCCGAGAATGCAGGTCTCAGTGCACAAAAAGGGCTGAATGGATGAAGAAGGTATTTATCTCTTCGCTTGTTTATTTTCGTTTTGTTATGTGACGTATCAAATTACTGAGCACGTGCTCTCGAGCACGTATCATATCTATGCAAATTTGACTTCGCTCGTCTTTTCAGAACCACCATATTTATAAAAGTCAATGACCAACACTGTGTATCCTTTTATTTGCTTGAAATCGTACCAGTAACTGTGATAAAAAAATTTGTTTCGGGAAAATATTCGCCTATAAGACGCACCCAAACTTCGCCGGTAATTTTTAGTAGAAATTAGGAATTTCTTGAAAAAAACGGTGCGCCTTATAACTGAATAACTACGGTAATTGTGGACTAGTGACTAGTACCCAGCTCAACCTGTCGCATCCACATCTGGGAATGGAGTGATAGTGGAATCAAACCTCAGATGTACTCAAAGAAAAGAAACACACCAAGTGTAATTCACATAATGTTGCCATTTCTAAGTACAAAAGTTTGATTTTTTTCTATTGCATCCACAGCCAAAATCTCATTTTCTTTCAATATCAAACAAAGCAGGACAGAAAAACTTGAACCAGAGAAAAACTTCAACAAACTAACCGAGAGATAAAAACAAACTGAAAAAAAACCTTTCAGCACCTGTAAAACTAAAACATCCTTTTCATCTGACAAAGATGGCCGCCGACTGTTTGAACGACTCTTTAGTGGTTCAGATACACTGCTTCGATCTGAATAAATGATAGAAAAATAAAAACAACGACAGAAAGTGAATCCTTAGTTCTTATAAATGTTTGAATTACATGTATATATTCAGAAACTCTGTTTCACGAGATTTCATCATTGTATAACTCAGCAGCAATGATCTCACTGCATTCACACCATTTCGCATTAGTACCACCATGATATGAATGGAAAATTGGTCTTGTGCAGTACTGTCCAACATTTTTCAATTAACTTTCTAAACAGGGGAACACCTAGTTTTTCTTTAAAAACAAGAAAAACTGAGAAGGATGGAGGCAAAAGTCTGTCTGACAAAGTCATGCAGGAACCACTCAACACTATCTTAAGGTCTAGCACTAGTCTAACAATTCATACCTGAAGATGTTTCATCAGGCACAGCCAAACTGAGAGCATCCCTTAAACTAACTGTGCTAGTTTCATCATCCTCACCATCCTTCAGAACCTGATCTTCGTACAAGGAAAGACCTCGCTCCTGAAAGGACAACAACAAATCATTAGTTTACCCTACAAAGATTCAGGCACATGTGCCACAGCATTGTGGCAAAGGGTGCAAGAGAAAATAATTTGAAATTGGAATGCAAGTGTAATATAAATAATTTTTTTAAAAAAGGATATCATTTGGCTAATTATTGGCTTTTAAGGTGTCAAATGGATTAAGGTAATGCCTACTAGGAAAATTATAATTAAAACAGAGAGAACAGCAAACTTAAGGCAACTAAATAACATCCAATTTAACATCTATCTGGGATATTTCTTAGTTCATGGAGAAGTTGACAATGCAACACAGTTCATGTTTTTGCAGAAACAAAATTTGTTTCAAATCCTAGTTTTTTTTCTGCTAAAGCCATGTTTTGTCGTGAGAGAAAGCACACTGTCTTAAAATCTTATAAACAATCTTATACATGTATTACAGACTTCTTACCGCCAAGAAATTATCTCTAAACTCAATGGCTTCCTTGAGTTGTTGAATTTCTTCTTCCTTGCTTTTTATGGTCTTTTCAAATCTACTGCATTCCTGAAAAGGAAACAGAGAATTCATAACCATCAGATAACTTTACCAGAAAAAAGAATAATTTAAAAAGTTTGATAAGAAGAAATATAAAGCCTACATCAAACCAAAGAACAAAGTTAACTTTTTTAGCAGGAGGCCAAAGGGCTATCAAAACATTTTGGTTCAGTCGCCAGATGGAACAAATTTGATTGTGAAATCTTTTAGCTCACAGGGAAGTACAAAAACTTCAACTTTTAGATACATTTCTTTATGCAGAGCATTCTTGCTCTTCAACAAACACCAGCTGGGTGTATAAGCACCTGAAGAGTTTCCTTCTAAAGAGCTAATTTACATAGAGAACACTGAAAGACATCGAGTTGGTTGCCTGCTGACAACCAGAAATCAAATGCTGATTGCCAACATCAAATTCTAAGTTGCATTGATGAACAGCTGGTCACAATATTGAACCCTGCATATGAGCCTTTTTTCCGCAAACTTTTACTGAATATATACTTGGTGAAAACGACCTCTAAAAGTCTAAATTGCCTTACCTTTGCTTTTTCTTTGAATTCAGCTTTTACTTCACCTGAAATCTCTTCCTCTTCAACAAGTCTAAAATGTGATATCAAATAAAACTATTGTTAAGTAGATCAAAAAAGAACTTTTTTGATCCTGTTTACACAATCACTGACTTTATTCCTGGATATGCACAACAATCTCTACCATACATAAGTACCTGTCTTTCAGACAGTCCACTTGATACAGTAGTGCTTGCTTCTCATTGTCCAGCTGAGCATTGGAAACCATTGCCTTTCTGTACTTATCTTCAATTTCTTTCAGGTTTTCCTGAATATCAACACAACAAATGAAGTGATGAAATACATTCCCCTTGTTACAACTAATTGTGACTTTTGAGCCCTTAATTTCCAAAATCTGGTTATCTTGGGTTAAATAAAACAAGGTAATTCAGTACTGTCAACTGGGTTGATAACCTAAATTGGCCACCATAAAGAGTTCCAAAGGGGAGATTTCCAGAGTTAGCCCTTTATCAAAGCAGAATCATTTAAATAAAAACATGTGTGTTTCAAAAAATACAAGGCCTGCTCTCATGTTCATTGTTGAGATAACTTACCAGAAGGTCAAATGTTTTCATGGTGTTTACCAAAAAGTTTTTAGAGGTGATGAAAAGGGAAAGCTACATTGTAGTTACTGAAATTGGAAATTCTGTTCTATAAAACATCAACTCGACATCACCTGCTCTGATGTCCACTCTTCTATTAAAAAAAAGAAAAAAAACTATGATCACAAACCTGAAGACTTTTTAAAACTTTCTCTGGCACCAATGGCCCATTCATGTCTATAGTCTGGTCTCTTTGAACAGTACTAAGGCTTGAAGATCCTGTAGAAATTGATCTTGCCACTGGATTCTTTTGTAAAGATGGAAACAATTGAGGAAATTAAAGCTAAAAACTATGACTAAGTAAAGCACAATAGTATAGTGACAACAAAAGGGTGAATTATGTTTTTTTCAACAATCCAGTTACATTGTATCACAGAGATCTAGCTTACAACATGTTCAATTTGCTTCTTCATAAATCTTCCTCCTCCTGTGATTCATTAAAAAAATTTGATTTGGAAACCTTGTTGCCAATTTGCAATTAGGTTTTAAGGACATTGTCAGACAAGGTAACTATGCTGCTTAGCTTATAAAATAAGAGGTATGTGTGGTCTTTCACCAACATCCATGTATGCATGAACATGTGGCAAAGCCGGTTTTAATTTATGAGAAAAGACTTGTCAAGAGTCCTGGAGGTCTTCTGAAGTTATGTTGGCTGACAAACTGCCATTTGAAAATTTCATAGATAAGGTTAAAGTAAAGAATGGCTGTGAATGTGTATCAGCAACTCTTGGGAAGATTCACTTTTGCAAAAAAAAAAAAAGAAAAAAGAAAAATAACTTGGCTGCCCTTTGGAGCACTGATGTTGTTCTACTTGTTACTATGGCTGATAACCTTCACTTTCTCACAAATAGTGTATCTACAGTGTACCTTCTTTCTTGCAGGTGGGATGGGTGGCTCTTCATTTAAAGCCTGTTCATCATCATCAACCTGTAAATTCAGAAACAGAGGGAATCTTTTATCTAATTTCCTATTATTCCCATAGCTACATGTCTACAACTTCAAGTCAACTGAATGTGTTTTTGTTGGGTTTTCATCTACCTCCATCAATCTTTATTCTAATTGAAATTTATCACCTTTGGTTAGAGTTTTATTATGTTTAGTTGCAAAGTCCTTAAATAATAAGTAAATTTCAATGAAGACTAACATTTCCTCCTTCTTCTTGTTGCCTTTCAAGCTCCTTCAGACGAATACTCCTTGCCTCTGCTCTGGCTGCTCTTTTTGCTGCAAGACGTGCCTCTGCCTGTAACACACACACACACACACACAAACAAATTTAATACTCAATATATGAGTCAAATTCAAAACATGAATAGTCTACAATCTATTAATAATGATGATTTCTTCAAACATATACTCAGCAAAATAATGAAACCAAGAAAAAAAAAAACATCCAAAAATGCAATCAGACAAACATGACCAGAGCTGTCATGAAGAGCTGTTAGACAGATAGGTCTGCCATCCTTAACCTATAATTCCTGAGAGTGATAAGCATCTAATTTCTCCTTACAATATCAGACCTAAATTAACCATTAAGGTCATGAAAATGAGGGAAATGATCATGAACTCAAGAAGTTATTGACTGTTAAACACTCCTTGTGAGTACTACAGGAAATGCATACAGAAAAATTTGGAAAACATGCATACTGATGTTAGGGTTTTTAAGGACTAACCTGCTACTTAAGCATCAATATCATAATAGAATGGCAATAGTAATCATTTACATAGCACTTTTTCCATAAATTTCCAAAAGTGCTTTACAGAGCGAGCATGGTAAACTAAAATTTAGGATGCTCCATAGGGATTTTGCTCAATGTTGGCATGTGCACCAGTGAAATGTTTTTCTAGAAAATTTTTATTTTTTTGCTTCTCAAGATCACTGAAAGCCATCAAAAGGCAATGAGCAAGGTTCAGACTATTGTTTGCTGTAGTCAATATTATCAAAATGATTTTTTTTATTAAGCTAAGGCTACACAAAGGGAGGTACTCGCCAGTGATAATTTGGTTCTGCCTTTGATTTTCTTCAATTTGCATTGGTGAAATCTCTAAAAATTTTCAATTTGTGAAAATTGTCCAGCTGATCATTTAAAAGCCAAGAAAAATAAGATTTACTGAGCCAGTTTCCTTGCCATTTGCAATTTTCTATTTCCTTCCTCTATGAATTGTATTTATCAACAGGCACTAGAAAGGGCAAAAATATGTTTGATGGTTCAGCAAATCTTAGGAAATTTCATTGAAGGAAATTCCTATAAATCTTTCTCAAAAGATCCCTATTTTCTTTGTTGCAAAACATTACATAATGTAAAAGTTAATTTCATGCCCTGTATAAACCTATGAATATTATGGGTGCAGTCACTGAAAACCCTAGATTCCATCACAAAAAAACTATATTGTGTTAAACTGTTTTTAACACACCTTTTCAGATAACAATCATACAATCGTATCAAGCCACCATGTTTGTTTTGCATGTTGACACTTTTAAAGCTCATGCTATGTTTGCAACCAGATCTCACACAGTCCGTAACCCTAAGGAGCTCCCTTAAAAGACCTAATACAGAATTTACAAGCTCAACACTAGCACAAAATATTGAAATACTATTAATCACTATAAAGAGAGTGGTATGCGCCTGTTGAGAAACATACATCTTCAACTGTTTTTTTTTAAAAAATCTCAAGTCTCACATAATCGTATATACTTTAGTAAAGAATTCCAAAGAGATGAGACCAATACTTATAACCATAAAAACCTAAATTATAATGTGACATTTCCAATTTCTCATGGGTTGACAATCTAATATTATGCTGAGGTATATAAATGTCTCAAAGGTCAATAATATATGGTGGCGTAATTCATTCAGTGCTTTGTATGTTAACAAAAGTATCAGAAAAAAAATCAAATAACATCAAAGAAATTTGTGCACTGGCCAATAAACCAATTTTGAGTGGAACTGAATATATAGTTTACCAGCAAAAGGTTTTAGCATGCATCAATACTATGTTCAAAATTTTCTCAAAGAGTTAAGGAAACTTTAAAGAACAAGTGACACATTTGTGACCGTAAAAGGTAAAATGGACACTAACAGTTATCTGTTTGAATGGGTAAACTGTTCTTTATCTATTTGTTTTCTGTTCAAATGCCTAAAAAAAATCTGTTCAAAGCGTTCGACAAACCATCCAAACAGTTTGCATATCCGTTTGAAATACATTAGCATCCATTCAAATAGTTTTTGCAACTGTTCACCACTTAAAGGTGTCTGTTCAGAGAACTGCAGCATCTGTTCAACAGTTTGATGTCCGTTCTGTTCATCTGCACAAAAGGAGAGTATTGCACTCATTTCTCTACAGATACTCAGCATAGTGGTTGAAATGTTGTGATCCACATCTATGTGACTAAATTGTGAGACAAATGATTAACTCAGCTATCATTTGAAACCATCATGACAAACATTTTCAGACAACAACTAAAAATGTTAGGTACTAAATAGGCAAGCACTTGCAAAAGAGTCATTTCTAAGTCATGAAAATTTTCACTGAATAAGGAAATTGCTCTAATTGGCAGAGAAAAACAGTGAGAACTATTCACCAAGTAAAGTGAAGGAAGTAGAGCAATTATTGACTGTCCAGGCAAATTAACTTCATTACTATTTTTTTTTATTGTGAGGTCAATATCATGCAACATCAAAAGCAGTTCTAGCCATGACTTATACCCTATTCACAACACCAAAACATGTTTTGTTAAATTTGTTTTTACTTGAATGAAAATCATAAACGGAGAACTGAAAAACTTAATTTTCCAAAGGATTCAAGTACTTGCTAACTTGCATTTCCGATGCCCTAAATATAAGTAAAAAATATAAGGTTAAGTAGTTTCTGCAAAGAAAAAAAATACACTTTTTTTAACAAAACAACTTTAAAACGCGTTCAAGTTTTGGTTTTACTTTCCTCATTTGTATGGCATTGATATCTCAGTAATTTCAGTTAATGAAATCAAGTACAAAGTGGCCCACAGTTTATGGTCTATCAGCAGAGCATTGATTTTTTTTGATAACATGTTTTTGATAACATTTTTCTGATAACATTTTTTTGATGAGAAATTGAAAATCTCCATTTTTGATTGTGAGAATAAAGGCCTTAAAATTGACAACAACGACAAATTAAATGAAAACAATATACAGCAACGTTGCCCGTTCCATGATCAAGCCATGCACTTTGAATGGTTTTGCAAATCCTGTAAGCAATTTATTCATCCATATGATTGGCAAACCAATTATACAACCAATCGTACAGATTAATAATATTTTCATCTGTTTGAATGGCTTGCCAGTCCATTCGACATTATACGTTTTACTCATCCATTCAAATGGCAAAGCAAACCATTCAATGGCTCAAATAATTCACTCACCCATTCCAATGGTTTGTCTGTCTGTTCAAAACTTTTACTCATCTATTCAAATGGCTGACCAAACCATTCAAATCCTTTATTAAACCATTCAAATGGTTTGCCCGTCCGCTCGAAATTTTTACTCATCCATTTGAATGGCTGACCAAACTGTTCAAATAATTTATTCACCCATTTGAATGGTTAGGCAAACTGTTCGAACACTTCAAGGACTGTTAGTAAACTGTTTGTCATCTGACCGTTTTGCCTTTCATGGTCACATTTAAACTGACATTTCAACTTCTGCGTAATCTCACAAAACAGCCTAGTGTTCACGATAACCTGGCCACCAACTATTACTTATTTGCCTTCTACCCTTAAGAAAATCCTGCATGACAGTGGGTTATTGAACCAAACCTGGGCCAAACTGCTGGGAAATGAACCCTCTCATCACTGCACTAATAATGTCAACTTTCAGGAGAACAACATCAGCTTAAACATTCAACCCCTAAGAGTGACAGGAATCTAATCTCTCCTTACAATATCAATGCTTAAGTCATCAGAATGTAGGAAATGATCAGAATAGAGAAGTTCTCAATTGCAAGGCAAATTCTCTGTCAGTACCAAAGGAAATGTTTCAAGAATGCCATTGAGAACAAGCAAAGTGACTAAACTAAGGGTTTAAAAGGACTTCCATCTCATTTTTTCTTTAATCACTGCCATTTATCTTTTGTCATGAAGATAAATATATTTAAAAGCATTGTGTTTACATGAGATAAACATTCATACACATGTTATTCTGGTTTCAAAAGGATGCATTCGTCTACATGTCTATTAACAATTCTGTGTGCTGCAAATTGAAAGTGTAACTTGCTAAACCTACAAATTCATCACCAAATACAAGCAATTTGAAGAGTTAACTGCTCAATCGACAGAATGGTTTTAATTCCAATATCAGTGACTTTGATTGTCATTTCAAAACCGGAGTAAACTCAAGTGCGACGATTTTTATCACTTGTAGAACGGTTAAAATTCGAATGAAAGACTAACGGTAAATGAACACCTTTAGCGATTAAAAAGTTACTTGGTTCAAAAAGCAGCTGAACGTAAACCATGAATAGTTGGAACGTATTGAATCTACACAGGAAATGGTTTAGGTGGCCGCCCACCGTAAAAAGTCAAAGTGGTAGCAATCGTAAATAATAAACAACACCAACACGCCCCGGCGCCACAGGCAAGAGATAAATGCTAGGTTATCGAAAGCTATGAAACTCGGGAACTACCCGACGCTAGCGAAGACAAAGAAGCAAAACTGAAATGAAAGGAACAAACTTTCGACTCGAAACTATTTTTAGGATGTGTTCAACAGTGAGTGCCACAGCCACCGGAAAATCGTGACTTGCTCCATTAATGTAAAACTGTCACTAGAAATTGAAATCATTCATGTACACGAATTGTACGTCGAGTGAACTGAAACGCCAAGAAATTCAGGAAAGACTGAATCTTGAAAACTTATCCGTAACGAACCAAAAAACCATAACAAAAGCGTTCAATTACTCGGCAGTATGCGAAAAATCATAAGTTCTTCGTCAGCATTAAAATTTCTGGTCCAGTAAGTGAGTCTCCCGACACGAATCAAAATTCACGTTGAAAAGATTAAGAACAAATTATCCCTTACCTCACGAGCAATTTGATTTAAGGCCTGGTCTTCTGAAGAAGACGTTGTCCTAGTAAGCGGTCTCCTTCTGCCACCGTGTGCTGAGCTCATTTTGAACGATGAAGTCACACAAACACACACCTTCCTCGGCAACTTTTAAGCAATCAGCTAGTTTGGATTGAACACTAGAACTTACATCTGTTTCCACAAATTGTACACATTAAGTCCGCTCGTTTTGTAGTTTTTCTACGAAGGAGTCCGGCAGGGAAAGCCTAATTATCTGCTTTGCTTAGTTCAACACTCCTAAAATAAATTCACAAGGCAAGGCAAATATTTTTCGCTTCGTAGCACCACTTTTCCGCCATAGTCGCCTGTTGGTGGAATCTCCCGGATCAAAAGTAACAGAATACATGCGCCGGCATTTTCAAATGGTGCTATCCGCTGACCGTACTCCTTGGCTACTTGGGGGCGAGGCAGGCTCTGTTGGCTGTTGCTTGTAAGCCCTATCATGTCGCCAGCTATGCTTGATTTTTTTCAAATCATGCTCAAAATTATGCTCGTTTTGGAAATTATGCTATTTTTCTCCTACGGTTTGCTTTTCAAAAAAAAAAACAAAAAATCAGTCTGAGTTGGATATTTACTGTTAATTAATAGAGCATGACACTCTTCTTCTTTATTTTGAGTGAGATACTTGTTATGATAAACATAACCAGCTACTGCCATTTTTTTCTTGTGAAAGCGGGAACTGGAACCGACGCATTCTGTACTTACAGTGTTTCCAGTCCTCTATACGGCGAATGACACAACCTTCTTCTTTTCCCAAGACAATGCTGAATTGAAAATAGACTGAACTGATGACCGAACTTGAAAATTTTTTAACTTTGGTAAAGTTTCCAACAAAAACACTTGATATATGCTGATTAAGCTAGTAGTGCAACTTTCATTAAAAAAGAGTGCAAAAATTGTAATGCTCGTTTTTTCCCAGTTATCAAAAAAGTATGCAGGCCTAGTGGGGAGAGCGTCGATAATCAGCTTTCTTTTGAATAGTTATTGAGAATGTAGAAGTACTAGAGACCGCATTGAAAAGACAACGAGTTTCAATGTGACGTCTGTAATTGAACGTAAGTGCTGGTGTTCAGGCTGAAAGAGATACTGACCTAATAGCGTGCAATCGAACTGAACCAATCAAGAAGTTGTAAAGTTCTCGGAAATTCGAGTGATTCTGTGAGGGATGCTCATAACACCCTTGCCCATTTTTCAGATTTCTATACCCTTTTTTTTTAGAAGTAAACCACTTTTATATGAAACAAAATAACCTAAAACTACTCGTGCTAAAACCTCATTGAACTGCGTTCATTCTTGTCACCTCAGTGTTAACATTTTTTCTCCCAAGATTTCTTTAGCCGTGATTCTCTTTACTGTCTGCCATACAACTCCTATGATGTTAGTTCAGAGAATTTGGTGTTGGATCAGCTGATTAACTCCCAAATGATATTTTCCCTTTATTCTCATCACTCGTCTGCTTGATATCGTATTGATATTGTAAGGAGAAATTATGTCTCGGTCACTCCATGGAGTTAGGGTATTAAGTATTTCGATGAGGACAGTCAGATAACGTTTTATGGAATCTTATTACACATTAAGGGAATGTATCCCGCTCTGCAATGCTTCCATCGTTGCGGTTTTTTATCAGTACCGTTCCCCGTAATCTTCTGAGATAAAATAATATAAACTGTTCATATTCGCTTGTCTGAGCCTATTGTCACCTCTCTATTTTATTGGTTCCACGACGAAAATAGCCAGCCACATAAAACACGGCCCCATAGACTCGCTCCTTAGCGTTTTAAACCTGCCATCGTCAGTAATTAAAGGTTTTACAAACAAAAGTATAAATACTGAGTGTCCATGATATACCGAATATCGAAAAACTAACTATGTGACTTTTGTGAGCAGCTTCTTTGATGGCGGGAAAAGCCAGAATGAACTAACAGGCGCCTTGGTGAGCATTTGTATTTTGGCGATTGTGGCGGGAAATCGGCGATTAAAATTCACCTGGTTTATAGATAACTGATGACCCAACTGGTTCAAATGACGCAACTGGTTCAAATGACGCAACTGGCCCAAGTGACCCAACTGATCCATGTGATCCAACTAGCCCAAGTGACCCAACTGACCCAAATGACCCAACTGGCCCGAATGACACAACTGATTCAAAAGATCCAAACGGCTCAAATAACCCAAATAACCCAACAATGAACCAATGCCGGCATTTTATTGCATTTTATTTTCAAAGCATTCATTACTTATCAAATTATCTAGCTGTCACGCTATCATTCGATTGACCGATGTCACGCAAGTTTCGTTAACCGGCACACCAGGACATATTTTGGTTAACCGGTACACCAGGATAGAGCTTAAAGTTTACTATTTTAATTTTAACTGTCATCTGAAATTTGACCCGTTTAAGTTGTTTCGATCTCCCTACCTTTATGAAATAATCAACTGCCCAATGATGTCGCGTTTTGCAACTTCCCGTCTACACAGCTTTTAAAAATATAATGAGCTGTTTGGGCGTTTTTATGCCGCATTAAAAAATAATCGCAAATAGAATACGTAAAATTATACTATTTCGATGTTTCCTGGATTTAGAGTTAATGGCGAAAATGACAGCAGGTGCTTTTAAAACATGGAAAACACGCAAACGAAAGGTACGCTCTCCCAAGTTGAAATAAGTAAATAATCCGCAAATTTTTTAAAAATTTTTTCCAGATCGATATTCGAAAATGAAGACGTGAGATAACAAAAATTTGTTTTTCGACCCGCATTTAAATAGTACTGTCACCTGATAGGTTAGATCTGTCACTTACGACATTTATTTTGTAAAAATTCACTATAAGTGCTCTAAGGAAATGACAGTCGCAGTGAAATACACGAATAACACACCTCAAAGAAATTTGCCACTATGTTATAATCGAACTATCTGAGACAGCGTCACATAAAATCACGCAAGTCTTGCATAATTCATCACTAAAATAGCCAATCCTTTTCCTTCAAAGTCGATGATAGGCTTTTGCTCCTGCTCTTTACTGAGTGTTTCCTTCTTCAGTCCGACGAATATTTCTTAAAACGCAAACAGATGTGAAGGGGCTATCCTTTTATCTTTTGTGGCGCGGTTGTGGTACTGAATGTCAGTGCTGGGCCTCTATTGACCCTGCTGTGTTATGAAGCGCTCTTCGTCCTCTCCGCTTGAGTTAGCAGTTCACAATTGTTGCGTGACATGTAAGTTGACAAATATATGAATTAGTGGGGGGGGGGGGGCTGCAGCGACTGAGCGGGCTAGATTGTTTTTTTCTTCTCGAAAATACGTACTCAGTTTCGGTCCATTATCGAATGCGTGATCACATTACAGCCGAGAATGTGAGATTCGCTCGAGATTTTGAGACTGACCGAAGTAAAGAAGGGTAAGGTACAACTTAATTTTCGTTTTTTCAATTAAAAGAACAAAATCCACGGGGATTTCATGTGATATCTGTGAACGCTTTCACATGAGAACCCCGTGAAAGGCGATTGCTTTTCAAAATATTTGACCGCCATGTTTAGCCTTTGTGCTTAAATGTGCGGCTTTGGCCGCCGTAATTACTCGCTATGCTTTCGCCCTCAAGTCTAACACAAATGGTGAGTAGCAGGGGTTTAAATATGCGTATTGCAACTAGACTCATTTCTTTGGAATGGTGTTTAAGTGAGTTTACTCACTGAACTTAACGACCATTGTGTTGGGTTTGTAATGAAATATGCTCTTAAATGTGCATACGGATGGTTGGCAGCTGCGTGTGAGCGCTCATAAATTTCGAACTTTCTCCATAATTCATAATTTGACTCTTGAAATTTCCTTTCTGTTCTTTTGAAGGAATACTAAAGACCATTTGAAGTAAGTTTCACAACAATAGCACAGGACTTGCTTGCTGTGTACAAATCGCCTTTGTGTGGAATTTGACAGCAACAGGGTACAAGCTTGTTCACATTTTATGCTGACATCGGTAACAATGGATTCAAAGTCTGTAAGTTTGAAACGATTATTTTATCTAAGACGGCGGAAATGCCAGAGACGTTTGCCTGAGCACATCGCCAGTGGTTCTTTCAAACCAGTGCGCTGCAATTTGCTGTTCCTCTTTTGTTTTTATGCTTAATCATGCGAACACAATATATAGTCATGTTTATATTTCATTCTCATTTATTTTGCTGTATTTATCATGCTCATAAGTTTCCAGTGCGCCTTCCTTATTCATTAAGATTTTAAGGAAACATTTTTGTGGTAAAGAATCTAGAAACTTTGACTCGCTTCATAATAATTAGTTTCGCTTCTTGTAAAGGGAAAAGTCCCTTGCTGAATCCAATCAGGTTTAGGGGATGTTTATCAAACTTCTGTTTTCGAATGAGGTCGGAATTAAATCGTTCAAGCATGGTGGGAAAAAAGGAACCATCTGAAATAATGTTTTGACAGTAAACTCAAAGTTGTCGAAAGCTGCAGACTTTTTCCTTTTAAGTCGGAACACCAAGCAGTTAAAATGGTAGGTGACGTTTATTTCAAAGGAGTGTCTCAAATGGCTATAGGGTCTAATCTGTGCATTTTTACCCACTTAAGTCACTTGAAATTTATTCATCTAGGGTACAAAACCATGCTTTTATTTGTGGAGAAACAGAAAGGAAAATGTTAAATACACACATTGTGACTGTGATATAAATTTTCTTCTTGGTTCTAATTTCATTTATTTTAAACTACATTCAATTTGTATTTTTGGTATTCCTTTTGCTATGAATTTTATTTTAGTACAGATGATGTAGTTTCTACATTAAGATCATTATCGTTGACCTTTTGGAGGAAAATCTTTTGTTTTTGAGTTGCTTACTCTTGTGTAACCAAATTGAATTTGCAGATCACATTTCGAAAGTGAAAATAATAAAATTGGGTAAACTAATGTACTGCACTTTCACTCAGAGACCAACAGGATATTGAAGAATTGCTTTGGGTCATTGATTTCCATCCAAATTGTCAATAAACACTTTTAGACAAAAATAACAATCATAGCCTGATTTAGACTCATTTCAGATGTCATATCAACAATATATCTCACATGATGCATATCTTATTCTAAACTGTGTCATATCTAGCTCTTGATGACTGACCCCAAAGGAAACAGTGAATTTTGTTTCCTCCAGATCCTCAATTTTCCTCTAGGTTTGCCTTGGGGGACACTTAGCGTCTCAGGGAAACAAGAACTCACTGTTTCCCATAGAGTCCTTCCTGAGGTGTGCTGATATCCCTCCCAACTAAAAAATGGCTGCTCCTTCTAAAATATTATTTCCTTAATGCCATTTAGCACACAATGCGATGTTGTTTTACGTAGACAAGCTGATCACGTGCAAGTCAAAAGTTCATGAGTTGTGACTCGTGGCATGTGACATGTTTCCCCAATTGGAAATCATATTTGAGTTGGTAAAACATACTAGTATAAATTGAGTTGCTGAAGTTTATTCAAAAGTGGCAAAGAGTGTATTTATGACATGTGATCTGGGGCCAAAATTGTGTTGTGAAGTATTAATTTTACTGAAAGGCAAGTATGATTTTTGAATTTACATGTACGAGCAAGTGTGAGATGTGATTTGCCTCGTGCATTATACATAACCTGTGAATTGTTCTTCTTTTAATGAATCCTCAAGATTTCTCTGAAACTTTTAACACACAAGAAGAGAGATTTGAACTTTTCCCTTCTATATACATGACACAGTATTTTTTTTTTTAAAATTAGTGTGTGAAACAGTATCAAGATCCCCCTTTGCTACCTTGTCATTCACCAAAGTATATTCAACTCAGGCCCAGTCAATGAAATGGAGACACAGTTGCCCAATAACTTGACTGAGCAATATGCATTCTTATCATTACTAACTATGGATGAGTCCCATACTTGAAAACAAGTTCCAGATGGGAGACATTATTTTGTTGCATAATGGTTTGGATAGTGGAATCAAGCTCAAAAGATGTGGATTTCGCTTTTACATGGGTCACTGTTTTGTGCTATTGGGAAAGATGCACTTTCAGTTACTATATATATATATATATATATATATACTGTATTTGCTCATGTATAAGTCGAACTCGTGTATAAGTTGACCCACCATTTTCAAGGTCAAAAATTGGATTTTTCATCATTTCTAGTTAAAGACTGAGGTAAAATTCAGACCAATAGAAATTCCCCAAAAAGTTAATTTCTTATTTCTGAGAATGTATTGAAAACATGGGGAATTAAAAAATTAAAAAACTGCAGAGCAAACTGTAACTGTGTGCTGCAAATTTATTAACACTTGTATTTATTTCACCATGATCTAAGCATATACGAGCACTTCGATTTGCTAAAAGAAGTATTTAACCAAATTTTGTAAATTTCATTGAAAATGATATCTTCTTACATTTAACTAACCTTTATCTTAATGTTGAGTTTGAAAGGAGATTGAGTAGACCAAAGGAACACCAAAGAGCTTCAAAGGATCGCGCATAACAAATAAGACCACATGAGAGCTCAGCATTCGCCAGGTCACTCAGCTACTGAAATCCTTTGATGAAAATGAAAGTTCAGCACTGTAAATAGCATTGAAGCTGTAAGAAAAAATGTTTGCTCTACAGATCAGAACACACAATTGAAATCAGCTCCAATAGCTTTGCATTTAAGCCACTTGAAATTTATTATTTAAAACTTTTTTAGTTGATGAAGAATGCACTGAAAACTGATTACTTGAACATAGTTGGAACTGGTTTTGTAACCTCAGTTTTCCAAATGGACTTGATGCAATTGTTATGCTAATTTCTTGAATTACTTGGGTCAGGTATGTGTGTATGGCTCATGTATAAGTCAAGGGTGTTTTTTTGGGCTGAATTTTTGGTCATAAAAGGTCGACTTGTACACAAGTAAATATGGTATATATATTTATCTTGTAGTTTGAAAAGTCTGTGTAGTCTCTTATGAATAATTTTGTTTAAATTGTATTTTTAGCTGTTCTCCAAAAGTTTGCCAAGTTTGAACAAGAAGGACAACACTAGTGGCAGTAAAGTTAGTCAGCCAAATTCCTTTTCCAGCAAAAAGCTTGGTATGGCAAGTGAGCCACTTTTGCTGTCAGCAGACTCAGAGTGTGATGTATCAGAAGTACCAGAAGTAAAGGAATTGGATGCTTCTCACAATGGTTGTGAGCAAACTCCAAGTTATGCCTGCCAGCCACACTATTTGGTGGACAAAGGAAATGGTCCAGGTTCAACAGATTTCTACTTTTTCTGCTCACAACAGGGGCCAGTGATTCAGGAGAACAGCTTTGATGATCGAATGGGTGAAATGAAATTCAAGTCACAAAGCTTGCAACTGTTGACTTCAATCTGTTCAAACAGTGCAAATGAGGAATCTCAGTTGTTGCCAAGGGATAAAAACCAGAACTTCAAAATAGTGCGAAAGTGTAGTTCTGTGTCAGTGTTAGAAAGTGTTGGAGTTACAATTAAGCCTTTTAAGAAAAGTGTTAGGGATCCTAGCATTTCTTCATCACTCAGCAAACTTACAGATTTACGGGAGAGCTGTGGTTTAATGTGCCGCATTTGTCATGGTGGCAGTGAGGATGAAGAGCTCATACAACCATGCAAATGCACTGGAACTGTAAAGTATGCTCATCAGAGTTGTATACTGAACTGGGTTTCAAAATCTGGACATCAGAGTTGTGAGCTATGCAAGTTTAAATTCAAGACTAGGAAGGAAAGTGTGAAGTGCTTTTGGAGGGTACAGTAAACTTTTCTTTGTTTATTACTCTTAAACTTTTGAATGGAATTACCATTTGATCCACCACCAAATTCTCAGAATGAACTTGTGAGGAATGTTTAGCATATAGTAAGAATAACTTTCATGGATGTATTGGGAGGCTTTTTGAAATGTTAGTCATTATGAACTGTTATTTTTAGCACTACTATCACCCCAGATGAACAGACTGAATGAATCATTGTTAGTATCAGAATGAAACCAAGTGTCATAATATCCCCTATGATAATCTTAGTTTTGTCAGGGGGAGGGGTAGGCCAAGGACATACTGTATCTTTTGACACTTACTAAGGCATGGCATGGTTGGATAACACCCCAACATTTTTTTGAGGTGCACAACAAGTAGAATAACAGAGTAGCAATTAACAAGTAAAACTTAAATTTATTTAGTGAAGATCCTATTAACATAATGGCATGATCCTTGCAGGCCAGTTTGTCAATGACGTAAGTTGTAATCTACAAGTTGTTGTAAAGAGTTTTATAGATTATGGCTACCATCATTCATGAATCGTCAGGGAATTTAAAATTATGATGGTTCTAGCAGCCTTAGAACTATTTAAAAATCTAAAAGTTTTGTTCATATATTCAATTTTTTTCCACTCCTCTTTCTGCAGTGGTCTTTTCCTGAAGTAAGTACAAAGGGATGGCTACACATAGGACTTTTCATTGCATTTGCAACAATGCTTTTGACTTCAGTCACATGGATCATCTGGTCTCGTGTCAGCACTACTCCATCTGCAATTGCCGAACGTACAACAGAAGAAGTAAAGTTTGCTTATATGGTGAATGGCTTATTCATTGCTCTAGCTGTCGGTGGCTTGTACTTTGATAGTTTGAAGCATTTTAAACAATATTCCAAACGATGGGCAGCACTGAATCAAAATGTGGTAGTTGAATGCTACACAACTGAAAACAACAATGTCGTCCGAGGAGTCGATGTGGCTTTATTGCAGAGAGCACGTCCACAGCAGTCTTCAAACAGCTCAGCTGTGGAAGACACTGAGAGAGGTCAGACATCATCAAGTGACGGTGCTTCTAGAAATAATTCTGAAGCATGGGTGTGATGGCTTTACAGACTGAAGTTCAAAGAGCTGTTACCAACAAATGATATCCAGGTTACAGCCTGTATGCCATTTCTTTAATTTTACTTACACCTGACTGCCACGTGAACAAATATACAACTTCTTCTACAAAAAATTTTGTGCATAGTTCAATGTTTATTTGCAAACTCTTTTGTCTCAAGTGTGAATCTCGGGCTTGTAGACCAGAAATGTAATCTCATGCTACCTTAAGTCTGCTGACCAATTGCTCACACCTGATGAAAACCAGAAAACTTGCATTTTTCAAAGCCTTGACTAATTCATTCGTAAATATGAATGAAGTTTATCATAAAGGCTGTAGCCAGTCAAAGAGGAGAGAAGTCCTTGTTAATTGATGTTGCTCTTCCTAGAAAATGTCATATTAGAAGGGAGACTTCTGAAGGTAAGGTTGTGTCACAACTCTTCCAAACATTTTTGTAAATTTTTGGAATGACCTCGAACAGCTTCAGATATGACTGGTACCTCTGTGAAAAAGGTAAACTGATGCCCAAAATACATGAAGTTGGTCTTCTGACAATACATTTATTGCAGTCAGAACCAAAGTGACAAGAAAGTATAGTTATTACATGGCAAAGATAAGACAAAAACTTCCTTTTTTTAACCCAGCTGAAAAAAATGATCATAAAATGAGTTTAAAAAAAGTGGAGGGTGGTGGGAGCATGGTATATCTCTAGCAATTATCTGGAACTGTAAACCTGTTTGTGTAAAATACAGTGTGTATTATCCCAGTGAAAAACACATTTATAGTAGTTATCCATCAAAAGTTTTCAATGAAATGTTAGGCAAGGAGGAGAGGGGCCTTTCTTAACACAAGTTGGGGAAATAAAGCCAATTTCATTGTTTTTTTGTTTTTAATATTAGTTTTTTTTTTCAATCACAAAACTTGTTATTTTAGCACCTCAAACATATCAAACCAAACTTCGTTGATACACTTTTTTTATACCACAGCTGTCTCATTTACTGATTGGTGTATTTACCACTTAATTATCAGGAGCAAAGCAGAAAGCGGTGTGTTTCTCTTTGGTTGCTCTTTAGTATTTGGCTAATCACCTCTGAAAGGCACTATTCACTTGATATTATTGTGAATTACCGCAGAGCTCTTTCAATCTCAAAAAGGACAGCAAACAGATAATGAGAATATTCAAACTTATCAGGTTGAAATTATCTTGATCTAAAAGGAAATTCTTGTAACTCGTTTGCAATGAAATGTGGGACAGCTTGAAGGGAGAAAACCAAATTCTCATGACTTGTTTGCAAGGAAATGTGTAACAGCTAGAAGGAAGAATTATCAATCGGATCTTTGGAGTTAAAGGGTAATTTCTTGACAAAGAGTGAAGCCACATGTACCTTATTTTTCTCCTCTGATATTCCCCTGTTTTGAAGTGCCCCCCTCCTCCACTGCACACTGCATGGGCCTATACATTACAATTCCATGATGGGAAGTAAATGTACATGTTTTCTTGAAGTACTAGAATTTTGTGCTGGACAGTATTACGTATTGAAATATCGCTTGCATTGTATGCTGTACATAAAAAAAGGGCACAAATACACACACAGTTAGGCAACTATTGATTTTACAGCCTTAAATGATAAATGCAACTAGTTAAAGCTTGTGAATTGCAGATTTACCCAATTTTTTTTTTTTAGAGGAATGCACCTTCGTTGCCATCCACTGTCTTAGTATATACTAATCCAAGCTATAATTACTACAAGCTACGATAACATAGGTTACCAAAATTTCACTTCAAAAATATAAAATATTGAGCATGGAAACGAAAAAAATTGAAAGAGTTTGGTTATTTTAGCAATCAGTCATCATCAGTGTCTATTTTTTGAAAGACATGTTATTACTTAAAAGTTAAAATTAATTGGTAGAAAAACGTCTCTTCGGAGAAGTAGAGATACGAACTGTGCAGTAGTGCAAAGTGAAAGCTTAACTTGTTTGGTTCTTTTGTTATTTTAGATGAACTTAATCCCTATAATCTCTGAAGTATCAAAATAAGCAGGTTTCTGTAGAAGGTGTTAACTTTATATATGTTCAAATTCTTTAATTATTCAAGAGAGAAATTGCAAAATACTTAGTGGGTCCTAGAAGTTGAAGTGCTGAGTTATCCAGAAGAAATACAAACGAAGATGACAGTTAAGGGTTTTACTCAGGAATTTTGAATGCTGGCACAACAATGAAATGTCTTTTCTTAGCTCTTATATGTAAATCATTATACTTTCTCGTTTGTTTGCTTTCGTTCTTAAGCAATGTTCGCACTAAGCTGAGTTTTTGAACGGTCAAAGAAGAGACATCAGCTGACGACTTTTAGCCGTTCATTTTAAATAACTTGGAAATATTTATTGCATCCTAGACATCTACAGTTGGAAGAAAGTTTAACTGGTTCCTCCTATATAATCTGTGTCCGCCCTGTGAAGATCATAGGCAAGTTTTCAATTGAGCGTCGAAAAGTGAAGACCAAAGTAGTTACAACAACCAATCTGAACAGAGGTTAACATTATCATTAACCATTGAGAACTCAAAGTAAAAACAAGTGACCTGCTCGAAGCACGGAAGACGCGGGTAACCCAAAGTTGGGATCCGTTTCAGTTTTGCATTTGATTGGTTGAGACAATAGCACGCATTTTTTAGACCAATCACTTACCGGGGTAAAGCAGAACCGAAGCAATCCCCCAGTCCAAGATCACTTTTGATTATCAATTGAAAACTGCTCTAAAATCTTTACTTTCCTTGTCTCGTCTCAGTGATTACTATCTTTTCCAATATGCAGTCTGCTTTGCGTGATCGCAAACTATTAATCTAGTATTTCCTTCGATTTTTTCGAAGATTTTTTATGTTAAGCAAAAGTAACTCAACCTTGGATTTGTTAAGTTAATTCAGGAGTTGAAATAAATCACATATTATATATGTTAAGGTTATGACATGACTTTCTGTTTGACTGTTTATTAGTGTAGAGTTGGGCTGCAATATTAATTAGCCTTTTGGTTTACGTATATTTTCCCCAATCATTTGGTAAGATATATTCACGAGTTTGATCGCGTCCCGATCAAAATGCACTGAGGTATCAATTTTGGCTGGCTGTGCGCCGATTCCCCGCGCAAAGCCAATTACAAGAAATAACCACTTTCCCACAGAATGTGTGGGAAAAAAAAATTCTTAGAAATTTTTAAAAGGAAGCAAAAGTAGAGAAGAGGTAATCGTGGTACTTTTCCAAGACAAGACGCAATTACAACGGTAGCCTGTTTATTTACCATTTTGCTTTGAGCTACACTAAGAAAGCTATGAGTTTTTTTAAAACCAGTGACTAACTGGCTTCTGTGATTTGTATAACTCCTTTTAAGTCAACCTACCCTTTAAAAAGGCACACCAGACACACCATTCCGCTGTGCGCACATGCGCAGACGTTCAACTGACAGCTGAGAAGCCGCTGTGATCATTTAATATTTTAATATGGGGTCCAGGACTCTATGTAATGGTTCTTGCCGATAAGCTCTGGTTGAGAACTAGGAGCCAATCAGAGGGGTGAATCATAACTTTGGCGCGATTTGCAGAGAAACCTTCGCGGCAGAATCGATCTGATACTTCTGAGCGATTAAGACTACGAGTTATTAGAAGCCTTTGATGATTTTTTCTCCGAGTGAAATCTTATTAAGGAAACTTATTGATACGGTACGAAGATCAACACTTGGATTTTTTGTTTGCATGAGTCCGCAAGTAAGCAATTTGCGATTGCAAATAAGCTGAGGTCGTTGCAGTACACGCGTCGAACATGGACGCTTGAAATTTCACTGATGATCTCAACTTAGGTACGTTTGCGATCAAGCCTGGCTTTTTGTGACCCTGCTATTGCTTTTGCTGCAGAATCTATAGATCTGATATTTCAAGGAACATCTCTAGAGGGAAAAAAGATGGTAACTATACCGGAATGCGAAGGGCTTTTCGAACCTCTTCTTCGCATTCTCGAAGACAACATGGCGGCGAGTGATGATCAAGTCGATGCTTATCTGAGAATGACAGAGTAAGTCACGAACGAAAACTGGTTTAAAGTATGTTTACGTATTAAATTCAAACTGTTAATATTAGCTGTTGGAAATTTATTTCCGATTGGCGATCATCTTCACTTTGCCATCAAAATCAAATAGGATCGAAATAAAGAGTGTGTTAACGTTTGAAGCTTAACACTTTAGACCAAAGAGTCAGTCTCAAGGGTATTTCTTTATTTTGGCTTTTTAAGAAATTCCTTGTTCACAAGTCAATAATCTACATACAAGTTATATGAGGAAATGAAAGTGATGTTTAGAATGATTCATGTAAGAACTCGGTTCTCTTCGTCTACATTCACAAAGGCAACAAGATTCAAACAGTAATTGTAATGAAATTTCCTTCCAGGCGCTTAAGAGAGGAGGAAGATGTATTTGTTAAAGAGCTACTTAATCTAATTAAAAGAGTTGTCATGATCTTTCGGGTAAGTAGACCTTGTCTTTTGCTGTTCTCTTCATACAATGTTTCTTCTCTTGACAACAGAAAAGGGTGTCAAGGGAGAAGCATACGCACATAACTTGGGTAATACCATATGCTGTTTATACACAACATATGAATTGTTGCATTGCCAGTTTCTGCTTGAGCATTTAATTTTAACCTATTTTGATAACTCAGGTAGCAGCTTGGACATTAAAGATTGTAAACAAACATTAGAAATGAAAAAGTCATTATGTATGTCAGGATGATTATTATGAGTTCAGATTTCAAGCATTTTTGCAACAGTTTCTGGTGTGTCATTTTCTACAGAGAGATATTCAGTCTGATAAGTCAGATCTGTGCCAAGCATCACTTCAAGCACTTGGTCACTGTCTCTACCAAGAGGAAATAGCCAGGTATGAGTACAGCCATCTTGTGTATCACTAGAGGGTCCCCTATACTCCTTTGTGAAACTCCGTCTCTTAAAAATATTTGGCCTTTTCACCCATCACAAATAATATCCAGAATTCTTTCATGTTTGTGTAAAATTTGAGACGACCATGTTACATAAAAATTAGAAAGACAAATTCATGAATTAATTTTTCCTTTTTTGGCCTTGACTAGTCCTATGTGATGAAAGATAACTTACTGTCTTATCTTATTTGTTAAAGAACCATTTTTAGTCTGTTCTATGACTTTTATTGATCCATGTGAAGTCCATGTATAGCCAAAACATAAAAATGGTGGAAAATTCATCACACAAAACAAACTGGTCCATAAATCAGGTTTAATTCAGCTCTTCATTCATGTGTCACATTTAAATTTAAAAAAAAATGTTTGTTCTCATGGAGATAAAAAGATATTGTCATCTTTAATCACAATTCAAGAATTAAGAAAAAATTCAAATCATGATTCTTGAGAAAATAAAATGCCCGATCACGCTTCAGATCAAAAGTACAGGGGACCCTCTTACCAGCTTTACATTTAGGAATGTGTTTGAACTTCTGTTTATAGTGCAGCCCTAATACTTACGTAGGGTTGTACATGTATCAAAGAAAATGAAAGCTGGCAAACTTAAGGAGTTACTCTCCAGGGTTTCTTTGTATACTTTGTACCCTTGTCATCCACCCAAGATATGGCTGGGTATGTTCAAGGTGGTAAATGGTACATTGAAATATCATGGGTCTTACAATCTGAATTTCCATCTGATGTTAACATCCCTCCAGCCCTTGCAATGAGTCCAAAGTCTTGTTCATTGTGCATCTTAATTGGACCTAGCATTCACAAATGTTATTGATCCATAGCTTGTCACATCCAATTTTTGTTCACTCAGTCAGTTGAAGTAACATTTTTGATAATAGTAATGAGTCAAAATTATCTTCAATGTCTTTTCGCAGTTCAATTTGCCTGTCAGATGGTCAAGTTCTCATTCAAGGTCGGTTGTTATATGCATAATATTGCTTCCATGATCAATTGTGCCGATGATGTTAAAAAACAGGTTTAAAGGAAAGCACTTGACATAAAAGCGTCTGACAGTGTCCTCTGACTAAATCCTCTTTAATAACATTTATTTGATGAAACTACTGTATTTATACTTTGTTATATCCTTGCTAAAATTGTATTAAGCCTCGATTGTCTTGACTAAATTTTTTGTTATTAGAATCTCAGCATTAATTGTAAACAACCTCTTGGGAGACTTTTGGCAAGTGAAATAGCTTTAAACTCTTGTTTTAAACATTTTCTTAAATTTCATAAGCCTCAACTGCCTTGACTGAATTAAGTGTTATCAGAATCTCAGCATTAACCCAAGAAATCCTCTGGCAGGTCTTTTGACAAGAATACAGGAATCTGAGGATAAAGGAGTTTGCACTCGAGCATTATGGTGTCTTGCTAAACAGAATTTACACAGTGGGATTGTAAATACTAAGGTATTGACTGAATTCTAATTCTTTTAAATTCGATATTAACCCTTTAAGATTTCTTACATAGTTGTGATACTGATTAGAAAGATTATTCATTTGGTGTATTGTTTGTTTTCAATTTAGTTGGAATCCATTCTTATTACTTTGGAATCAGTTATCACAAAGGATCTCCAGTCTGTAACTGTGGATCATGAAGCTCTTTGTGTGATAGAAAGGTACAATATATGACATATACTCTCTCTAAGCTGACAATTAAATGTTGTAAATTAGTTACAGATCAGAATTAGTGACATTTAAACTATCTAGATAATAGTTGCTTATTACTTTTGTGTTTTTTATCAGCAAAGTTCTTCCTTATTAACCCTTTCACTCCCAAGATCTCATTAGTAATCCTCATTACTGTTTGCCATATAATTCTTATGATGTTGCTTCAGAGAATTTGGTATTGGATCAACTTGTAATTCCCTAGTTGATATTTTCCTTTATTCTCATCATTTGTCTTCTTTATGTTGTATTGATGATGTAAGGAGAAATTCTGGCTTCATCACTTATGGGAGTGAAAGGATTAATGACATTACACTGATCTCAGGGCTGAAAGATCACGGTGGAAACCTTAACCAGGTCATTGTGTGGAATAAATTGAGGAGAGTTGTACCTTAAAGGCAAGATTTCCAATAATTAATGCAGTAACTCTAAATTTTTATTTAATGTAGGCTTCTACAACAGCTTCCAAAGAGCGAAATGATCAAGACAGTAGACTCTTGGGCAAAGCTGGTGTTTCCTCTGCTGGTTAGCTCAGCCATCAAGGTACAGAGTTCAATTTACATAGTTTGCTGTTCACTGCAATAACTTTTTTGGATTCGATGATCTGTATGTAGCTGTGGTTGATTTAACAGCTGATAGTTGGTCAATATATTGGTTTATCCATCGCTCAGTGATTGATCAAGGTTCGGTTAACCATTGGCAAACTAAATGTAATGTTCTCCCTTATTTTAAGGAGGGCAGGTACAATAAATTTTCAAACCAGTACAACAACCCCATTACCTATTAAATTTTTAGAATTTCCCAGCAATTTTAGGCAGTAGTAAGAGGCACTACATGACCAGTTTTGGCCTGAAAAAGTAGACCTTTTTAGTTGAATTTTGGAAGACTGTTGGTCATCTGAACATTGGCCAACCGTCACTTGATACATCAATTGACTTCAGACTGATATAATCACCCATTTATTATCACAATTGATTGGTGAAGACCTCCTTAATTGCACATGATCCCACCTTATTTTTTAGTTTGGCTGGCAGAACAATACTCATTGTAAAGTTTTAAGCTTAGCTGGTTTTCATCTATTTTCAGGTGTGTGAGAGGGCATCAATGGTGATGTATGCTGGATTGGAACACTTGATGTCCTCCCAAGAAAGAGTGATAAAAATTCTTCTTCCTCTACTGAAAGGAGTAAGTTGATATTTTTTGAACTCCTTCCTAAGAAAATTAGAAATTATTCAATCCATAATTCCTTTAAATCCACACACTTTCCCTTCCTTTGTTTGAAGTATATATATAGCAATACAATATAAGAGTTACTGTATCTCTAATGGTAACAGATATGTGCCACCTGTAGGAGGTAGCCTCTCTTAGGTAGATTCTAGCCAGGATCCCATGGATGTCATTACTCGGTATATCCTGGATTTCAGCAAAATCTTCAGTTCTAATAGTAAAAAATGATACTGTATAAGATATTCAACTTTCATTTGACATTATGAAGAGCCAGATTTACAGCTGTCTTGTTCATTTTTCTTCATTTCCAGTGCTTGTTGAAAGAGTTTCCCAAAATGTGTTCAGAAAAGAAAGGATTATATGTGCTCAAGTGTTGGTGTTGCATCGTTCAAATTCTTGGAGAGGTGATTAAAATGTTTTGTCTTACTGAATATGGCCTGAGCACACATACAGTAGGGCTATCAATCCTAGATTCTTAATCCCTGATTCTGAATCCTTGTTTCTTGATCCTCAATTCTCTATCCTCTAATTTGTATCCTGGATTTTTGAAAGTTTTTTTTTTTAGATGAGAATAGAGTTTCAAATCAAGACGATCAACTGACTTTTGAGATGTACTGCAAGGCAGGGCACAATTGTGTATATGTATATCTTTGAATCATTTGAATTATAGTTGTGTTAGTTAAGTTCAATACACACTTCTTGTTAATACAAAAAAAAATTAACAAATTCAATGCCAAGAATGATCTAAGTTTGGTAGACAGGTTGGGTGAGTTGAGAAAATTATCAAGATATCAGCGCTAATCTACAATTTTTTTGTGTATCATCTTATTTGTTCTCTGCAGACCTTGCACAGAGGAGGCAGTTTGATTAATGATTTACTAAAGCTTGTCGAGCAGGTATAGTAATGTTGTTTTGTTTCCTGTTGGGATTTAATTCCAATGAGAACTTTATTTTTCTCTTTTGTTGCACTGAGCAATATTTGTCAAGTCTTAAGACAGCCAATTATTTACATTGTCATATTACTTTTAGGGATTTCGAGATCCATCAACTGAAATTCAGGTTATGTCCTTCTCCGCTTGGAATATCCTTATTGACAACTTTGCCCTCTCATCAGGTAAATTGAACTCTTTGACTCCTAAGAGTGACCAGCATCTGATTTCTCCTTATGTTATCACTGCTTAATCACAAATTAAGGTCACAAGAATAAAGAAAATGATCACTAACTAAATAAGCTCCTGATTGTTAGACAACTTCTCCCTTTCAGCACTTTGGGAAATGTATAGAGAAGAGTATAGAGAATATGCATACTGATGTTCGAGTGTAAAGGGTTAATCTTTCACAGGGATTTATCAAGAAATGTGGTAGCAAGAGAGTGGCATAAACTAACAAATTAATTTTCTTCATGTCTGAATGAGAAAGAATCTCTGGCCATCCAAATTTAGTGGCAGAATTTTCCAATTTACCCTTCAACCTTTGAACTCCCAAGATCTGTTTCTTAATTCTCCAATTCAGCTGCCATATATTTCCTTGTAATTAAGTTATGAGAATTTTTTTGTTTGATCAAGGAAAAAACTTCTACCTGATAAGTTGAAGTATTCTTTTTACATGTTTGCTGGATGATGTATGAATATTACTGGGAGAAGTTACAAGTTGATCACTTCTGAGGTTTGATTTGGAAGGGCAGAGGAGTAAGCGGCTAGGGTATGGAGGGAAGGGAAGTCATAAGAGCCTTCTCCCCTACCTCTTCTTTTCTCCCTTTATTTTTGCTCTCCTCTCCATCTCATCCTCAACTAGAGAGCTTGTTCAATAATTGCTGACTAATCTTTTTCTGCATTGATTGTCAGTAGCCTGGTTATACATGATGACATACCAAATCACTTTTCTCTTTGGTCCCTATAATCAAGGGGAAGACTTCCAAAAGAGACCCAAAAAGGCCTTACATAGTCCCCCCTCACAACACAGAAGGTTTGACATCGGATTATGGTAGCCTGATATCCATAGATTTTCACTTTGTTAGTCATAGTCACAAATTCTGGTGTCAGTGACTTGCTACACGCTGATTTTAAGAGGGTGGTGGTGCTCTTGGAAGTTTCATATGTTCAGAGACTTTTCAGCAGTATCTTGGGAACTTCTCAACCAAATCTTTTATTATCTGGCAGAGGTTGGGGGGGTGGTGGTGTGGGGAATGAGCGGTTATTTTTCAGTTGGGTAATGTGGGATAATTGTGCACAGTTTAACTGTGACCAATTGGCAATGGCTGATAAGGAAACCAAATGAATATAAATGTGGTTTTTGTGAAATATATTTGAAAATGCCATTTAAATGATTTCTTATCGATTTGCTGTATAAGAGAACAATCATAATTGTTTTGGATCAGTTGTTTTTTTGTTGCTATTTGGTGTTGAAAAGAATAAACGGCAGATGTTCTTAGTCCAAGTACGACTTCCAAAATTCTCAAGTCCATCTTGTTCATTGGATCTGAGATAAAGCTGTTCCCTTTTTTGGGTACTGGTGGGGCTGAAGTTAATTTTTTCACTTCACAGCTAGAGGACAGCCCTCTTCCAACTTTGTCACCGTATTTGTTGGCCTATACTAGATTGATTGATGGCAAATCATACATCAGCTCATTGACTACCCAATTGACCAAACAACTCCTTGCAATCAGGAGCTTTTTAACTTTGATTTACCAACAAACTTCTTCTGGTCAGGAGCTCTTATCAGAGCTTATTGATTCCTCAATTGCCAAACAACAACCTTGCAATTGAAAGCTCTTTTCAGAGCTCATTGACTCCCTGATTGACCAACAAACTTAATGCAATCAGAAGCTCTTATCAGAGCTAATTGACTCCCCAATCAACCCACAAACTTCTTGCAATAGGGAATTCTGATAAGCTCATAGACTCCCTGATTGACCAACAAACTTCTGACATTCAGGAGCTCTTTTCAGAGCTGATTGACTTTGCAACCTTGCAATCAGAAACTCTTATCAGGACTGATTGACTCTGCAATTGTCCAACAATCTCTTTGCTGCAATCAGGAGCTTTGATGTGAGCTGATTGACTTGCCAGTTGACCAATAAAATTCATGCAATTGGGGAGCTCTTATAGGAGCTCATTGACTCCCCAATTGATTGATAAACCTCATGTCATTGGTAGCTCTTATCAGAGCTCATTGACTCCCTGATCAAACAATAAACTTCTTGCAATCAGGAGCTCTTATCAGAGCTCATTGCTTTCTTGGTTGACCAACAAACTCCTTGCCATCAGGAGCTCTTATCAGATTTGATTGACTCCTCAACCAACAAACAAACTCCTTGTGATCAGGAGCTCTTATTAGAGCTGATTGACTCCCTGATCAAACAACAACCTTCTTGCCATCAGGAGCTCTTATCAGATTTGATTGACTCCCCAACTGGCCAACAAATGTCATGCAATTGGGAGCTTTTATCAGAGCTCATTGATGCCACAGTTGACCTATAAACTCCTTGCAATCTCAAGCTCTTGTCAGATTTGATAGACACCCTAATCAACTAACAAAACTCATTGTGATCAGGAGCTCTTATCAGAGCTGGTTGCCTCCCTGATCAAACAATAAAGTTCTTGCAATCAGGAGCTCTTATCAGAGCTGGTTGCCTCCCTGATCAAGCAATAAAGTTCTTGCAATCAGGAGTTCTTATCAGAGCTGGTTGCCTCCCTGATCAAACAATAAAGTTCTTGCAATCAGGGGCTCTTATCAGAGCTGGTTGCCTCCCTGATCAAACAAAAACGTTCTTGCAATCAGGAGCTCTTATCAGAGCTGGTTGCCTCCCTGATCAAACAAACCTTTTTGCAATCAGGCACTTATCAGAGCTCATTGACTCCCTGACTGACCAAAAACTCCTTGCCATTGGGAGTTCTTATCAGAGCTGATTAACTTCCCAACTGACCAACAAACTTCATTCATTTGGGTGTTCTCATCAAAGCTCATTGATGCCACAGTCACTCAACAAACTCCTTGCAATCAGGAGCTCTTCTCAGATTTGATTGACTCCCCAACCAACCAACAAATTCTTTGTGATCGGGAGCTCTTATCAGAGCTGATTGATTCCCTGATCAAACAACAAACTTTTTCTTCTCATTAACTCCTTGATTGGCCAACAAACTTAAAGCAATCAGGAGCTATTATCAGATTTTATTGATGCCCCAATTGACCAACAAACCTAATGCAATTTGGAGCTCTTATTAGAGTGCATTTACACCACAATCGCCTAACAAACTCCTTGCAATCTGAAGCCCTTAACCAACCTACAAAATTTGTGTGATCAGAAGCTGTTATCAGAGCAGATTGACTCCCTGATCAAAGAACAAACTTGTTGCAATCAGGAGCCCTTATTAGAGTTGATCGACTCCCCAATTGACCAACAAACTCCTTGTGGTCAGGAGCTCTCATCAGAGCTGATTGACTCCCTGATCTCTTATCAGAGCTCAGGACTCCCCAAACAAATAAACTTCTTGTGATCAGGAACTCTTTTGACTCTCTGATCCACCAACAAAATCCTTACAATGGCAGCTATCATCAGATCTTACTGACTCTCAGATCAACACACAAAGTAATGATGGTGACCTTTTCACTGGATGATTGGCACTCATTAACTTTCAGTGGGTAATGACAAAAACTGGGAGTTCTTCTCTCAACATGAAATTCTCCCAAAAAATCTTAATGTCCTCAAAGCCTTCAGGTTATTTCCACTGATTTCTTTTGCCTTTGTAAATGAAGCAAGATCCATGGTAAGGTATTTTTTTGAGTGAATAATATTTGCCATTTGTTCTTTTCAGCTTTTTGATTATATTCACCAAGTCAGGTTTTTCCCTAGGTTTCCTCAGCTAGTGTTGCCATGGTAACCCATACCAATGGTTATTCCACATTAACTAATTGCCAAGTTACATCACCCTTCCAAATGTTATTTTATTTGGTTAGGTATTTTTGGGTGTATTGCTGAAAGTTCCTGAACACATAATTATTGGTACTTCCAACGCTGACCCCACAATTCGTGGTTATGACTATAATGTAGTGATTATCTCTGGGTATCAGGCTAGCTATCATAATCTGATATCAAACCTCAAATGTAGTGGGGGGTGCCATGAGGTAGACTCTTTCTGGCTTCTTCTCCTTGACTATTACATTAGACTTTTCTGAATAATAAGCATCTCATTTCACCCATCAGTATCACCACTAAATCAAACAGTAAGTTGAAATGATTGTAACCTCAAGAAGCTTTTGATTGTAGGGCAAATTCTCTCTCAAAGTAGTATAGGAAATATAGAGGGAATAGTACAGAGAACTTGCATACTGATTTCAGGGTGCAAAGGGTGAAACAAAATCTGAGATAATCATTACTTTCTTTTCTCTTGTGTGATTATTTCTAGATGTCATCAGCAGTCCAAAGAGGGTCAAGCTTATTCTGACTCCTTTAAGGGTAAGAAAAGATTCCTCACTTTGTGGAACTGAAATTCCCGTATAGAGTCAATATTTCTAAAAGTTAATTCTTGGTTGTTTGCAATCTGCAAACCACAGCAGCCAAGCAGTAACAAGTGACCCTGGACGGAACAGTTGAAATGTTACATTCTAAAATTGATAGTGACTATATTGCCAAGAAAAAATCACTCTCTCTTCATCAAATTCTTTATCATGCATGTACAGCTGTAGATGTATGTTGTGTGTGTGTTTTCTTTTTTTACCTGATGTCATTTGTAAGGCTGCCTTGGACATGATTAATGTGTAAAATGGATATATTGTCATATACAGCTGTCTTGAGGAAGGTTATTGGAATAAAAGCATAGAAATGCATTCAGCAATCTGGAAAAGAATAATTGTGGGTAGTTTTCATGTCATGTTTCCTTGACCTCAAGATTTTGGGAAATCTGAGAAAACATCACTGTAAGGTAAAGCATATGGGGTTTGATGAATTTGGTTATCTATTTCTGTCACGTATTAAAATAATTTGATTACAGGATACCCAGATTACCTTTCAAATTGCACTTTTGTCGTCTCCAACAACCATTCTTGAAATAACTGTTTTTTTTATCCATGTGGCATTGTTTTGCAAATTTTTTTCAAATGGTGCCGCAAAATTCTTACTTAATTTATAGCCTCTTGTTCTTTTGATCTTGTTTTATACTATGTAACTAAATGTAACCATAAAAGTGTGACACAATAATAATAATAATAATAATAATAATAATAACAACAACAATAACAATAATAATGGTAATAATAATGGTTTAATTGACAGATCCACTGGGTGGCTCTTTGTTCAGTTATATTATTTGCAATTTAAAATAAATGACAATATTTATGATTTTAAAAAAAAAATTGTTAACTGTCCATATATGTTGTTTCCAGAATCTTGCTGTGAAGGAGAGAAATGAAGCAGTTGAAGCTGCCAGACTCTCCACTTGGTGGCACTTTGTCTGTTCATTGGGTCCAAAAGTTCAAGAATTGTTTGATCAGGTATAATTTTAACCCTTTCACTCCCAAGATCTTATGAGTAATTCTCTTCACTGTCGGCCATACCCTTCTCATAATGTTAGTTCAGGGAATTTAGTCTTAGATCAACCAATAATCCCCTAACTGATGTTTTTCTTTATTCTCATCACTAGTCTGCTTGATATTGTGTCAATACCATAAGGAGAAATTCTGTCTTGATCACTTATGGGAGTGAAAGGGTTAATTATCACACTATGCCTTCCAAAATACTGCCAATCAGATGATAGGGAAGTGTAGCTCTCTCCCATTGTGCTATCTGATCTTATTTCTACTAAAATTTGGCAAACAGTGCCTTAACCCTTTAACTACCATAAAATTAAATGATCAAGCCAGAATTTTTTGTTACATTATCAATAACATATCAAGCAGACAAGTGATGAGAATAAAGAAAAATATCAATTATGGGATTATAAGTTGATCCAATTCAAAATTTACCAACCTAACATCATAAAAATTGTATGGCATACAGTAACTTAGAGAATTGCTAATGAGATCTTTGGAATGAAAGGGTCAAACATTTGGCCACTGATGATAACTTTTTTGGAACGCCAACATTAAAAGATAGTTGTCAGGATGGTGGATGTTGTAAAGTCATGAGTCTGTACATTCGTCAAATTTATTCTGTTGGCCACTGTTTTTATCAGGTGTGAGGTAGTCATGTAACACTCTCTTGTGGTAAAAGTATATTTGCATGGAGTATCCCTTTGATCACAAGGAAATAGGGATTTTTTTCTTTCCCACAGTTTTACTCTAGAATTGTACTTGTAGATATCACTAAATTGAGGGTTGTTTTTTTACTTTAAAAATGATATGTAGTCTTGAACATAAATTAAACATGTACAAAAACTTACACCGTACTCTATTTTATCCTAGGTTTGCACTCCACTTCTTCAGTTTGTCTTTGGCACAGCCATTGATCAAGTTAGCTCATTGAAGACCAAGGAAGGACTTGGTGACCTCAAATGCCCTCCAACACCAACAAACAACAAACTCTTGTCAGACATGAAGGCAGAAACACCCAAGTCAAGTATCCGCAGATCCCTCAAAGACATGGGAACTCCAAGAACACCAACTGTGTTAAATGCAAGCTTTTCCAAACCAGCAAAACAAAAGCTTCTCGTACAAGGGTGCGAGATATTGATGGAATTGTTGAAGACAGAGGACACTGAATTTAGTTCAAATTCTGATTTTATTGTTTCACTAGGTAAGAAATTTCTTGTGTTGATAATGTTACCATAGTTTTCTTGATTGATTGAGATCCTTAAAAACAAAAACAAAATTTACTTTAAGTGGCCAATAGCCTGTCAGAATGCAGGCTTTTCATTGGTATATGTCTTAAAAGGACTAAGCACTTAGAAAATGTTCTCCACTTCTATTTTACACGAAGCCTACTTTAGGCCAACAAAATTTACAACAGAATACTACATTGTAGCTGTAGAATTTCTGTGATTTTCTAAAGTAAATTAACAACCTGGAATGAGGGGATTTATTATTTTATGGAACCATTGAGAACTTAAGATATGGTATGAAAGAAAGAAAACATCAGTTATTACATCATGATTGGTTTTATTCTTGTATCAAATTGGTTGAATTGCTGTTGGTGGGACAATTTTTTCCACCATTTGTGGAGGAAAATGAAGCAAAGCCATGCATTCCCCCTCTACTTGAGACACTTAACATTTAATTGAAACTTACTTTTGTTGCAATTATTTTCAACTGGATTCTGAAGTTTTGAATTTATACTCTAATACTGTAATTTAATTTTTTAATCTTAGGTGAGAGATTGCATATGGTAACTTTCAAAAAACCAGAGGAGTTTAAGAAACATGCTTCCTTATTAACAAGTGCTGTGAGGGAAGTCTTCAAAGCTCTTGGTAAAGATCTTGCAGGTAAATGTAACTGATGATGGGACCAAAAAGTGTTTATTCATGGGATAGAATCGTGTTTACAAGAATCACTGATAATTAAATTTAGGAAAAAATTTCAAACCCATATTTGATAATTCAATTCACCACTACAGGCACAAAATGGATAGATCAATTGAGTATATACTAAAACAGTGGATAGCATTGAAGGCACATTCTGATTGGTTACTCAGACTCTGAATATCCTTTGCTATTCACTTCCGAGCAACTGGTGTGGGGTTTGCACCCAAAAATATTGTAATCATAGTAGGAATAAATAAGTTAAAGACATCTTTTTGTGCTGTACTATCTCACTGTCTTAGTATATACCAAAACAAACATTCACCTTGGTGTAAGTGGCTAGCAGTGGATATTTATCTCACTGCTTTATGGCTCGGTAAATATCCACCACTGGCCACTTCTATTTCAGTGAATTGTTGCCATGATGAAATAAAATAGATTAAGAGATGAGAAGTGTTCTGTATGCTTTGCCATTGGTTGAACTCTTTCTCTCTAAAGATTCAGATATCAAACCTCATTACTTTTTTCCCTACATTCCTTATAATTTTAGATGAGAGAATCTAATCTTCAGTCAAAGAATATCCTTTAGTTGAAAGTTTTCTTACCTCTCCTTACCCTTCTGCTTGAAAATTTATTGACATTGAAAGGATAAATTCATTTTTGTTCAGTTGTTGGAGTGAGTGGGTCTTTTTTTTTCTAATATATTTGTAATTTCTGTTTTGTAGAACCTTTGGGTATCAGAGTGTGGAACCTGCTTGTTAAAAGAATCGAGGAAGTCCTGGAAAAAGGTACTCCTTTAAGTTAATGCCACTACTCTGCTGGTTCATGTCTCAACTCCACTCCTATGTATTCTATTGACAATTTGTGGTGATCTCATGTAGTCTGCAACACACAGATTTGATTGATAGAAAACACAGCAATAATTGCTTGATAGGGGCTCCACTTAAATGAACATGATTACATCATATCCTATTTGTAAATCAACATGCACTACTATGCTTATTAGTTAAGCATAACAGGGTAAACAACAGAAAATTCTGGAAGGTTTGTGTACTAGAACATTCCTCTACAAAAAACACAAATTCAATTTTTCATTTTAAGGTCCATTGTCAGAGTGTGGAGAATTTTTCCTTCCACTTCTTGCTGTTACACAGGAGTTGGTGGACAGTTCATTCATGTCATCGTCTTTAGTGCTTGTGAGTTTTACTGAAATCATTGATAATTTTTATTAACAGTCAAGTATACACACCCCTTCCCCCCTTGGTACTCTAGTTGCCTTCCATTCTTCGCTTTGTTCTGTAGCTTGTGCCATAAATATTTACTTTCCTGTTGGCTGTAGGAAACATAAGGAAATTTTCATGAATGAAGACAATGGATAATTGGATATTTCATGAAAATGCTTATTTGATAGTTTAGAGCGTTTAAAGGATAGCCAATCCCAGGTTGTCACGTAAGGTGAAAATTAAGATGCCAAATCTTTTATCACTCCTCCATGACATAGGGAGATTGGACTGCTTCTTTGTTCTGTTTCATTGGTGATTGCCTCCCATTGGTTTTGATGTGGCAATACTCCTTTAAGAAGCACTCTTGATTAATACTAAGAGGGAAAACGGTTATAATGTAGATTAATTTTGTCATCATTAATTTTTCCACAACAGAAAATGCTTGAAGCTTTGTCTAAGCTGCCTGCTGAAATTTTAAGTCATCACATGGCATCACTTCATTCTAGAGAAAATCCGCAAGGATCACCAACTCTTCTCCTTATTCAACTTTTATTCACTCCACATTTACTGGAAAATACCTGGCAGGATGAGAGGTTTGAGAATAATTCTCTTAATTATCGATTGTAATACCACTTGGACTTTGTGTGAATAGTACCTCATTAGAAAGGGCGCTGTGTCATGGCAATTACACTTAAGTTTAGGTTTCTTCTTTTTTATCAGACAGAGCAATTACATGCTTAGGATACTTTGTAGTGAGTACACAGGGAGGGGGAGCTTACTTGCATGTAATTCATAGATCAGTTAGAAACTTTCACATCCCTCCCTCCCTTCCCCAGCTAGGTTCAATTGCCACTCCCTTGTGGGTTGCTCAGAGGGGGGGGGTGGGGGAATGATGATGTTTGCGCATGAGCTTACCGGGGTATACACGTTTTTTAAGTAGGATTTATAAGCATTTATTACAATAGCGTCATGCTTTATTTACAGATTTCATTTGGCATTTGAGCATCTTGTTGATTGTGGAATGATAGCAGCCTCTGGACAGTTGTTCTTTTTGCAGACTGTTTTAAATCTCCTCAAAAAAGGAACAAGGTACTGTGCAATGTTAGAATTGAATGAAAGGTGTATGAGAACCTTTTTTATAATTATTTGCCTTATGATTTTTATACACAAAATATATTGTGCAGGGTTTGTGAAAACTGCATTTGTAGAATGAATAATCTTAAGAATTAATTATTACAACTAGGATTAAAACTTGTCCCGAGATGCCTGCTAAAAAGAACAGCGTCCCAAAAGAGATAGGACATCAACATGATTTTTACATGTTATCTTACGATCCTTGTGTAAAGTTCTGATCAACTGAGATTGAAGTCCCTAAGATTTGTTCATTAACATGATTCGAACTGATACGTTATTTATTGCAAAGATCTTTTCATTTTTTATTTTGCTCTTGCTGAGATGAAAATGCTTAAAATATTTTAAATTGTTTTAAATTTTCATAGTTCTGTCAATGGTAAAGACACTCTTTGGAGGCTGTGGAGCTGCGTTGTTAACCACCTAAGTGAACACATTCAAAAGGTTTGGCAATGAAAATATTCGCTCTTGATTTCTATGGGGATTATGGATCGATCAATTAGAAGCTTCATCCCTTCCTTCCCCGCGCATTTAAACTGTTGAAGATTGGTGTTTTCAATTTCTCCCTCCCCAGTAAAAATTATATTCCAATACCCCACTCACGCACAATTTTTTATTGCTTCATTCTTTGTGCGGTAAACGGATGTTTTAGAATTTAGCAAAGTCACATGAGCTTTCGGTGCCCCCGTTGGTTTTTTTCGCTGGTGAGAGTCATTCTACGATGTGACAATTTCTATCGAGGCCATTTCCTCGTTAAAATGGACTCTTGACCTTTAAACTCCTCCATACTTGAAATTAAAACACTTGCATTCCATGCGTCAAATTCCCCACCCCATCCGGGTAAGGTTCAAATTTCCCACCCCCTGGGCATGGACGACGGTAAAAGATCCGTGGGTTGCCGGGGGGGGGGCGATAAATTTTCGATTTGATCAGTGCATTAGTTGATTTTGGCCACGCACCCATTGACTATCACGTGATAGAAATCTCAAGCTCATAGTCTAATTGTTTAAATCTTTTTATCCCAGACGAATGATGTCAACCAAGGAGATGCCCTAGAACATGACTTCAGCACTCTGTACTTGGCTCTAATATTTCCGGTGAAAGATCTTTTGGATACAGATTTACCACAGGTATGCTTGTCAGCTGTGCTAGTTAGTATTTTGAAAACTTGGAGACCCGTTTCCGTAGAATCGCTTTTCCTTATTCCTTTGCCTTGATGCTTCTCTCATGTGCAGACTCTCGGCAAAGAGGTGGGCAAGACTCTGGTACAGCTGTACCGTTCCTTTTCTCGTGCTGCTGCTCTTGTTCCCACGGCTGAAACTAACATTTGCTGTGAAGAATTGTGCGTAAAGATTCTTACAATAGAGGGTGACTGGAAATCTAAGGTATGGTAAGCTCTTCAGTGGAACAATTGTACGGTAAAATTTTAACTTAACTTAGTATTAATAATGGCAATTCTCTATTTTCCCGCTGTATTTTTGTAGAAAACTGACAATTTTTACCTAATTTCAGGTACAGTTTTGCTCCCTTACTTGTTGATCAGTTAAAATTGAATGTTTTGATGATCGCATGTTTGTACTTTCTTCATAGAAGTTGTTTTCGTTAAATTTCAGGGCGTCGTTTTTGTTGACACGCTTGTCAGTCTCATTGTGGTGGCTATAGAATGCCTTGATTTCTCAACTCCAAGTTTGTTCGACATGGCAACCACAGCATCAGGAAAGTCACCTAACACTACCCCTACTAAGTGGAATAAACGATTCCAACGGCCCATGGGCAATATGACGAGCATGGTTAGCGTGGTAGCCAAGTTACTGTCTGCATGTGAGAGAACGAGGAACAGTAAGGTAATATTGTGTAAGATCGTTGTCATTGCCTTACTCTTAACAATTATTTGATGCGGTTTTTGTAATATCCAGGATAATCAAGGTCAAGGTAGGGGTTATCAGCCGAAGCTGAAGGCTGAGGCTCTGATTTTCGTTACCGAGAAAACGAATCTAATAGTTGTTTTATTATAAATTGAAAGAAAAAAAATTGGTTACCAAAGTGAGTGGAACTGATAATTTATTTTCAAACTTGTAAAAATATACGAATCAGCAAGCAATACAAAGCGTGCGAACATGACATGAATACCCTCAGAAAACATTCACCGCGGTCAAACATGGCATGATTACTCGTGACCTTGAGTGTCCTTGACATGTTTGTTGTATAATCTAGAGCTAGATGACGTCCAAGGCGCTTATTTCGAAAATTCACCGTGCGCTTTTGGCCAATCAGAATAAAATTAATAATTGGAAGCCTTTATTTCTAACGACACTTGAGTTGTCTTATGGGAGACGCAGTAGCTCGATGGGTAACCCTTTACACCCTAACATCCGTATGCATATTCTCCACACTGTTTTTATATATTTCCTGAGGTGCTGACAAGGAGAATTTGTTTTCCAATCAAAAGATTCCTTCCCTGGTGACCATTTCCTTTATTCTAATTACCTTAGTGTGTGATTCAGGAGTGATATTGTGGTGAGAAATTAGGTTTTAAAAGGTTAATGAACTGCGCTCCGGGCCGAAAGATACGCTTTTATTCATATCTCTCTCTGAGGGCTGATTACCTCAGAAAATGTCTCTCAAATTTTTTTAATTACAGATTACTGGAACGTCCCATTACTCCAGGTTTTAATTTTATTGAGATAATTAGTTGATGATGAAAGAAGACGTAAAAAGTACAACTGTTGCACCTAACTCGTCTTAAAATTACGCATACTAAATCTTAAAAAAGCCAATCATATACTAAAAAGTAAGTAACGCACTGATTATATTATCGTCTTAGGATTCAACCCAAGCCCTTGGTATTCTAGCAGCTGCTCTTACGAACTTAATTGACAAGCTGTCTTACCTGTTTGTTCACATCAATGGAACTGCGACCATAACTGCTGTTCTGAAGACTCTGAGCTCTGCTCTGGTGCATTACATAGAGAATGCGCACACAAGGTAAAACAGTGTATGATGCTATTTTTATAATCGCAGAGCGGTTCCGTTTCTGCGTGTTACCAAAGACATCATCGATCTTGGCGCAAGTGTAAGGAGGCTTTGAAACTGTTGCCTTTTTAGTAAAACTGGTAGAGTGTTGGACTGCTATGCACGATGTTGGAGGTTTGAGCTAGTGTCAAGACCAGCACTCATTTGAACCAAATTGATTCCTTTGAGTGCAAGATTACTTTACCAATGGTTAGACGTTTTAATCTTTATGAACAAGAGCTGTGAATGCCATAGGCCCAATTGCCACGTATCGTCATGGTTATGCCTGGTATGTGACGACTTAAAACACACAGTGTATTTCTTGCATAGAAAACCCTTAATGAGGAAACGAGATCAAATGGGACCTAAGGAAGTTACAAATTTGAAATTGCGAAGAAAGAACCGCGTGGAAATAAGTAAATTTATTAATTTGCATGTACAAAAGGTGGTGATTTTTTTCTCACGCAGCACGAAAATCACTGAAAGCTCTTTGGACAAGAGGCTGTTTTCTGCAAGACTTATTCAAAAGGTAGGGTAGAACTTCAGATATTTTCATGTTTAATTCTTTACTTTTTTGCACCGATGTATGTGCCCTATGTACTGTCTCCTCATTTTTACCCATCATGGTTAGATGTGAATCATTAAAAGTTCTAATTCAAGTCAAGATTATGAGAGATGATTGGCTTTTTCTTGGTCTGGCGTGTTAAGCACAATGTCATTTTTTCCAGATTGAGAAGCTGTGGTCTGATATTCTCACTTGCATACAGAGCCGCCATGGTGGGCCGTACAACTCTGACCTGTTATCTATCATGTCTCCTCTCCTGGTGTGTTATGAAGCGCTTTTATTCTGTCCTTTTGAACCTTTAAACTCTCAAAAGTGATTAACATGTAACTTCTCCCTTATGTATCCATACATTATCCAGCAAACAGGTAGTGAGAATACTCAAACTTATCAGGTGCAAGATATTATCTTGAACGAACAGCAAATTCTCGTAACCAATCTACAAGGAAAGTTGTTGTAGCTAGAGGGGAAAATTAACAATCAGATCTTGGAAGTTTGTCTGGAAAATTCCACACTATCGGCGATTTCACCATTTCCTGATCATCCCAGATTTTTCGAAAATCAAAATTCGAAATCTTGAAATCCCCGACTGTCTCGAATAGTGGGTGACAAATTGGGAAATAGGGAGCGTGAAAGTGTAAATAAGTTTCTATTTAATAGTGAAGCCTTCATCCAAGGGTATAATAACGTAATTTTTGTATTAATTTTTCTTAACAGGAAGTGACGTTAGTTCATCCTAAAAGGAGTATCAAGAACCACGCTGTCATGTTTTGGAATGCTACTTTTGCTCATTCGCGAACGTTGGAGTATCCTGAAACCTTAAGGTATATAAAAGAAATTACCTCTGGAAATGACATCAAAATAGACAGCGTGGTTACTTTTTTAATAGCTGATAACCATCCATCAACAATCCATCTGTTGTGAGAGTTTGTTTTCTGGGACCTTAAACTTGAATGGTCCAGGAGATCCGTTTTAAGAAAGTAGGGAAAGGTCTGACTTGTAATGGAGTTCTAGCTGTGTTTTCGAAAGGATGTGACCCTTTACACCCCAACATCAGCGTATATATTCTCCGTACTGTTGAGTATATGTTTCCAAGGTATCGAGAAGGAGAATTTATTTAACAATCAAGAGTTGCTTCAGTTGGTAATCATTTCCTTATTCTCGTGACGTTAATGAGTGATTCAGGGGGTGATACGGTAAGAGGAAATTAGATGCTGGTCAAAACTTTAAGGGTTAAGTTCGACAATGGGCTACAGAGAAGCTTTTACAATTTAGGGTCTTTAATCAACTTGCTGACACTTTTTCTTTATCCCCCCAATTATCACCTGTTGATAATGTTCATTTTTTTTTTCCCAGACCAGTTCTTCAGATTGCCAAAGATAAAATGTCACTTACTTTGCCAGGTTGGGAAAATATTAAGGTACGATTGCCGACTTGGTTATTTTTTCGTAGCAGAATATTTAGGGTACATTTTAATGTGCTTTGTGGCTATGAAACGAACATAAAGTAAATGAAAGAAAAAAAAACGTGTTTATTCTGATCAACTTTCTTTTGTTTTGTTATATATTTCCTTAAAATGTTTATTGTCATATTCAGATTTCAGACAAAGACGCACATTTGGATCTCGAAGTAAGTAGTTCATTTTCTGTTTCCCCTTAATAACCCTTATTTCACCGTTGTGCTTGTTCTCTTTTTAGTTTGCAATCATTATTTAGATTATCATCTAACAGTGATACCTAAAAGACTCCGGCATGCTACAGTTCAAGTTTTTGCATCTTGAAAAATCTACGCTAAATTTTTTTCTTGGTTTATTTTGTTGGTCTGTTTTTACTTCATCTATTGACTCTCCATCTTGGTTTAGTACTTTGACATCTTTCCATATTTTGTCTATTTCGTTAATTAAACGACCGTTCCGTTTGGCGGAAAGAAAAAAAAACGTAGTTCCTTTACCCCTGTTACTTTAAGATTCGATGATACGTTCTCTACGGTTGTCTGGCATTAATTTCGTATGATTGTAGCGTAAACTTTAGTGCAAGATCAAGCAATATTCCCTTTCGCCTGGGGATGTATTGTTATCGTTTGGAGAAATTCCCTTTTGGTCGTTCCTGGGAGTGACTAGCTTCAACTTACATTTAATGAGCATCTCTTGTCCCTTGATCTGTCGTTAACTATTTTTCTTCTCTCAACATCATAATAGTCTGAAGAACTTACCCAGCACGCAAACCTTGTGAAACCGCTGCCATATGGTATCTTAGGCTCTCCTCAGCGCCGTAAGCATACGTCAGTTTCAGGAGGGTCCCCACAGTTGAAGGGCAGTTTCTTACACAAGGCCTTGAGTGTCGAGAAAGTGGTGGAAAATGCTTCACCTAAAAGAGTAAGAATTCGTTTACATTTTGACTGTATGAACGCTTTTAGAGATAAAAACCGACATTTGCGGTATAATTTGAAAATACATCTCCAGTTGAAATAGTAACAAATAGGAAATTAATCATGATGTGGTGGCTTTAAAGTTCAATCGTCGAATAAAGAGACGTGTGACATTTGTCCATATCGTCGGGATCTTTCGATTTTCTGGTCGGATGCTTTACCGATCAAGACAGAGCGGACAAGTTAAAGAGCAAAGCTATATACTGCATGCTGGTACGACCACGGATGTTGGAAGCGTCTCGTGTATTCAACTGACAACTATTTACCAAAGTGACTAGTGGTAGATATTTACTGAGTTGTGAAGTGGCGAGGTAAATATCTACCACTAGCCACCGACACTGGAGTGAATAGTTGTTTTTATATAGACTAAAAGAGTGAGATAATATAGCACAAAATATAATGTTCACTCATTTATTCCGCAACGATCACAATATCGGATCAATATCAATATCTTCGGGCGCGAGTTGCTTGGAGGTGAATAGCACAGGATATTCGGAGTTGAGGATCCAATCAGAGTGCGCCTTCAACGCTATCCATTGTTTTAACATATACTAAGCGAGAATATATCTCCACGCAACAGTCTTTCGACATTCTTGGTGGTACTAATGCCTCAATGCCTGTATTTTTCAGAGAGTTAGAACTAACAGTGTACTCGAAGGAAGTGATAAAATCAGGATGAATACAGTATTTGGTGTTACTGCTTCCGGTTTGTCTTTATTTTTCTGTAATTTCTTCATGCATTCAGATAAGTCGCTCACCAAAAGTTGGACGCCCTAGAAATTCCCCGGCCAATACGCATGTGAGGAGAAAATTGCCGCTGTCCAAGTTCGACGACGATGACCAGGTTAGTTGATATCTGTAAGGGAATGCTGACCATTTCAGTGACACGTGAACTACTATGCTCGTGACAAGTATGCACATAACGAGTATGCACGTGATTGACTCTAACCATCTCTCCGCTGAAAAGTAATCACATAATAATATAATTTAAAGTGAGTATTTCTTGTCTATAGGAATACGTCATGATTGCCCCTTCTCCGAAAAAGAAGCGCGTGCTTACTGAACATCAGAAAGAAATCATGCGGAGCAGAAGGTAAAAAAATAAGAACTTGATTATTCTTTGCAAAATTTTTTGTGCACTCTTTGTAAAAAGTGAAACGTAAAAAGTAGTTGTAAGGCTGTGAAACTTGAATGATACAAATCTGTAATATAAAACCCCGCTAATCCCTTGAAAAACGTTAACAAACAAACAAGCAAACTCTAGATGTGGGAAGGGATACGGGTATTTTCTTTTTTGTTTCATGTCGTTTTAATGTCAGTCTTTTTGGGTAGTGATGTATTATTCTCGAGGATTTGAAGGAATCCAGTGCAAAATCTCTGCTGTAAACAAGAGAAAATGGTTGAAAAAATTACTTTATATTTCGTGCTTATTAATATTTAGCTTCTGGAACTTTCATTTTAAAAAAAATCGATCCGATCAGAAATTTTGGTTAGAAATTAGTCGTTGCAGAACATGATAAATCGTTAATCCATAAAATTAGACTCGGGCAAAATGTTCATGGTACACGTTATTTATAAGGAACAGGGATGGTCAAGGGATGGGGAGTTGGGTTGGCAAAATGGTGAGAGCTCGTGCCTCCCGATGAAGGGGGTTTTATTCCCAAATCTGACATCACATGAGGGTTGAGTCTGTTGTTGAATCTCGTCCTTGCTCTGAGGGTTTTTCTCCGCTGCTTCTTCCTCGAAACCTAACACCCAAAATTCAAATTCGACTCTGAATCAATGGATGAAGAAACACTTTGTGGATGTAATTCAATTTACACCCTATACCCTGTTTTTGTTATTATTATTCAGCACTGTATAATTTTGTTACCTGGGTAGTAAACCCTTAATTTTACAAGGTAATAATCAGAGTATCAATCGGACTCTTCGATGATGAAGTTTTTATCGAAAAAATTGAAAAAAATCAGACTTAACAGACGTGAGCCTTCACCACATATGAAATATACCACGTATTTTTAGCACATTGGACCCTTGATAATTTGTATCCTTTTTATTCCTCACTACAGTGATGTTCCTGCACTCTACAATGCGCTTGACCACTCACAAGACTGCTCACAATTTTCACAGTTCACTCTTACGTCACATGGAGATGTCACGTGAGTATCCATTCCTTCTTTCATGTAGTCCAGTGTGAGGTGTCACAATAACCAAGAATCTCTTTTTTTCATTTCTCCCATATAGTGTTGACACGACTCCAAACAGTTCACCAGGTGAGCTTCTCTTTTATGGATGATTTTAAAGGGTTTCCGTGAGAGCTGGCAACCGGTGGAATTCTCCTTGGATGTCAAACGAAATCGCCGCCTACTTACTCTGAAATTAATGACGTTATGTTAAAAAACCAACTTCCATTAGCCTTCTGCACTGCCTTTTTTGCCATTTACTTTAAAACTTAATGAAACTCCAGCATTTCTGTTGAATCCTCTCCTAATCAGCCAATCAAACTTAGTGATTCATTACTGTTTACTGTGGCGCGGAGATTTAGTGGTCAGCGGACTGGAAACCAAATTGGAAGGTCCGGATTCAAACCCCGGCCGTGTCATGTCGTTGTACTTTTGGACAAGATGCTTAATTCTTACATTTCCCTTCTCTGCCCAAGAGTATCAGTCGGAATCAGGAAACTGTTAAGGAATTTTGATGAATTGGTGGACCTAGCGGCATTCCATTCAGAGGATTAGTAATACTCTTAGCTGCTTTGGGCAGAATAATAGAAGCAAAATTAGTTCCGGTAGCAAGGGGCGACTTATAGCGTGAGACTACAATCGACTGAAAAATTGTTCAATGTGTTTTCTCTCTTCCCCTTTGTAGAAGAAGAAAAACCTCAGTCGCCTGGTAGCAAGAAACAATTGGTCTGTCAGAACGAGGAAGAGCTCCAGGTTGGCTCAAATGTGCGAGGAACAGGAAAAAGCGAGAGCGAAAACGAAAACAATGCGGAGGCCATTGAAAGGGCAACAACGGAAAATAAAGTTGGGAGAAATATGGATAATGGCGAAGACTCTAAAGGAAATGGGGTAGAAATGGAAGACAAGATCAGTGAAGGAGCCGATAGAGAGGTCGAAGGAATAGAATGTGAAATTGTCGAATTAGTGGAATCTTCCCAAAATGAAGATGGAAACCTGCGCGACGAAACAGAGCAAACTGATAAAGATGAGGTGGACAGTGATGACGAAGTGATGTCACCTGACGTCATACCGTCGTCACAAACGCCAAGCTTTGAGTCCCCTTTTCAGTCCCTTAGACAAATCACGATCCCGCCCGACTCCATTCTACCGGGTTTAATTCAAACAAGGGCAAGTATTCAGAGAAACTCGAAAAGAGAGCAGAATAATTTAGGGAATTCTGATGGTAAAAACGTTGATACGGCATTGGAAACGCAACTTGAGAGTGATGTTCTGAAAGAAGATAAAGTTTTCGACTCTGATTCGCCTATGAAAGTTGAAGAACAACCAATAACTAAGACGAAAGTTTCGCCAGTTGCCGGGCGAACGAGAAGAAAACTTCAACAGAAGATCGAGATGACGCCAACGCTCGAAAAACCACAAGAAGAGCCCACAGAGCAAGCGATCAGCAGAATTATGCTCAGTGATCAGCAACTGGCAGAGACTGAAAAGCTGGGTGACCAAACACCCATGGAGAAACCCGCTGAGCCATTTGTCGCTGGCCTAACGAGGGATGAAACCTCGTCTCCAGTCTTAAACGCTAAGAGCAAGTTCCTTCGTCCATTTGCAGCAGGGGGTAGTCCGTGTCGATTGAATCTCCGCGGAAGAAATTCCCCGGGAGTTTCTCCCACAACTGGTATTTTGAAAAGATACCATGCGATCAAGCAAGGAGTTGACTCACCCTCCCCTCCCGGAAAGGTAGTAATAATTAATGTAGTTATTTATCTTATTACACATCTAGTATTTTCAGGTGTTGTCAATTGGTAAAGGAGAGCGTTTTCCTCAATGGCCTAATTTCTAAAGAGTGAAATTCCACCATTTCTTCTTGAGTCGATATTTTTCTCGTTTTTTATTTTTTCAAGGACGGCTTCGTCGGAATTTTAAAATATTTCTGATTATCGTTAGAACTTATTTCGATTCTAGGTAGTTGTCAACCCATCTGACAAGAACTGTTTTATTCAAAACTTAGGTTTTGTTTTGTAACGAACGAAAAAAGCAAGGGTTAAGCGATCTTTCTGTTTTTGCTAGTGAATATTAATCAGCAAATGATGTTGCTGTGTTGTGTGTCTCATGCGCTAACCAAATTGTGCTTTTTCTGTTTGTTATTTTGATTATCAAGGTCAGAAGAGTTTCGTTTGCTCTACCTGTTAAAGATGACAGTTGTGAAGACTTGCAAGAAAAAACCGCTGAACTAACTACCATTGCTTCACACCTTAAAACATCGGGCTCTTCTCCATTCACGGCTGTTAAGCAAGTACGTAACTCCCTTTAACTCCCAGAAATTATTTATAAGTAGCTTCTCCTTCTTCTATCCATACATTATCCAGCAAACAGGTTATTACCTTGATCTAACACCAAATTTTGAAATTCTCATAACTAAATCACTAAATTACTTTCTTTTTTTTTTTTAATTCATTTCAGCGGAGACCTTTACCATCGAGCAACGCCCATAGTGCCCAGGACTCCACCGACTGCATGTTCCCAGATCTTGTGTCTTGCACAGTGCCAGTTGAACAGATTCTTCCCTCCATTCTCACCATGTCTTGGTCACGTGGTATGGGTCACTTGGTGCGTGCGCAGAATATTCACACCATTGGAAACTTGTCAGCTTTGAAAGAGGAGCAGGTAATACAAACAGAACCACCAGAAATGCATTGTGTTTTAGTTACTTGCTTCAGAAAAGTCGTACATCGGGGCTTTCAATCAATGTGCTACCAGTAGTGAGAACAAAAAAAGTTTTTCGTGATGCACAGCCAAGTGTGTCACTGATGTTTTTACCACATTTTGAGGTCTTCTGTGATCTGTTGGCATAAAGACCCACAGCAATATGGAAGCTATTTGTTTTATGTGACAGAAAAAGTAAAATGTTGTTAATGTCCTACAATAGATCATAAGGAAGAACCGATCAAAATGCGTGTACATGTATAAGTCAGCTTATCGTAAAAACTCTTAGGGCCGGTCGTTTAAACGAGGTCTAACCCAAACCGCGTTTTCACACAAGCAGTGGGCCTCAGGGATTCTCTATGAGAGGGTGGATCTGATTCAATAAATTTCATTCCATTGTTAGTTTTCGCCCCTCATGACACTCTTCACAAAATTAAATGTTCAGATAAAAGGTTCAGCGGAACTGAAGATGGTTTAGAACGCAGTTTTGTTAAACAACGGCTAAACTTTGTTTAAATAACCGGCCGTAAAAGTTACATGCTCCTTTCACAACGTAGAGAGAGGTACTTCTTTAAAAAAGGGCTCCGTAGCTTTCGCCGAAATTGTCACACAAGGTTTTTACAAACCTTATATAAATAAGGACAACTGAGTTTCACGAGATGACAAGACAAGCTAAAAGAGGTAATTTTTCAGGTAAAAAACCTACCCATCAAATCACCCAAAGTACCAACACTGAAGACAGCTTTAAGAAGATTCCATCAAATTCAAAGAGGGAGGAGTTCCAAATCTACTGTGGCAAAGTTAACGGCAGAAGTTGTTCAGAAGGAAGAGAATGAAAACAAAGAAGGTGAGAGTAGTCCCATGATCCAGTTAGGTAATTTAAAGATTCTACAACAAAATGGATTACCGGAAATGAGAGCTGCAAGTCTGTACAAATAATTTATGATAGCTTTAGCCCTAATAAATCATAAAGGAAGAAATTTCAAATGTCATCATCTGTAAATGCTGTTGGGTTTATCAGACTGAGAAAAATCTAATCTTTTGTTTTATTTTTAGTTTTATCTCAAAAGAAGCGTTGTGTGTGAAAGGTTTTCTGGGTAATACTCAACTTAACTCTAAAGTAGACCTTCGTTCTTTAGTATGTCTGGTGTTGTTACCACATTCTCACAGCGTTTGTAAATACAAATTGTCTCATTGTATTTTTGGGAAGCCAAGAAAACTGAAGGTCTCAGTTTCTCTTTGTTGCTTCCAAAAATTTCGTTTTTAACTTTTTCAATGCCTTCACCTGCCCAATCCCTTCTAGTCTCAGATAGAACAAAGGCAAAAACTAATTACAGTATGCGAAGCCTACAATTCGAGGTGTAATTTATATTTTGACCAGCGTAGTAACGTGTTTTCTTAATTCTTCGCAACAGAAGATGTAGCCACCTCTGAACATGCGCATCTCCCAGGAGAGGCTGGTATTGTAATGAAGCCAATAATAGTTGAGGACCCTCTGAGTTCCGGCGGCACAGAAAGTACGCAAACGGCTGTGGAGTCTAAGATGGAAGGGATTAAACCCAGTGAAGATTGCTCGTCGAATGAGACCGATCTAGCACTGGTTGTTGAAACCGAAGAAATGGCGTCCGATGTGGGGCCAGAGGGAAGCGAGGCGGAAATTGTCTTCGTCGATGATGAAAAAGTGATTGATCTACTTACTGTTGAAGCTCGAGCAAATAAGACGGGGATGGAGGCGAGCACCACGGGGTCATGTCGTTCTGCGCATGACTCTGACGTTATCGAAGCGACCGCTGACATTTCTCGCCCTCAAGTTGAAACTCGTTGTGAACCAATGGAGCCATTTCCACGTGAAGAATCGCGCGAAGAGCGTAAAGGAACCGACGTAATGCTGTCATATCCAGAAGAAAATGTGGAAATTGGAGAGAAAGATTCGGGAGATGCAGGGGATATAAACATTAAGGGAACCAAACCTAAAGAAACGGCTGTGGTGGCTCAGGAGAGCACTGATCATTCCTCTGCTTCCACGACATCTATCGGAGGAGACAGTGATAAAGAGAGGTTTTGTAACTGTTTACGTTCCCTTAAAGATCTTGCATCACCTAATGTTTTACAAGCATTGTCAAGTGAGGAGATTTTTGAGGCGCACCACAGCCTGACGGATGTCACGTCGGTCGTAGTGCAGGCTCTGAGAGGGCGTTGGCAATCACCGAGATCTAAGAAACGGGCTGTTCAAGACATTCAATAAGTATGATAAACTTGAATCTTTCGGTAACCGGTCTCATATGGTTATGTAAGAGAAAGCGAACTGTGCGTAGAATTGGAAATTAAAAGCGGGTGGTGTTTTACGAAGGTATTCTGAAATATTAAAGATAGAGGATTGTGTTGACCTTGAAGGATTTCAAATCCGCCTATGTTAAGAACTGTCCTGGAAAGAACTGTTACTTGTTTATCAGAAGTTATTATTTCTAACGTCAATACATAAGCACATGAGAATTACTATCTATTCGCAAAACTTCTCAAAATTGTTAATTTCGTTTTTAAGTTCACGTTTCGATAAAATTTGTAGTTGTCCAAAGGTTATGAAGAAGTGGTTTCCTTTTTACATTTAACCCATGAAACTCCCATGAGCGGTCGAGTGTTAATTTCCGACAACCATATCTGGCGAGATCTTATGGATTTACCCACTTCGAGTCCACAATCTAGGCCAAGGTCTCTTAAAAATACTTTATAATAAAGTAAGGGAAAATACAATCGTAACTCCTCATTCCTCGTCAATTGATATCAGCCTCTGCCAGTAGACATCATTCTTCCTAACACTATGGAAGATTAACTAAAAGAGATCTACTTCTCTCTTCAAAGGTAGTGTTCAAAGTTTCAATGACCGGAAAAGAGTAAGATAATTGTACGAATCGAGAACAACCTTTGAAGGCTTGCTATGGTCTTCAAGTCTGTGGAGAAGTTACTTTTTCATTTTGGCTTTGTAGTGTAACCCAAAAACAGTTTCCTACACAAGAAACTGAAGGAAATTGATTCGAGTCTGCTAAACCTCCAACTTAATTATATCGGTTCAGGGGATAGAAACTACTACTTCTGTAGGTTGCGCATCAGTTAACAACAGCATCAACTGTTGGCCTTGCTAAATAGCCCAAAGTCAGATCGATGTTTTAAAAATAACCTGCTTGTATTGCTTTTGCCTTTGTTCGAGACCTCGAGGTCCTTAAAATTCAAGATCCCGGCGAAGAAGGGTCAGAACCGTACATATGTTAAGCAAAAGACCACTTTCTATCGGCGTAATGACCCACGCGGGGTTAAAGATCACGTCCGAGAAAAATGTTTCAGTGCGCGAGCAGAAGGCAGGTGTATCTGAAGCCTTTGGAGTGCTCTCTAAACATTTTCAGAGAGGTATCAATGAATAGATGAAAACCCACAGAAAATCTCTTTGTCTGTTGCTCTAGTAAGATAACTTACGATGGTACCATTTTCTATGAGTTATATGGCGATAAAATTAACAATTATTTACCGACGCGGAGGTTACTTATGGCGGATAGTTACCGAGCTGCGAGGCGGCGAGGTAAATATCAATAGCTAGCCACCGACACTGAGGTGAATAGTTGTTTTCGCTTATTCTTAAACAGCGAGTTACACACTTGTTTTTATATAAGAGCCTTTTCCATGAGAACGTTCAGGCTGAGATTAACAAAACATTTTAAGAACGTAGTAAGAACATACCTAGGCTGAGAGTTAGTTAAGAGCGTCTTTAAAATTCTCTTTTTTTTTCTGAGAAATAAGTAAAGGTGAGAGAAATCTAAAACTGGTCTAACAGGAAAATGAACTCAATTGCTTGGGGAAGTTTTTTTAACATTAACAATGAGGTGTCTCACCATTAACCCTCTCCATATTTTTGACCAACGACAGCCCCCTTGGTACAAATTTCTTTCTCTCCCCACCCTTCCGCTGCCATTAACATCACTGATGGCGGCCATAATTTTCGTCAAGAAGGTACTGAGCACTCACTCGCCAAAATTACGCCTGCTATGCAGGCTAACACAATTTACTGTTTTAGTATACAAGGTGTATCGCAACTAATATCTGGTAGCTGCCATGTTTTACTTTGAACAAAGAGCTGGTGCTGGATTAATCACGCTGTGAATCGAAATATTCTCTACAGGGGGCAAGATGAAGTTAATTAATTTAGAGTTCGTCAATAAATGCAGTTGAGGCACTATAAAAAAACGTTGGTTAGGTCCTCAAGATAATTGGCGATGTTTCCTTTTGGTGATCTCTTTGAGTCATTAATAGGGCATTGTTTGGGAGACGAAAAGCCAGGCCAAGTTGCGTTGAAAGCCTCGCAACCTTTTACTCGAATGTAAATATTCGAACTTCCATTTATTTTTGCTTACAACGGGCCAATAGTAGTAAAAGCAGAAATCTCTTTTACTTACAACGCACGTATAGCGAGTTGCAGTCATTAAAATACTCGATTGTTCTTTGAGATAAAATTAATATCTTAGCTTTCAGCGAATTTTCGTGACATTTTCCACCAAAGAGAGATTGCTGGTAGGGCAAAAAATCTTTGTGGGGCACCTAATCGAGCAGCGGGGATCTAGATAAACAATTCCATTGAAAGTATCTGAACAACACCGAGTCCGTCAAATATAGCATTTTTAGTACCTGAATCGAATCAGATTTTAAGCAAGGAGAGAACATTTCAAATCTTCGTAAAGGGATTTGGCAGCTTCTGAGACGTAACGTTACACTGGAGTAAATTTTTGATTCCGAACAGAAAAACTGAGTCAAGTTAAGTTTGGTTTTTCTGAGAATTTTTATCATAATAGTACGTTCTCCTTCACATGTCTGATTTAAGGCACGTTTCCGAGGACATTGAATGGTTGGCTCGGGTAAGTACAAAGACGCTGTCGTTACAAATTACTAGATAATTTGTCAACGTACAAACGTAAGTCTATTTGTTATTAGTTTGAAGTTTTCGCACCCGCGCAATCAATGAATTATGACCTGCTGGATGAAAAATTATTGCTTTTGTTTACTTATTATGTTTTGGTTACAGTCCAAGGTGTTAAAACCTGTCAAAAATTTGAACAACAAATTGTAGTAAAACTTAGATCGCTTGGAATTCGCTGATTCAGAATAGACAGAATTTAAGGGAGCTGGCCTTTGAGGAGATCGCGGTGGGTTCCTTGAACCCAAGGTTAAGGAGATCAAAATATGACGAGGTTTAGTCGCGGGTTCGAAGAAAATGTTATTTAGATGACAATGGTTGAGGGTGAGGAAAACAAACCGGGGAAGGTAAGAGCTTTAATTCTCTTCAGTTTGCCAATTCAAAGCTCAAGTTTTTCTGTTACTGGAAGCTTCCTAGATGTAACCTACGGGTAATGAACCTGTCAAGTGGGTTTTATGACAGTCCATTTGGTTCCTTGGTTAAATGATCATACAATTTGGGTTATAACAACAACTAATTATTGCCTGCTGTCAAACAAATTGATAAGTCAAGTTTGGCGGCTGGATCCATTTTGCGTTTTAAACGAGTTAATCGGGCTAGTTCAGAATCTTGTTGGCGTGGGTTCGATCAAATGCATTTCCAAATTGTCAAATGTTTTCTTTGTTATTAAGAGAAGTGTGCTCTAAACTGATAACATAATACTGCTGGGCTCGATAGCTCGACAGAAAAGAATTTGAATCGGCCAAACCTCGAGTTAATTATTATAAAGATTACTCTTATAGAGAAACCTGGATCACTGACGCATGCGTGGAGCGATTATAATTCGAATATTGGGATTGCTGTGGGGTTTTTTTACCTTACGGGATGAGATTGGTCAAGAGAAAACACGCTTCGTTCTCGACCTCATCACATGCCAACGAAAACCAATCACTCCTGATTTCCATCGTTTGACGAAGCAGTTGAGTGGCTTTCTGTGGGATGTAATTATCTCCTTTTTAAATTTACCTTTGTTCTGGTATGTTTGCCCGTTATAATTACTTTGGTTTCTCGTTACGACACCCTCTCCATGAAAAATCGGTCTAACACCTCTTCACTTGACCTGTTTAATTTGATAAATCACGGTGGACCTGTCGTATTTTGATGATACACTGACCTTGTGGCGATCCATATTCATTACTCCTATGCAAGTGGCGCTCGGTCAGTAAGGCTTGTTCATATTCAAAAAACTCACTGACTGCAAGAATCGGTTATTATCTCATTTTGGAGCAGAGCCTTTGGCTTTGATTAGAAATGTTCAAAGGAGCTAGTGAGAAATCAGTGTAGAAACAGGTGAATAATCACATATGCAGTGAAAAGCGAGAGACCAAGTTGTGATTGTTCCAAGTTTCCATCAGTTAGTTGAGATGGCTCAAGTTCTACAGACCAATTACACAGTATAGTGATGTAAGGCCAATGCTAATCGGAGCGTGAACTTTTGACGCTCAATTGAAAACGGTAATTAATAATGAAAAAGGAAAAAAAAACTGAAGTATGATTCATTGCCCTGCACAATCGTTAGTTTGTTTCAGATCTTGTCTCTCAAGTTCTTATGATATGTGGGTCCCTCATGGCGGTTGCAAACGGCTTGATACCTTCTCTGGGAGCCATGATTTATGGAAAACTTACTGACGAGCTTGTCATCCGCGAAAACTGGAATTGTACTCTAAACGAAAGCGTTACAAATTTACTGCTAAGGAATGTGGTGACCTTGGAAATGGTTCAGCCCCGTGGGTTAACAGCTATAAATGCCACAAAAACAAAGTCTGTTCAAGTGATAGTAAACGAGACTGGAATTAGAGTGAAGGTTGTTGGTTTGAATGGAAGACTGCAGCATAAATCGGCTCTTGATGAAATTAATGCAACATCTCCTTCAGTAGTTCTAAACGGCACTGCTTTGAACGGAACAAAGTTGATGGGAATTATTGTCATGGGAACGCGTGTTGAAATGGTTAAGTTGAAAGAGAAAGCGTTTTTAAACGAAATAACGAAAGAAGAAGAAACAAGAAAAGCAAAAGGAGAGGAAATCATCGGTCATTTTAATGAAGGAAAACATAAAATGAAAAGTCCTCTTAAAAAAAATGGGAAAGAAAGTCATGTAAGTTTCTTTTATTTCAAACGTGAGGCTGACATTTTCAGTAACCAATTAGGTTACGCAAGTTCGAAAAAGCAATTAATGGAAGAGGGCTTTGGAAATTCAAGGAAAACTAAACGAGAACTTGAGTCTTATGGAAAGAAAGTTTTCATCGAAGGTAAAACTTCTAAACCTGTCGTTGATTCTCAATTGGATTTCGAGAAACATTTTGTCGGCAAGCATGAGGAAACAAGGAAAACATACAAGCCTTTTTCAATGGAAGCATATCGTAGAGAGAAAAGTGAGTCTAAAGTGAAGATGAATTCCGATAACACAAGAAAAAAAACCGAGAGGAACGTAATTGACAAGAAATCAACAGTACAGCCGTCAAATAGAACAAACAGAGAAACCAATCAAAAGTTTTCCGATGACGGCATTAATGTTGGTCAAGTCCAGAGTATTAAGAAATTACCTGCGGCTCCCACACCCACAATCCTACCTGAAACAAATAACGTAAACTACACGCTAAGAAACATCACGAGATCTTGCCGCTTGATACAGGACAGAATTGAGGAGAACATGAGCAAATATGCTCTGTATTATGTTTACGCCGCCATTGGAACCTTGGTTTTTGCATACGGACAGATGGTGATGTGGAACATAGCTTCCGAGCGAGGGGTTAGAAACTTGAGCGAGAATTTAACCGATTCAATGATGGACAAGGACCCAGGATTTTATGATACCAAGATACACGAAGGCGTGGTCAACCTACAAGGCCTCACGTAAGTAAAAGACATCTTGCAACAGACCCTTTTATAATGAAAATATTGCTCAAGCACTAAAAAATCTCATATTTATACATCTCATGATGCATTTAGACTGGAAGTCACGATTCACTCCAAAGAGGGAGACGGGGGTGGGAAGGGATTAGAAACTTGAGAGTCTCTGGGAGGAGGGGTGTTAATCAAAGCGTAACATTAATGGTTGAGCACTAAGGTTAAGGTATAATGTATTTATATTAGAATAACTTCTGACTATTTTTGTTTCACAGAGATCCACAGGAAGCTATAAGTCAAAGCGACTTGAACGCGCTCAGCGGGGGACTAGGAGGAGAAATCGCTTACATGATTCAGAGTTTGTCGAGTATGTTGTCGGGATTTCTGGTCAGCTTCGTAGAAAACTGGAAAATCACGTTAGTGATGATGGCTGCTGGACCTGTGCTAGTAGCAGTTCAGGGAATAACCGACAAGGTAAGGTAGAGTGTTGATCCACCTGATGTCGACCTATTTCCAATTTCACAAGTGGACTTTGTGTAGATATAACGGAGGGTCTTAATACGGTGATGAAATTTACGGATAAACGTTATTCCATGGAAAATGCGCACGAACGATTTACTCACGAGTTGCAATGCATCAACTGAAAAAACGAACGAGTGAGGTAGGTGGGTAATTTTTTTGATGCTTCAGATCGAGTGAATAAAAATCGTTCAAGCAAATATTTTTATTTCATACATACTTAGATTTGCACTGTGAAGTACAAAGCGAAAGACTGTCAAATCACATCGTTCGTCCAATCAGAGACACGAACGATAGCAATTCACAGTGTAAATCTTAGTATGTATAAAATAAAAAGATTTTTGACATTGAGATCCTCTTATCATGGTAGGTAAATAAAGATTTACGTTTTCGCTGGTGCGATGCTGATTTTATTTATCCGCCATTTTTAACAGGTTCAAACATTTGTCATGCAGCAGAAGGAAGAGTTGATGAAACGCGCCAGTGGATTGGCCAGGAAGAGCATGGGGTCGATAAAAACGGTGGCGTCATATGCTGGGGAGAGGTTAGAGAAGGCTAGGCAAGTAAATAACAACACATGATCAAATGAACTGAGCCCCTGATATTTCAATTCAAGGAAGATAATTTCGCTGCCAATCGTTTGTATCGAGCCAATAACCTTTTTCAGTCAGTCAGGCTGTCAAAACGGTCATTCAATCAGTCAGTCAATCAGGAATTGAAAAACCCAGGTGATCAGGTGGTCTGTCAATCGTCATTAAACCACTCATCGTCTGACAGTCAGTCACACAGTCAATCGGTCAGTCAGTCACTCAGTCATACAGTCAGTCAGTTAGTTGGTTAGTCAGTAAGTCATTCGTCAGTAATACAGTTAGTCAGTCAGTCGTCAGTAATAAAGTCAGTCAGTCAGTCATTCTGTCTGTCATTCTGTCTGTCATTCATCAGTAATTCAGTCGTCAGTAATAAAGTAGTCAGTCGTCGGCAATACAGTCAGTCAGTCAGTCGTCAGTTGTCAGTAATAAAGTCAGTGAGTGAGTCAGTCGTCAGTCACAGTCAGAGTCAGTCGTCAGTAATACAGTCAGTCAGTCAGTCGTCAGTAATAGTCAGTCGTCAGTAATATAGTCAGTCACTCAGTCAGTCATTCGTCAGTCATACAGTCAGTCAGTCATTCGTCAGTAATACAGTTAGTCAGTCAGTCGTCAGTCTTCAGTAATATAGTCAGTCACTCAGTCAGTCAGTCGTCAGTAATATAGTCAGTCACTCAGTCACTCAGTCGTCAATAATACAGTTAGTCGGTGCCTCAGTCAGTTAGTAGGTCAATCGCATAGTCAATCAAAACGATAAGTAAAAATGACATTTCTCTCAGATTTTTGCATATCGCATTGTATCCTAATTCCTGACAACGAATTGTCCATAGTTCCTTGTTCATAAAGCTTTGTTAAACTGCAGATATTCTGGTAAAGTAGAAGCAGCAAACAATCTCAATAAACTCAAAAGTCTCATTCTTGGTGTGCAAAAGGGACTCACCACTTTACTGGCTTTTGGTTTCCTTGGCTTGGGTTTTTGGTAAGTAAAAGTAGATAAAAGTTAAGACAATGTAATACAATTTTTTCTCGACATGTGTTTCCGGGAGTGGTTATGTGAGTCAATTTTTGCTTAGGTATGTACCGCTGGTCTGTCAGAACCTCTCCCCATTATAGTCTGTTCTTTTGTCAGTTATTAACCCCATCTTGGTCACTTTTGGAAAATGTAATTCTCGCTATCCCAACTTAGTGAAGAACGGAATGTTAAATATCAAATATTAAAACAACACCACGAAATTCATCGAAAACTTTTTAAACCACGAATCTTTCCATTATTAATTTCCTACTTACAAGAAGTTTTTTAACACCAAAAATCCCGACCCCATTTTAATAACTCTTTAAAAAATGCAAACCTATAATAGTCAATCCAGTCGTGAAGATGCGACCCCATCCAATTGACTCTGCTTTTCAGTTATTTTAAAAGGAATAAACTTGAATTTCTTTGGAACCTATCTAGGTATAGTTCTACTCTACTACCAGGTGGAAGTATCACTCCAGGAGCTGTGATGACGGTTGGTCATGTTTTAACTTTATTGCTTTTAGTTACTGATTACTGATTACTGATTGATTAAAGATTGCCCGTTTATCTGTGTGTATGTCTTTTCAGCTTAACCATGATGACCATCAATTCTCGACTGGATCAATTGACACATTGTAGAGCTATGATCAGTGAAAAAATAATTGTTCATTTTATCTCTGTAGATATTTATGGCTATCATCTCTGGTGTGATGCAAATGGCAGGTACTGGAGAGCAACTTGAAGATATCGGTGACGCCAGGACGGCGTTATCATCATTGCTTGGAATCTCAGAGGTAATGAGACAGGTTCTAATACTCTTATGATATTCACTACTTGAGATGTCGCATAGACATTTTCGTTTCAGGACTTTTCGCGCACTAACATCGCTCGAAACGCGCAGGCTACGCACTAAAGAGAGCCTCCACGCAAGATACACAAACTCAAAGAAGACGTGGCAAAGTACCCTCTGAGGTGCTGCAAAGAGGTCACGCAACTTTCCATGGCGATACATGGCACTACATATGGAGCAAACTAATTTGGAGGTTTTTATCTTCCTTCCTAGACCGATGAAGACCCCTTTGACAAGGCCACTAGTCAGCTTGACACAGTTCTTGGTAAACTGGATGTGTTTAACGTGCACTTCCATTATCCTTCTCGACCTGAATATCAGGTATGTCAAACAAGGGTATGCTGTTCGTCCGAAGTTCTTTCGTTAATTGCAAAAAAAAAAGATAAAAGAAAGAAATTGTCGTCAACTGCTTGCGTAACATCTCAGGTCATCTAAATGGATTTTTCTTTGAACGATTTTCTTATTTTTGACTCGTGTTTGTAAATTGAAGAATACACAAATTTCTCTCTTACTTTATTGCACAGGTCCTTAAATCCATCAATTTGACAGTGGAAGAGAATCAGACAGTTGCTCTGTTGGGAGACAAGGGCAGCGGAAAGAGCGCGTTGATAAAATTGCTCCAGCGAATTCATGATCCACAAACTGGGAAAGTAGGTTTACAAGTCTCAAAAGATGGCCATAATTCCCTTTTCCCTTCTTTTTGTCTCTGCGCGATCTGAAAGCACTAATTTGACGTTTCAGCCGTTGAATTTCCCGCTCTGTTCGCGTTTTGGCTTGACCTATCTCTCTTAAATATACCGGAGACGCAGTGCGCTTGAAAATGTTTGGTATCGGTGTCGGACATTCTAGATTTTAATGTTCGCGGAGAAATACCACTTTTTCTTGCGTAAATAACGTCTTTGACCTTTTTTTTAGGATTGTAAGTAAAGAGTTATGGTTAAGTGAGAAATCTTAATTCAACGTAGGAACCTTCTGTGACGCATATATTTGGCATCCGACCCAGAATAAGTAGTATTGTTTTAATGAATCGTACGTCCCCGCGCGAAGGTTTTTTGATAAGCTTAACCTTATGCTAACCTTATCTTCACATTATAAGGTGCGACTCGACAGGCAAGATGTTCGTTTTCTTGATCGACGCTGGTATCGCCGGCAAATTGGCATCGTCCACAAGAAACCTGAGTTTTTTAACACGTCAGTAGCAGATAACATTGCTTACGGAAAAGGTGAAGCCACTTTGAAAGAAATAGTGCGCGCTGGAAAGGTGGCTGGGGCGCATGAATTCATCTTAACCTTACCACACGTACGTGAAACAAGTTATTTTTCAAACATTTCTATGACGTAGAAAATATTTCACTTGTTCTGTGAGGGCATAGTATAAAGAAATCCGAAGAAACGAACTCCAGGCCTTCGGATTTGGCCCTGCGATGTTCAACCACTGAGCCAGGGCAAACGATGGTGAACTAGGGAATATACAGGGTTCCTATGTAACATGCTGTCTGTATAATGCTGAGATTAGCAAAGAAGAAAGCGTCAAAGCTCTGAGTAAAGTTTAAAATATAGTCAATGTCCTATGCTCCTAAAAATTAGACGACCGTGCCAAGAGTTTATTACCTTCCTTATTCTGTTTTCTGCAAATGGAGTAATAATTCCATCAAATGATGGAGGAAAATTATTTTGCTTATAATCCAGGGATACGCTACGGTGCTAGGTGATGACGGATCTCCGCTGACTTCTTATCAGAAACATTTAATAGCGTTGGCACGGGCATTGATCAGAAATCCTCGGATATTGTTGTGGGAGGAAGACTTGTCTATCATGGACAACTTTGCCCTTGATGCTTTGACAAACTACTTGAACCAAGTACGTGCCTTAATATCAACTTTATTTCTGCTCTAATGTAAACACCACAGTTTTACAAATCAAACTATTGACGCACAAACTTGGTTTACCTCTTGAAGCTTGCCCTTCTACTCTCATAATAATATAACTTGTAACTTTTCTTTACAATATCAAAAACACGAGTTGCCTGACACTATAACAAACCACACTACCTAATTTACAAGGAAAGTATAGAAGTAAGACGAATCAGATCTCAGTAAAAATGTTAGCGTCAATAAATATCCCGTTTTATCCTCAGCATGATGGTAAAATGGTTTTTTACAAAGTGTACATCGTACCGCAAAGACCTAGAACTAATTCATTAGATATCTGCCTTAGCATGAATTATAAATTCCATATAAATGAAAATAAAGGAGAGTCAATCAATACTTGGTATGATAGGTTTTTCCTTGTCAACTTGTTATATAAAATGTGGAACGTTTTAGGCAAGGCTTGGCCGCACCACGGTAATTTCAACAAGTCACGTGTCCGTAGCGCGTATAGCAGACACTATTGTTGTCCTTCATAATGGTGAGATAATCGAACAGGGGAGTCCCAAGGAACTTATGATGTCAGGAGGGGCATTCAGATATCTGGCTGCTTTACAGGTCAGTTGACGTTAATTGGGTTTTATGCCAGCTTTCTGTACCGAGAGTTACATGTTCCTGGTAGTTCTGAAACATTTTCCCCCTTTTCTCCATGTTAATATCGATAACCAGAAAGTTGGACGATGCAAAAAAAGAAAGAAAAGGAAAGTTGGTCAAGTCGGCCTACTTCTATGCGTTGTCACGCACCGCTCCCTTGCGCGACATTTCAAAGAACGACTCGGTGCAAAGGAGGCTGTGGTGTAATCTCTCTAGGTCTCTAAAAGAAACTAAGGAAATATTTAATAACTTACGACTTGTTAACTTAAAGACACTTAAAACTGTTCCTTTTTCAGTATTTTGAATCTCAGACGCTACACCAAGAGAAATTATTGAAGACTGGTGAGACAAGCCTCTCCATCGTATTGTGCAGTTTAAGAATTATTTAGGATCTGAGCTCAGCTAAACTTTTTTTTATGTGATTTACAGTACCAGTTGCATCGGAAGTGTCGCTGTTTAAGGATGGCATCGAAGAGCTGGAATCTGGTTTGACGCAGACCCAAGAAGAGACTAGAGAGCAAGTGAAAGGCTTCGTATCCAAGATCCGACACATGATCCAAGAAAAGGTGACATAAGTTCTTGATTCAGCTAAAACAAATAAGTAATGATCTTTTTGTGTGTGTGAAAAAGGACATGATGATGTGAAAGTGAAATCTTGAGCGTCTTGTAGTCGGCCAAACTACCTGCTTACCTCCCACCTAACTTTTCTCTCTTTCTCTCTTCCTCACTCCTCCCTCCCTTCCCTCGCTTCCCCCCTCCCTTTAGCTACCTGTCCAGCTACCCCGTTGCATGTACCTACGTACCCGGCTGTCTGTTTCTTAGTCTTTCTGCCTATTCTATAACGTAATTGCCTAGCTTCCTACCTACCTTACCTACCTACAATCTTCCCTGCCGCTTTCTTTTGAAAATGGATTAAAAGAGCAGTTCTGCGTTCAATCAAAAATTTTTGAGAGCAGGGATGGCACAGTGCGAAGAGTTCCCCTCGCCCTCCGCTGTAGCTTGGGTACGATTCTTGCATCTAGTGTCACATGCGGGTTTAGATTTATGATTGGTTCTAGTCATTTCCTCGAGGGTTTTGTATTCTTTATTCTGACTCGATCCGAAAAAGCGAAGAGCCTCCTGGTATCACGACTAAAGAAGTACAATTGTAATCCTATTCTGGCAGGCGCAGCCGAGATCCCTTCTATATACAAAATATCAACACCATTTTCTTTGGGAATCAAGGCACTTATTCTTCGTTTCCTCTGTTAGTTTATATAGCAACGAAATATAGTGAGCAGTTATGTGGTTTCTTGTTTTTAATAACTGACTAATATTTAAACATCGCATTTCAGTTAAACGAAGGAGAGGCTGCATACAAAATGATAAGAATGCAGCTTCAAGACCTACCACTGTTGTTATCGGGGGCTCTAGGAGCAGCCATCACAGGAATGATCGCCCCAGGCCTCTCATTTCTATTTGGAGAGATACAAAAGGTGGCATTTATACACAGAAGAATATGAACTAAGCTTATTTGTTCTGGCTCTCTCCTGGAAAAGCTACATATCTTAAGGCGCTATTAATTCTTTACAAAACTGCTATACAATACTGTAACACTATATCACTGTTGATATTCCAAACTGGTTTGCCTAAAATGATATCTTTAAATTTCTTTTTGAATCATATGTTTGGATTCGTTTTAAACTGCACATTTCTTTTTTTCTTTGTAGTTTATGAATGATCCTCTAAGAGTTGCTCGTGAAGGACCCTTCTGGGCGAGTATGTTTGTTTTACTTGGAGCAGTAGTAGGATTTGGTGGCACGATCGAGGTAAGAATCTCTTTTGCTTCGCAGCGGCAATATATCAGAAACGGAAAACATTGCATGAACGGTGCAGGTAATAGACTAACTGCTTATCACAATAGTACATCAGAAAAATGAGTTCAACCGCATTTTTAATAACGTACGGAATATGAAGGCTGCCGTCAACTAAGATGCAGGACACTCGAAAACGGGTGCAAAGTTTCATTGGGCTGAAAAGGTCAAGCTCTGAATTGTCATGGAAGGATTTCGATCCATTTTAATTTAGAATCGCTATTTTGGCTCTGAGAATCAGAATTCGCATGCTATAGAAACGTGTATTACTGTTTTTTTTTCTCTCTAAATTAATTCTTAAGTTCATCTCAAGTTATTTTGGTTTTGATTCTGAATAAAACTAGACATTGTTTTATTCATATATTACATAGTTACAAATTTCTTTATACTTTCAATTTCAGAAATTTATGCTCACCTTTGCTACGGAGAAGTTAAAGACACCACTCCAAAAACTGGCCTTTGAAACAGCAATAAACAAAGTAAGGGTTTAATCTCATTTCTTTCTAAAATCACTCAAGACAAAAAGGTGCTAACGTCTGTGATCTCACAATTAGAACTCAGCGCCTCAAAATTCAGGGATAGGTGACGTATTTCCTGGTAGTGGTGGGCAGATTCCCCAGTCTACAGGTTTTGACCTCCCATTCGTTCCTGGCGTTCCCACACAGCAGTTTGGAATTCCCTCTCAAACGTTACCAACAGGAATGGATGGATTGCCAACCTTCCAAATTCCTGGGATGGGTGATGGCCTTCCTCTCACGCCTGAATCTGGAGGAGGGTTAGCTCAGTCTAAGGGAAACCCCTTCGTAGCAGTTCCTAGTGTTGGAACGCAGCCGTTTGGAATCCCTTCTCAATCATTACCCTCCGGAATGGAAGCTCTTACGTCTGGTAGAATTCCGGGGATGCCTGATGGTACATCATCGATATTTCCTGGATCAATAGGACCGTTTCGTGGTGAACAGCAGTCAACGCCAATGAGCTTACCCACTGTTCCTGGTTTACCATCAGAGCAGTTGCCATCTCTAGAAGGGATTTCTTCCGAATCGTTATCATCAGGCTTGCAAGGACGACTGTCTGAACAAATCGCAGGAATGGGTGATGCATCTCCTGTATTTCCTAGAGCCAGTGGGCTGAGTGTTCCTCCTGTCCCTGGTGTGCCTTCAGAACAATTGCCATCCTTTGGAGCAATTCCTCCCGAGGTTTTATCATCAGGCATGAAAGCAATTCCCTCTGGCCAGATTCCACAAACGAGTGACGCATACGCACCTCAGCCAATGGGACTAAATCTACCTTCTCTTCCTGTTGTGCCCACAGAGCTTTCACCCTCACAAATACAAGGTAACATTCCAGCACGAGTCAGTCCACAAGGAGTCAATCCTTGTGGATTGGGACTTGAATAAAGACTTCCTAGTAATTTGACACAGCTTAGTCCAACAGGAGTAACAGAGCTTGCATTAAACAATCCCCAGTTGCACGTTTCTGGCTTAATACCCGGCTCATTACCGTTTGTAGGGATTCCAACAGGAGTGGCATCAGCCGGAGGAGTGGTACCTTTACCTGGTACACCCATGGAAGGTTATGGGGCATTCGTACCCGGCTCGCAGATTAGTTCTGGTGAGGTGCCTCATGGAGGTTTACCTTCCACGTATGGTGTTGTGCCAGCTGGAACACAATATAATAGGAAGAACGTGCCTTCATTTGCTGATCAACGAGGGATTCAAGATTTAGAGGGAATAGGGCTCCCCCCAAATATACCAAACCCACGACCAGATCTATTGGTGAGTTGCAAACCACTTGAATAATTCGGTATGATGAAATTTCCCTCTTAATCTCAGCTAACCTTAAGCCTTCATTTAGAGACCTAAAATTTCTTTTCCTTCATAATTCAGGCACGTGTAGCGGGCCTGTACATCTTTGAAAACACTAGCACTTTGTGTTCAAGTTTATCTTTATACAACTGAGGAATATGTAGAACTTGGGCAAGCGCTTGAAGTTAAGAAAATTGAAAGTAACGGCCGCTTGAAGTTAAAAAAATTGAAAGTAACGGCAATAGCTTATTTCTGTTTGCCTTTAGGTTTTGCCAGATCCACAACAGCAAGCGGATCAACTCATGAGCCAAGTTGAAAAGGATGTAGAGGCAGCTTTACAAAATGTGAGTGTCTCTTAAAAGCTGAGGTTGACGTTCCTTAATCTAATATAACCTGTTTCCCAGTCAGCCTTGCTGAGAATGTTTCATAGAATAAAGTTTGAGATCACTGATCGTCGTTGTTACGGTAGATTTGAGGTATCAGAGCAGAAGTGTCCGAGATACAATGTTAAAATATTATAATGACTCTTAGGGCATCAATAACTTGTCATGTTGAAATATCTTAAACCAAAGAACTAATGTAATTCTTTAAAATCTAGCTATTTTTGTGTTTGTGTTCTTAAGCCACACTTGCGGAGAAAAAGAAAAGCGTGTCCCAAGGTTCCGTTTGCGGTGAAAAAAAATTTTATAGAGCCAATTGAAGAAGATTATCCTGCTTAGTTTTGCCGAAAATTGTGTGTAGAAACGGATGGCTGCACGAACGTACAGCCGAATTGACACACACAGAATATGTGCTATGAGGTACAATGATGCTCTCGCTCTATCAGTCTATAGGAAAATACCTTGGTCCCAAAGTACAGGAGACCATTTCGTCAGTATCAACGCTCGGCATGGCTCTTTACAATGGATGGAAGATGACCTTGGTGGTGCTTGCTGGACTGCCAATAATTGGGCTGGCTAATCGGATTCAACAGAACGAAGCTGACGCCACGGTGGAACCGGAAGGGGTCGAAGCAGTAAGTGCACCATGTTGATGCAGATCCTCTCTTCTGTTTAGAAAGACATTGTGAGTACTGGCTTTCTATGTCTCTCTATGTCTCTATTAAATTACACCTCGATATTTTTTCTGGCTGTAATTGCAATGACTCTGACTTTGAAGAAAATTTTTTGCTGTCTCAGAAATTTTAAAATAACGAAAAATTTCGACGAAACTCCTTTTTTCACATGTTTTCTGTAGAAAGTTACCAATGTATAATGACAAATTTGTTCTAAAATGTTAATTACGTGGTATTTCTACGGACAGACTCGATTTAAATCAGTTCTCGAATATATTTGAATAAATTTTAAACAAAAGGCCCTTTTGCTCATCGTTCCATTTTTTCTTTTCAATCGTAGCTCATGAAAACAAGCTTCAAGAAAATGGAAACAATTTCCGCCCTTGGAATGGAAAATAAATTCGCGAAGAAATACAAGGATGCAATCTTCGAAAAATATAAGTAATAAATAATACTTGTGTTCCTAATCTTTACTTACTTTTCGAAGATAATGATATTAATCATCAACTACATTTTTTTGTAGCTTACAGCTTCTGTTGTGCGGTGACCAAAAAATTTTCTGAAAGAAGACGCACAATGGACCATATTTATATCCTCAGACTATAAAGCGTAGTTTTCGTGCTAATCTCTCTACAGGCTCTCTCTCTCTCTTTTCTTGTAAAACAAGTTCGCAGAATTTAACTTTTAGTAACAATCTCTTCACTTCAAAAAGTACCCTATTTCAAACTCATTACGCCTTCAATCTGAGGACACTAACTACTACTTATCACCTTCATTGAGTCAGAAATTTTGACTGTATTCAGTTATCATTGCTCAACCGTTGACTTTCCTTTCTCACAGACAGGCGTTGAAGAAGATTATTGCCAGTGGTTTTGCTTTCGCTTTGGGACAAGCTATGGTGTTCTTCATTTACGCAGGTGCACTTAGGTTTGGATGTTACCTAATCAGCATAAGGGATATGGCTGCCATTGAAGTTTTAGGGTAATTTTCCATTTTGTTCTCGTCACTCCTACTAACTTAATGTCAAGTGGTACAAGCCGTTACATAGAGAATAATACATGGGCGCGTGTAGATATGGAATTTCTCTTCGTGTGTTTAACTCGATAGCTTATGAGTGAGCGCAACGAACGAATGAGATGTCGAGTTGAACACGAGAAGAGAAATTCCATATCTACAAGCAACAACAAGTATGTATTATTTTGTTTATCATATAAACACAATAGCCCTTTACTGAAAAGAAAATCCGACTTCATTAATGAATGAAAATAAATTAATCGGCAATCCCCGAATAACAATCGTAGAGTGGTGCGTTGGCGCTAACTCTTAGGATGGAAAAAATGCGTTGAATCATGATTACAAAAAACAACAATGATCGTAATTTTCAATTTACAAAATTCTAATTTACTGACTCTGTCCTTACCGACAGTAGAAGTCTTTCAGGTTAACGGCCAAAATCGGCCTCTGGCAAATCTTCCAGTTGTCAATTTTCATTCCCAGCAGAGAGAAATGCTAACACCAAAGCCACTGAATGTGTAACTTTCGGTTTTTCTTTTAGCATATTGATTTCCTTCCCCTTCTAAGAAATTTTGAACCTCACAGTCTGTCAGCGATACGGATTTTTTAGCCGCCATAATTCGAGAAAGCTCCGACAAACAACTTGAACTGAGAATTGTGAAGGCTTTGCTGTTCACATTGTGGTGCCAAAGGCGAGTGACATGTCAGCAGCTGATTGGCTATATCACCACACGTGAAAAAATACGATTTTTTTTCACGTGTGTTGTTGCGGCTTTTCTCAGAGCTGGAAATCCCTGTATAACACCGCAGTTTATGTGATAAAAATATTTCTCCTTTTGTTTTAGAGTGTTAATGACTGTACTGTTTGGTTCGTATGCAACGTCAAGCTCTCGAGCGCCGTCCCACGCGCATGAAGAGAATGAAGATTCGCTGAACAGACTCTTTGACGACGAGACACCAGACGTGCAAGATCACATTGGTGACAAGTTGGTGAGCTTTTACATTGATTAATTTGTGAGTTTACCATTAGTTAATGAGGCTTCAATAATCTCTCTGCCTCGTTCCTTTGATTTGCTGGTGAACTAAAAAGTTTCCAACTGAGATGTCATGCATGAAAGTTAAGAGATGGTTTAATAAAAGGAAAAAGTTGTTTATGTTTTACCAAAAAAAAAAGATGTTGTAAGGAATCACTTAAATATATGAATAACAGAAAAACCGTGCGATCAAAAGTCTGGTTATTGGTATCAGAAGAGTTTGAAAGTTATTAAACTAAAGTAATTTTTCACGCAGGATGAGGTTGAAGGAAACTTGGAGTTTAAACATGTTGAACTTCCAGATCCACTCCATAACGACGCTCCGCTACTGAGCCAGCTGAACTTGAGGGTCAGCAGGGGACAAAAACTGGCTATTGTTCAACTGGACAGCGATAAAGTGAATCCGTTTGAACTTTTATTGGAGCGTTTCTTTGATCCTGTCAAGGGAAACTTGGTAAACATCATAACTTCATTTTGCAGTTTACAATAAACACTTCTCTAAACGATGTAACTTGCCTCATATCTATGTATGGAGCTAAAAAATTCCATTCAGTGATCTTCTTTCAACAAAATGTTAGTTATTTGCTTTTTTGAACGCATCATCGACAAATCCCGTCCCGCGCCAGGCAAACAAACAGTCAAACAAACAAACAAACAAACAAAAAAACCAGCAACAAGAGCGACAGCACGAAAGCAGATCTTAAAAGGATAAACTGCCTTATTAAAAGGACGCAGTCTTTGATCTTGATTGAAAACATTTTCTTACGACTTTATCATCTGTTGTCTTCATAAAATGGACACCTCTATTTTCCTGAATACGTCACTCAATTAACTAAGCTTGCTCTGTAGTCAATGGTGTATACTAAATTCTCCTTTGCCCGCAGCGTCGTCTATCATATATTATAGCGATTAGGGCTCGTTTGAATGTACGTTTTTAACTCTGCATTCGTTTTAGCTTTTAGATGGAGCAGATATTCGCAATCTGGATCTTTCTTGGTTACGATCCCATCATGCAGTAGTGTCCCATCGATGTTTCCTGTCACATTACAGTATTGCTGAGAATATTGCTTATGGCGACAAAGGAAGACTCGTGACACAAACGGAAATTGAGGACGCTGCCTATTCAGCGTATGCACACGAATTTATCGTGGATTTGCCAAAGGTAAAGAACTGGTCAACTAAATCGTACAGATTGCTACAGTTTGAGTGACAAATACTTAGAGTTGATCTTCAAAAGAGAACAATTGTTTGCGTTCGAGCCAATAAAATAGAAGGCTGAAATAATGAAGCAGAGATAAAAGAAAGTGTTCCTCCCTATATAAGCACTATAAAACAGCAGTTCTCCAAAAATCTTCGGTTAGCATAACTAAATTCTTTTAATTTTTTGCTAAAGTTTGAGGAATGTGGTATAGCAACGTCTGCGTTTCTATCGTTGATAGTGATTCATTAGTTTCCTGATTCATTGATGGTTATCATGTAAAAAGTAAAGGTTTGAAAAATAGCTCCATATGGAGATAAGTTATTCATTTATTCAACCTTTTCAATGGGTTCGTTCTCGCTGTCTGTTTTAGAGTTATGAAACAATTCCTGATGAAGATCAAATCAAATTGAGCGATAGTCAGAAACTAAGGATCGTTATAGCACGGGCAATTATCCGAGAATCGCCAATCATCATTTTAGATGAGCTGGAAGAAGAAGATCAGGTATTATGATTATATTTAAGGAAAGAAATTAGAACGAACGACTGTTAGATTATGCGTTCATCTATGCGTTCATGTATTGTCCATTTTTTCATTCAGTCATTCATTAACTCAGTCGTCCACCTATGTGAATCACGTAAACAGTCAGTCAATTAGTCAGTCAGTCCTATTACCAGCCGGTCAGTTCCTTTGTCCGGTTGTTCACACTCAGTCAGCCAGTCAGTCAACCAGTCAGTCGTTCAGTCAGTCTGCGAGCCAGCCAGTCAGTCGTTTGACAGTCAACGAGCCAGCCAGCCAGTCAGTCAGTCTGTCATTCAGTCAATCAGTCAGTCAGTCAGTCAGCCAGTCAGTCAGTCAGTCAGTCAATCGGTCTGTCATTCAGTCAGTCAGGCATTCAGTCAGGCATTTAGTAACTCACCCAGTTGTTCAGTCAGTCAGTGAACCAGCTAGTCATTCAGTCTGTTAGTCGGTCGGTCAGTCTGTCAGAGGGTTGGCCAATCATTTAGTCACTCAGTCAATCAGTGATGTTTTCTTCCCAATCTCGCGGCGTTTTCCAATGAGTTTCATGACTGCCTCAGAAGTAAAATAACACGATGAATTGACCTATTTTGGTCCGCAGGCTGTGACTGATTTAGGCACTCACTCAGTTATTCAGTCAGTCAGTCAGTGAGCCAGCTAGTCAGTCAGTCAGTCAGTTGGTCAGTCAGTCAGTCAGTCTGTCATTTAGTCACTCAGTCAATCAGTGATGTTTTCTTCCCAATCTCGCGGCGTTTTCCAATGAGTTTCATGACTGCCTCAGAAGTAAAATAACACGATGAATTGACCTATTTTGGTCCGCAGGCTGTGACTGATGCCACTGATATCCTTTGCCGAGATAAAACCTGTATCATACTCACAAGACGGAGACAAACAATTGAAACTGCAGACTACATTATTCTTATTTACCACGGGCGCATACTTGAACAAGGAAGTTTGAATGACCTTCTGGAGCAGAGACGCTTGTTTTATTTATTAACAAATTTAGCAGACGCTGACGAGTTTTAGGTGGCTTTTTGTATATTTTAAGACGTTGTTAAAGCGAAAAAACTTTTCTAACTTTATGAACGTGTTTTATATCTTTTTTTCCTGAATTAAAATATATAAAGATCAAATAAAATGTTAGACTATGTGTAATCATAGTTATGATTTATCAAAGTTCTTCATGCGAAGCACTTGTTGTCTTGTTTTCTGCGATCTTTTCTTTCATTTGTCTCAATGCTGCAACTCGGTTACTCCTGGGCATCTCAACTTGTAGGCATCCTGTGGAAGAAAAAGACAATAAATTTTATCAAGACTGTAACTGAGATGTTAATTGCATGAAAGTAGCCTTGTGCCGGTGGTTAACGAAATAAATGGTAATATACGTCGCAACTATTTAAGGGAAATAAACATACATACCTTTGTCGTCATCAACTAAAACTCTCTTGGCACAGAGCCATTTGGTCAAGTCACGAGATTGCGCCTTCATAAACCAATGGATGAGCAGTTTTTGCGTCTCCTTTACCATTTCGTAGCACTATATCAAAGGAAAAATGGAAAAAAAGGTTGAGAATTGTTTGCTTTCGCTGTTGGTCTCTCAACCGATACCGGTAGTCGCGTGTGTGTTGTCTAAAGCTAGTTTGTAAGCTGGTAGATTTTAAGAGATTAACCACTACTAGTTTTGATTATCAGAATGTCGGGACTATAGCTGTATGTCAATGTCGCTTACACTTTGTACAGGAAAAAAACGTATATTCATGTGTACATAGACAAAGCACGATTTACATAGTACAATGAGAAAACAACTGATATCAGCAGAGAATATCAGCTGATACTCTCTCGATATCAGTCATTACGACAGAGCACCAACTGCAGAAAAAAAAATTCAAATTTATATTAGAAGAATGTTTTAAACCCTGAAATATGTCATATTCACATACACTTAATGTAATTCAGTTCTAGGTAGTAACTTAATAGAAGAAAGTTACCAAAGTTAACGTAAATGCTATACCTATAGTGAATTTAACAAATGAAAACTTTTACTTACTTAATCAATTTTTTTTACAATTTGAATTTGGCGTACCTGTTCCTTGAGCCGTCTTATTTCGCCTGTTGGATCATCAATGTCCTCTTCTGGCGTAGCAAACACCCACTTTTGAATTCGAGAATCTTTTGTGACCTCTTCAATTTGCTTGCGGAATATACTTTTTACTGAAAACGAAAAAATCCACAAGCGGTATATCAGACTGTAAATGATTTGAATGTTGTAGGTATTAAAGCCTTGTTTGTACCCTTTGTTGTTCTTTACTCCAGAAGCTATCTTTAACCATTATGTTCAACCAATCTTGAAAAAAGAATCCTTATCTCTCAAGTTCACCATTAGCATTCCGTGTTCATTACTTACCCTTGTTACTTTTGCTTTAAACTTTAATTTTATTTGGTGTTTTCTGACGAGGTCTTCGTCAAATATTCCTCTACACTTGAACTAGAATTTCGCAACGTAGCGCTTTTAAAACCTATACACCGTTCGCGTCCCATAAGCGGCTTATCTGTGGACCGCAAGCGCAATCTTATCGTTTGCTGCGTGATAACTAAAAGTTTTTGTGAGTCACGAGAAACTGGTCTTCAACACGATATATATCTGTAGTATTATTTTTATGACTTCCTCCGCGTTTGCTGTGATCAATGAACTTTAAATTGATAGAGAAAGTATTGAAATGAATAGCGACTGACTGAAAAGGATTGCAAGAGTGTAATCTTTGATAAACTAGTGCACCATTCACCTATAAATTAGGAATTTACTTACTATAGGTACTTCTAAACGACTCATGCTACAGAAACTGGTGCAAGGTTCGTCAGCTTGCTGAAACAAGCCCGCATTTACACTTAAACTCCTCCTTTTGCCAACATCAATAACTCAATATTGCATGCCTAAGCCTCTCCCCCTTTGACTACAGTTGTTTTACGTTTGGAACGGTACTTACCTCCCCGTTTATATCTAAAAGGAACCTTTGCTCTGACGCTGTACTTCGTCATTGCGTCACATATGTTCTCCGTAACCCTCAACATAACTAGTTCCCTGTTATGGAAGAGAAATAAAAAATGAAGGCTGTCTGGTGTTAAAAAAATGGTGCATTACGATGAGAGAGATCTTCGTTCCCAAATATCCTTTTCTTGTTGTCTGAGAGGATCCTTTTTGCTTACTTTAAGATGCACGAATAACATACTGTAACAAATGAGCTAACAATGAGTTATTTCAATCATAAGTAAGAAATATTTCTTACTCTTTGTAGTAAATCGGAGGCCTGGTCTCCCGGGGTTTTCTAATCCTTGCAATCTTTGTAAGCTTATTCTCAACTTCAACCGCCAATAGTCTACAAACTTGAAAAGAGTACAAAGTATTACACTCGCAATAACAAGCATTCATTATTTCCTTTGGGCAGCTTCGTTTATTTAGACTCACCATGACATTTTGTTGGAAGATGCTTGGCTGTTTCTAAGTCTCCTTCTCCCCCATCATCGCTATCATCCTCGTCATCGTCATAATCATCGTCTTCGTCTTCCTCTGAAACTTCTTCGCCTTCATCCAAGTCTGATCGTCCGTTCTTTTCACGTTTCTTGTCGTCTTGCTCTTTTATCGTTACAATCGATTCTTTTTTTATTCTAATTCCATCGATAATTTCATACTCGTTCTCAAAGTCTTTAGCGTATATTGTAGTCCATAGGAAAACTAGAACAAAAGCCGCGCAATACCTCGAAGATAAACGCATTTTCCATGCACACTTCGGTGGAAATAGCTTAAAACTTGTCGAGAATTTCTTCAACGAAGTTTTGTTAAAGATGAGTGGGCACAAAGGAAATAAAAAACTAAAGACGGATTGTGACACTCAATCAGTTGTGCGAGTTACGGTTATGCTGTATTGGTAGCAAGGGAAAAAAGTTTAGATCGTTGACAATCGTTGAGGACGTTTGTCTCATTCATTGTTATTTATCGTGGCACAGTGCCATTGTATAATTTGTTCTATTGTTAATCGCTAATGTATGCAATGAGACAAACCATTTCAACCAGTTCATAAAGAGATATCCTTCCACTGAAACTCGAATGCTTTAAAAATGATTATTCACGGCCAGTTTCTCCGTTTGCAAAGAGAAATCATACTGCAGTATTCTTCAGTGACTAGTTATTTTGATGGATTTAAAGAAAGCGAACCCGTTGTCTGTGCGAGTTACAAATGACGTGTCGCAAACGCAGCTGGAGCCAGTCGGCTGGGTAAACATGAAGATCGAACTATTCCGTATGGAGAAATAATGACACTTTATCCTTTCTAGAACCTGAAATTTGAAACACAACTGAGTTTCTATTCAAACGCTGAAGCTTCATGTTTTATTTGTAGAATATAATATATAAAATGAAATAAGAAAACTTTAATTCAATGGAAAAGTAAAAGGACTTTCTAGTGTTTCTACGATTTTTTTTTGTCTCAGTTGTTTCGTATTATTCCCTTTTTCAGTAATTTTTTTCATATTGTGATATATCCTCCTCCTTTGACTCATCGCTTAACAAAGGTTTTTAAAAAGTATTCTCCGAAATTTCACCAATAATTTTTTAAAGGTAAACTTTTACAAGGAAGTTTTGGAGCACAGGTGTTCCTTGAGAAACGTTTTTAAACTGTTATATGATCTGTTTAGAAATAATAATCTCTGAAGCTCCTAAAAGAAAACTTTGAAGCTCATTAATAAGCGGAAATAATTAAAACGCATGAAAGTGTTTGCTCAGCTGTTTGTGTTACATTGAAAGTTGCTTAAAAGAGCCAATCAGTAGTTCACAGATAGCATAATCGCTCACATAAGAAAACATCAAATCATAATAACTTTCGAACATTAAAATTAAAAACATTGCCGAAAAAAATCCACACAATTTTATGTGGACCAACGTTTGTGAAGGAGAGGGGAATCATTTTAAAAGTGCTCATTCTTGTTTCAGAATGTATTTAACGGCATCACCATTACTTTTTTCAAGTATTTACGTCTTGTTTGTTATACGGAACATATTATGCGAGGAGAGGATAAAAGTAGGACCTGGAGCAGATAAAGAGAAGAAAATTAATCCATATATTACAAAGTTTCACCAGGGAGCTAATTTAAGACCCACAAAATGCCAAGGTAAGCAATGTTGTACGTCTTAAACAAGATTGTAAAATTAAACTCAGGTAAAAAATATGACGAACAAAACTTGATTGCTACAATTAACTGATTTTAGCCGTTATTACTGTGGTAATAACTACAGTACATCTTAGTACCTCATATCGGTTAAAGTTGTGTGACAATTTCAAAATAAGTCCGTTTTTAAACAAAATCTTTGACTGAATTGTTTCTCAAGTTAAATTTAAAAAAAAAATTAAAATTAAGCCACACGTAATTCTCTTAGTTTTCTGTAGAGAACATTTTACCGCATGGTTACATTCAACTAGGATCTGAAAAGCTTGTGAGGTCTTTCTATCAGTATCAGATTTGAACGACTCTCACATCGCATAATTATCGTCGTTAAACTCTTTTAAAGCTCTGGTTTGTAGCTTTTAATAGTATGGTTTACTTTTCAAAGACCGTTTTCACAAAATTAACCTTAGTTTAAAATCTAGCTACATCAACTTGCTATAAACAGGTTTTGAATTGACACATGAAAAGTAAAAGAACTTTAAGGATACCGTAAATTGCCGCTCATAAGCCCTTCCTCCTCTCCACTTATAAGCCGCCCTGGTTATAGGCCCATCTACCTGAAAACAGAAAATTCGTCCGGTCATAAATCCTCCCCCTCACATGTCTTCTTTTAGCTTTTCTTGTTTACTCTGAGAACTCTCTGTGACATCAAACAGTAAATTTTAAAAATTGTTACGGAACAATGAGGTCATTACTTATTTTTGATTGTGAAAGACGAACTGCGAGGGAAAAGTACGTCTGAACTTCCGTTTTGTTATTTTCCAGTTGGTTTTAATTCTTTTCTAAATGTAGTAAAAAGTATTGGATTTACTGTGACATATTGAAGCCTGATTAAAAACCAATGAAAACAAACACATTTTGATCAGCATTTCTATAGCTCGTTCCGAAGCGCTTTTTCTATTCCTATCATAAGTCCCCCGCACGTAAGCCCCTCTGTTTATTATCCCACCTATGAACCCTTACGAAGTTGTATGAGCCCACGGATTATAAGCGGCAGCTTACGGTATTAAATAAACATATCTGTTTTGTTTCAGTGTGTCGACTTCTTGTTACCGAGTTTCTAGAGCAAATGAAGAAAACGAATCGTCGGGAAGATGTACCTCGAGGATATTTACTTGAAGATCTAGACAATCAGGAGAAAAGTATCCATTATGAAAAATCGTGAGTTCTTTCTACCACGCACAAAACCCCAACCCCTTTAACTCCTTAGTGTGATTCGTATGTAAATTCTCCCTAGCATGACAATACGTTATTCTGCAAACAGTTGATGAGAGTAGACAACTTTTATCCGCTGAAAGATTTAACCCTCATAGAACACGAATTCTCTCAAATTAGTGACGGGGAAATGTTCACCAGCTTGGGGGGAGATATGAGAATCATATCAACTGAAGGGTTCAATGCGCTACCACCCTGTTCGTGCATCTCGACAATATTAGCATAATATAACATGTCCAAGTTGGCTGTTTCCAACCCGTGTCACCTGACCACAGATATCTTATCACGTGTATTTCATCCTTTAAGGGAACTTCGTCTCTTGGACGTCCTGGACAATTTGTGCGAGAGAATGAAACTTTACCGCGCTAGGCCTGGTCCTGAATTTCCTTACATCAAAGGAGGTTTGTGACCCAGTTATTTCATCCGAACAAAATTGCATAGATACTTTGTACAGTATTTAGAAAAGAAATTTGACGAGAACCTTAAAAGGGGCATGCATGTTTTATAGATTCTATCACTGTCAATAAAACTTTATGTTAGACTATTGGAGGTCATTTGTGATCTACTATAGTAACTGATCAAACACACGATAACACGGAATCTAATTATTAATTAGACAATCGGACCTGTAAATTCTATCATTACGAGCGATGAAGCTGTCAGGGTTAGACTTGCAGTTGGAATAAGGCATAATAATTCTTTTTTATTTTTCAGCTAAAAGTCAACTTCGAGAAGTTTTGGAAGATATGCAAGAGAAATCAAAAGTTAAACTTAACTACGAGCTACCGCATGAAGTCGTAGAAGACTACACTTATGAAATGGGGAGACTCAAATTCAAGGTAAATAAGTTTCGCCTCCATCTATTCAACCCTTTCTGCCTTTCCACCCAGGCTAAAATTCTTATTACTCAAATAAAGGCCGTTTTTCAAATGGCAAAACTTGCCAGTCAAACCGCTCTATCCACACACTGAGCGCAGAAAGTGTTTCAAACGGACGAAGTGGGTTCAGGTCGAAACAGTCTGTTTTTTCTTGAGTATTCGCAGAGCGTATTAGCGTTTTGAATGCCCAATGAAGAATATATGGCGTGTTTAATCTTCAATCATTTCTGGCATTTGGAACACGCAGAGGACACATCTCACTGGCCCTCGGGCACAAGAAGTAGTCTTTCGTTATCTATTGACATCAGCGAGGAAGGGCTTTCTTAGCTGAGCCGGACGGCCTGATAAATGTGATTAATTGCGCCATGACGCCATCATTCATATTAAGAAACTTGTAAAAGTACAAGCTCGAAAGAAAAGCAGCGACTGGCTCAGGTTCGAGCAGTGTGCAAGTATCATCGTTATCATCATTATCGCCATCATTACTTCTATCCTCATCGTAATTACAGTAGAACTCCGCTTGCTCAAACTCCGCTAGCTCGAACTCCTAAGGAGATTTGTTTGATTTAGGAGGGGGGAAGGGGGTCGGGTTATTGGGATTGATGTTGTATTTCAATTATCCTGTTAATTATAAAAAAGGAATATTTTTTTACCATTTTTACCCAATCAAAAGCCGTTTTCAAACACTGAGTTTATCTCATAAAGGATTCTATTCAAGAACCTATCGTTTGGGAGATTTATCTAAATGTGTTACGTTTTCATAAATGCAAGTTATCACTTCCATATCAATCGCGATTAAAGAATGGAACGTTCAATCGGCACTATTTTGACATTTTTACATTTATCGAACGACGTTTTTAGTTCAAGTTCAGTTATCAGGGTAAATATGAGCCAAGGAAAGTAAAATTAGGAAGTTCCAGTTCACTGAGTTCGAGTTAGCTGATAATAAATGAATGAAAAAAATGGGATCAAGTCCAAGGGACTATCAGCATTATCATTATCATTTTAACAATTATTTTTGATTAAATATTCTCTGATGCCCTTTGTTTCTCAGTGTATTCATATGTTGGAAAGCCATGAGGATGATATAACGCAGTGGTACTTAAGTAGTCAAAAGGAAAATCTAATGGACTGGCTGTGTGTAGAACGAATTCTAGACGAAAATGAACAAGGTACGTATTGTTTTCAGCTCCCAAATCTCGAGATTATAGTCGATGAATAACGGTAATGGATGCGTTATTTCGAAATCGAACGAGCACGCAGCGCGGGTTTGATTTGAAATCACAAACATAATTTCATCCCAAAATTGCACCTACTCAGTACAATAACCACTTTATTAAATTCATTTTGAAATTACAAAATCCAGTCGCTCAAATACAGGTTTTTTTAGTCTGTACAAATATTTTGTTGATCCAGTAAAAAATTTTGCAAAAGTTGTCTCTCAAATCGTGTAACTTGATTGGTTACTCGATTGGTTACTCATAACAAGCTGATTTAGAAATCTGACTGGTTTTTGTGTTTAATAAAGCTTTCTCATTGATACAGCCACCTTGCCTTTAGGGCAAGATATGACGCAATTGTTGACCAATCATAGCACGCTATCAATGCAGTCTCCTTCACCAAATAGACACGCAAATTAACAAACTTAAATACAACATCAGAGAATTGTTTTGGACCATACTCTAAATCTAGCAAATTTATCAGTGATTGGAAACTTGTTTTCTACTGTGATTTGAAGTGAACAAAAAGGAGGCCTACTCAGCCCCGTGAGAGATTTGAACTCTCGACCCCTGGTTTACAAGACCAGTGCTCTAACCACTGAGCTAACGAGGCGGCCACTTGCAATAATACAAGGATTAATCATTATTTACAGCCCTGGGGGAAGAGGTGGAAGGGGTTGGAGGAACTTGATGTGATCCCCGAAAAATCCTTAGACGATGATTAATGTTTTCAGCTCCCAATTATTGAGATTACAGTTGATGAATACTAGTAATTGATGCGTTTTTTCAAAATCGAACGAGCACGCAGCGCAATCACAATTATAATTCTATACCAAAATTGCACTCCACCAGGAGGCCAATAACCACTCAAATACAAGATTTTTTAGTCCGCACAAATATTTTGTTGACCCAATAAAAAAATTTGCAAAAGTTGTCTCTCAAATCTTGTAATTTGATTGGTTACTTGAAAACAAACTTAAAACAAGCAGATTTAAAAATCTGATTGGTTTTTTGTTTAATAAAGCTTTCTCATTGGCTAGGAAAAAGATGTGATTTAGAGAAAAAAAATGCGATTGGTAAGCAAAGCGCTTATTAGATTGCAAGGATCTCGTGATTTCAAAATGGATGTAATGAATAGATAAAACCGATAAATCAGTGTTTTGTTAGCAAACAAATTATGACCTAGTACCCAAGAAAATCAAATCTACATAGCTCAAGATTGGCTTCTTATAAAATGAATCCACACATAAATTGATCTGTTGAAAAAGAGAGAAACAAATTTCATCTCATGTTGGATAATTGTCAGAAGACAATTTCTAAAATCAGGGCCTCAGAGGATTGATCAAGCCACCCTGCCTTAAGGATAAGATATGACGTAATTGTTGGCCAATCACAGCACGCCATCAATGCAGTCTCCTTCACCAAAAATAGACACACAAATGAAAAAACTTAACACAATATCAGATAATTGTTTTAGACCATACTCTAAATCTAACAAATATATCAATAATTTATTTTTTTTTTTATTTGAAGAGGACAAAAAGGAAACTTGCCCAGCCCCGTGAGAGATTTGAACTCTCGACCCCTGGTTTACAAGACCAGTGCTCTAACCGCTGAGCTAACGAGGCGACCACATATCACATTTGTGATCCCCCCATAATCCTAATATAATAACCCTACCTTCCCTCTCCCCGAGCGAAGAACAATGACCCGTCTTTAAATAGTGATTTCTTGAGAACGGGATGTAAATTTATTCACCACTTCGACGGTTTCTTCGGAACCAACATAAGAACCAGCTCCCAGTTGGCTTGTTATGTTTGCTGATGGAGCGCTGCACCGGTATCGCAGAGGTCGTGGGTTCAAATCCCGTACGGGTCTGAATTTTTTTCAGCCCTTATTTTTACTACTACTTGAGTAGTGTTCATAACTGCAGGGATCGCTTTGAATTAGCCTGTTAACGCATATTTTTCTTTTCCCAAGATTGCCTAAATGCTTCAACAAATATGCCAGAAGATTACTACTCATTCATACAGGATGACAAATCTACCATACCAGCTCCTAAACCAGACATACCAATGAGAGATGATAAGCGCTGGGAGTTGTAACCAGATTGTGTGAGAGTTGAAGAATATGGAAAAGGCGCAACGAATTGAAAATATGCCGTTAAGGATGACCTTTTAAAGCCAAAACGACTTTAGTGATCGTCCATCCAAGTTTTAGCATATAAATAACGTCTGATTTTGTTACAAAAATCGTACATCATAAGGCTGTCCCGATTAAACGAAAATATTGCAAATAAAATTTCTTACGAATGGTCTCCTGAGTGGGAAAATTTAGTTAAAACGCGTGTTAAATGATGCAGTATGTACAGCCGAGACCGTAACAATATCGACAACCAGCAATGGGGATGTGATCCCAAATTAGAGCGAAATTATTTATGGTTATAAAAATCACATAAAGTCTGTAGGAGGGATCCACCAGCTAATTTATGCATACTACACGAAGTACTAAAATTATACAGTTCTGTCCGATAGTTATCCCAAAACGAGTTAGGTAAACGTAATTTCATTCCACAAGAGAACTACGATGATCTTCAAATGACTATATCTGTTCATTTTTGACAAACAAAAGTACCTCCAGCTTTTGTATTCTTGAAATATTCCGCAAGAAGGGAATCGAAGTCATCGGGTAATTCATTTGTCGCAGTTGTCTTGAAACTATCGTGAACGTCTCAGTTGTGGGAGACGTTGATAAGGTAACTTTACAATCAATTTATGCAGTCATTGTCGTGTCAGAGAGGGTAATATTAGTTTTAAGAGGTTAAGTCGAGCCAAGTGACAATTAGAATTTGATTGCTTTGTCGGCGGTCGGTTAAAATTTTCGACCTTTGTCGGTAGTCGGTAAATCTCACTTAATGATTAAAATGTAAAATAATCATTCATATTTGTTATGTATTTTAGCCAATTTTAAGACTCATCATTTCATTGCACTTCAACCTCATTAACTCGGGTTTCTATGAGAAAAATGATCATTTATTCCTCCTTTGTTTGCCAATAAAGTGCCGATAAAATCACCAAAGCTTTTATTGCGAAGTAATCAAGAGGAGAGACAGAGAGCAACACGCCCACTTTAGCCTTTTTAATACGTTACAAATTCTTAATAACGAATATCTTTTTCCGAGACGTCTTCGAAAACGCACTGATTTGTGGTTCTTCCATCCTTACAAAGGGAATTTTTTTGGGTCTTTTGCCACATTTTTGCTGCAATTCATACTAATAAAAAATTCAGAATTAAGCTCTCCGGACTTCTCCGGAAACCAACGTCCGATGTCCAAACATAATTTCAGTCGAACAAACACAGATAACCCAGCTTTTCAGTCCCATTATTCTCTCCTGAAGAAGCATCATTAAGACAACTGCCCATTAATCCACACCGTCACAAGTCCAGACGCATAAATATACGAACAGAAAATTTTATAGTTAATTGAATCTTAAATTAAAGTGGTTACCTCCTGAGCTAAAATGCTCTTTTTCCTGAAAACAAATACGGATAATATAATGGCGGACCATTTCGCTTGTCGATTAGTATTTTCTTGTCGCTAATCAATATTTTTTTTGCGTTTTGTTGATATTCAGTTTTATTTTTTACGCCCTTTGCCGCTTATCGGTTAACCCCGTTCGGGCTCTTCATGACATGACAAAGAGCATTTCACGAATAAACACTGAAAAGAAGAACTCTTGATCCGACCAAAATTGAAATGAAAGCCCTTCAAAGTTTACACTATTCACTGATTCTTTAAATCGGCTTAAGAAGCACGTTATTGACAACTAATTTGCATCTGTGTTGCCTCACGCTTGGAGTGTTATCAACAAGAGTTTGTTCATCGTGTCAAAATGCATGAACATCGAGGAGAAATTAATGTGTACCCAGCTTATCAGTTTCATACCGATTCTCAAATATATGTTTTTTTTTTGCCATGGAACACCAAAGACTAGTACAAAAAAACTTTTGTTAAGGATATTTACAAATTCTACCACGACTTGCATTTTAAAATGATTGGGTAGAGTTCACAGGTCAAGAATCTTTATTTACGACGCGCGCCATTAGATAGCCGTAACCAGCCTGCAATGACACAATATTAGTCGTAAATACTTCATGTTTACTCGCAGAGGAACAAATCAAGAAACTTCTTTGAATTCCATGTCTTATACGAGTCCCAAGTGACTTACTAGGGACTCGTGATATTCTCTCGTTCTGACACGATTTAAATGAAATGCCCGAATAATTTTTCCTGTTATATTCTAATTGCTAATTACAACTTTCCTGAGTGAAGCTACTAAAGCATTGTCATACGCTTTCGTCAGAGAAGCTACTCTATTGTATTTATGACAATAGAAGTTTCAGATCCAATGCATGTTTTTCCGGGTACCTACGAAAACCGTGTTTAACTCTACATTAAGATGAGCAATGCGGAAAAAAAGTCTTCGAGGTCACTTAGTATATCGCGAGAGAGCGTCTACAGCGTACAAATTAATACTGGTATCGTTGTTTACTTATTGGCTTCAAGATGACGTTGAAGCAAGAAACAATGTTCTATGCCATCTTTCTGCTTTTTGCAATTTCTGCCAAAGGATATGACGGTAAGATATAATTAAATGATAGATGATTATTTATTCTCTTGTTGACATTACTTAGCTTTGAACTAACTGCAGCACTGATGATATCTACAAAATGAACTTCGCTTTGAAAAACGTACAAATAACGCGAAAGAGCTTTCTGAAACTTTAAAGAAATACTGGTCTTCGGAAAAACTTGAGTTTTCGAATGAAATCAAAGTCGAGATTAACAATAGCTCGGCTGTATTTTCTAAAATTTCCTGTTTGGCCAAAATCAGGCAACAATCTACTGTTCACTCAAAGAGTTTCGTCGATCTTTGAAATTATCTTACTGATAGTTTGACATTTTAGCAGGAAATGGCTCAAGTAATGCACGAGCTCCAGCAATTAGAATTTTGATGCAAGTTTGCGAAGGACAAGCTGAGGTTATTTATCCCTGAGTCTCTGCCAAACCCTCAATAATTCAATCACTATCGTCAATTTGAGTAAATAGGAGTAATATTTCATCCCCTTGGTATTGTTACTGCCAACTATAACGAAAAATATTACTCTTCTTCTAATTATTAAATTGATGCGTTTTCGAACTTATCACAGAACAGGAGAGAAGGGAGGGGGGAACGAGGTGCAGAAAGAGAACGGTCATGATATGACATCGATAGAGTTCTGAGTTTCAGGCAAATTTATTAACATATTCATGAAAAAATATTTAAAGAATATTTTCGAAAATTTGATGTTTAACGGCAATTTGACACCTTAACTGTATTGTTAAATTTTGCTGGGTTCGCTCTGATAATAATAACAATAATGAGCTTCATACTTGTAACTCTTTTTAATCATCGACAATTTGTCCCAGCTCCTTCCCCTCCCCCCCCTCTCTCTCTCTCTCTCTCTCTCTCTCTCTCTCTCTCTTTCTCTCTCTCTCTATTTCCCCTTCTCCTATTCGTCGTCTAACACCCTTAGGAAAAAAAAATGGCAAGCTTGTAGTACTAATGGTACAGCTGCCTTTAGGCGTCAAAAGTTCAAGTTTCTTTCTAACCCTTCTTTTTGAGTAATTATTGTACAGAGTAGTGAATAGATAATTTTTTCCCGTTTAGAAACAAAACAGACGCATTTGAATAGACGCCCACGGCGAACGTCTAAAATAATAGTGTTTGTTCAACCTGAAAAATTCTATTCATTGACTTGAAAACCACAACTTTTTTTTAAAATTTACATGTTATTTTAATATATTTTTTATTTTATAGCTCAATATAAGAGCTTTGGTCCTTCTCTCAAAACACAAAACCCAAAATTTGGGGATATGATGTTCAGTTTCTGTGTTGGTGAACTTTTCATTGTCCGTGCATTAAAAGCGTATGACTCAAGTAGCTCATTGATGACGCAACTAATCTTGGTTCGGTAAACTAAACCGACTCGCGTATGATTGACAGACATTTTGTTATCGGCTAAGTTAAATGAACAGGGGTGCTAAATAAATAATTTTCCCTGTTTTGAGCAAAATACGTTCACTGCGATGTCAGGGGTATCACTAATTGTAAAATCGCGGCATTCAGCTTTTTTCAAATCTAAATATTTCCTCAGCTAAGGTATTTAGTCCGCTTTGATCGATAATGGGGTCAATATTACGAGAGGTGGGAGATCAGAGCTAATATGGACAGAAAGAAAGAAAGCTGAGCTCAAATCGCCAACAAAATTCCATTGTTAATGGCCTTTTACTATTATAGATCACACCTCTGCTAAGACGATTAATTGTCCGTTTGTCTACTTTGCTGGGCATAGACTAGACATCATTACATTACCTACTGATTTAACGAGACTTTTGTTTTAGTTGAAACGTCTTCTGTCTTTCAGATGTTAATGAGTGTCTGGACCAGAATGGACACTGTCAAGATATTTGTGTGAATACCAATGGCAGTTACTACTGCGCTTGCTCAGATCCAGAGTTCAGCGTTGCACAAGACCAGCGACATTGTATCGGTAAGTAGAACAAAACCACAGGAAATATGTTTGGAAGATTATCAGGAATCGCCCGTGTAATGTATGATCATTTCATTCTCATGGTGAATTCCATTAAGGTTTTCGAAACGTTAGTCACCTCTTCCAACAATAATTGCACTCTCCCTTGGGAGATCAGACAACACAATCAATTTATGATCACTGTTAAGAGTTTACAGGTGTGTGGTAAAAATAATTTTTTATGGAGATCGGCCCTTTTGCTCGATGATAAGCTTATTCTTGCCGATATAATTATGTGCAGCACAAAATCTTTCTTATGGCTATATTATTACCCTGATTTTGCAGCCAAATTTCGGCGACAAAGGTTCCAAGTTTATTCTTCATGCTGTCTATGTCCTTTTTGGCATTTGATTTAACACTGCAGAACCTTGAAATGAAATCTGTTCTTTTTTTCAACAGCCGAAGGAGTGGAAGTAGACTGTGGTCAGGACGAGATGACTATCACTCTACCCAAGTCTCTCCTTTTGGGTTTAGACCGTGAGCATTTGAGGCTCATAGATCCAGAGTGTACAGCCACTGAAAACGAGACTCACTTTTTCCTTCAAACCAAAACCGATGAATGTGGTACAATTCTGAAGCATACTAAGGATCATGCCATATACAGCAACATGGTGTCGGAAATCCCCATAAAAGAAAACCAGATTGTGACACGCGTGCGCGATGCTATGATCCCCTTCCACTGCTATTATTCCAAATGGGGTGTGGTGTCCTCCATTGGAATCAGACCATCGAGCACGAAGATTGTTTTGTCTTCAAAGGGATTTGGAAAGTTCACTCTCAGTCTGGATTTGTTCAGAAGTCCAGAGTAAGACAAGTCTTTACAATAGTGAATGAGTAATTGTAATGTAATTGGATTTGATTGGGCTATTTCCAAATAACTAAAAAAAAACTCGCTTTCAATCTGAGGAAAAGCACAAAACTTTTCTGTAGAAAATACCCATTGAGGAAAATGAACATTTTCATGGTAAAATCTTCGCAATAATCCTTGATTTAAAAAAGGGATCTTAAGCATTTTTGATAAGACTCGGCTTCTGATGCAATGTATCATCAATTTTAACCGCCACATTGTGGGATCCCATCGCGCTGTACCTTCAAGGGAATTTGAATTCTGAGACTAACCGTTCAAAACAATATGTATACTAAAATAGAAAGAGAAACTTAAATTTTTAACGCAAAGTCACATTTTCAACATTTGAGAGAATGCAACCTTTTTTGTGCTGAGAGGATGACCGAGTGTATACCAAATGGTGAAAATGTCGCGTATAGCTTTCAAAAGCCTTACTCTTTGCTTTTGTCTCCAGAGAAGACGTAATTTTATTGATACTAATGGTATCCCATTAGTGGACTCAGAATGATCAAGATAACAATCCAAAAGGCGGCTAAGAGAATGTTTTAACTACAAAAAGGCTGATTCTTGTATCTAAATCTCCAAACATATGCCTTGAAGAAATATTTTCAATAGCGTTTTTTCTAAGTGTGAACATCGCTTTTCTAAAACAACAATTACTTGCACGTCCTCGACAGACGTAGCTTTCCAGCACGAGAGGTAAGGTCTAATCGTATTTCCACATTTTTGTTCAAACAGATTCACTGCGCCCTTCTCTCAGGATGACTTCCCTGTCGAGTTCACAATCCGTGAACGAGTGTACTTTGAAGCCCGTGTCGACACCATTGACACAACATTGTCAATTTTGGCCTTGGACTGCTATGCCACCCCCTCTCAGGACAGGAATTCCCAGCCCAGATATGATATTATTAAAGACGGGTGGGTATTTTTCATGATGTAAATTTCACCCGTCATTATGCGCCATACGTCCAGCAAGCTTGTCTAAAAGTAATGGACTTTATAGAGCTTTTCAAGTTTTGCCTCAAAAAAAATCCATCGCCATTTGAAAGTGACGGAGACTAGGTGACACTTTTCCGTATCATGAAAAATTGTGCATGAGAAGAATAACTGATTTCTCGTAACATTTGTGGTTTATAACAGCAGGTACCTTTTTTTTTTAAATTTTATTTATTTTTCCTCGATAAAAACTACAACCCGCAACTTGTCCACCGGGGGAAAGGCAAATCCACACCATTTATCCTTTTACTAGTTTCATGGAAGAGTGCTAATATTCTTCCCTCCATTTCTTCAATAAAATATTCGTTGATTCATTGAAACCAATCACAGGGCGTGTATCTGTCCAATCACTCGAACTATTTTCTCATGAAGTAATCAAACGACGATGGCCTGTAAGTGCCATTTTACATGAATGAAAAAAAATTGGATCGTGTTGTTTAAGTCATTACAAAGGATCCAAAGTTACCTTTACAAACTTTGGATCCGTGGTTCTAAATTTGGATCCTTAGTTGTAACTTTTGTCTTTAGTTATAACTTTGGATCCTTAGTTATAGCTTTAGGTTCTTAGTTATAGCTTCAAAACCAATATCCACTGTTTTTCATTATTTAGAATGGCGCTTAAAGGCCACCGTACAAAACTGAACCTCAGAAGTTATTAGTAAAGAGAAAAGTAAAAACTTTATCGACTCGACTATCGACTCGTGAGAGTTTTACCCTAGAACTAGTGGCCGTCAAAATTTACAAAACTAAGCCTACTTTATTACTTTCTCAGGTGTTCGATCGACGATGATGACACACTTCAATTCCATGACAGCCCCGGCAACCAGTCTCAGCGCTGGAGCCTTGAGGCCTTTCAATATGTCAGCAAGCACCCGTATGTGTTTTTTCATTGCCAGGTTCAGGTCTGTGACGCCGCAGATCCTGCCTCAAGGTGTGCCCAAGGCTGCATACAGAGAAGACGAAGAAGTGAGAAGGTCCTTCATGACAACCCGGATGACATATATGCTTTAGCCCAGGGTCCTCTCGCACTGAACCGCGATAAGAGGGAGGCAGAAGTTGATGAAGCGGTTGCTTTGGATAAGAGCACGCTCAAACTCAAAACAGGCGAGTATTTGAAGTAAACACATTGTAACATTTGGATTTACTAGCAGAGAGGTGAAGATTTATCTAGACAGAAGACCAAAATATATTTTAGATCGAGAAAAAGTATTATTTGGCAGATGGTTTTAGCTCAGGAGTTACAGTTGATTGTGTTCATTAATCTTTTAGGTGAGAGAGGTCCTAAAAACAGCTGCCATCGATTGATGAAAATGATATGAGCTTAGGGTGTTGATAAGTAACTCTTTGTCAAGGACGAAACTCCGTTGTAAGACTACTCTCATCCGGATGATTAGACAAACGAGCAATCAGTTTCCCAATAACTGGCTTGAAACATCACCACTTTTCACAAGTGTATCTCGTTATGTTTAAGGTCCACCCTCCTCAGACGAGGATCTAACACGATCAAGCTAATCTTGATTTTCTCACTTTTCCTTCATCAGGTTTCCACGCGCCTGTTTTAGCCTCGCTGGGTGTGCTTATCGTATTGTGCTTAATGGGGATGGTATGGCTGAAGGTCACTTCGAACAAACAGAGAGTCGCAAAGCAGTTCATACCACTTTACGAGGACCTGCAGAAGTGATAACGTCATAGAGAATTTTCCGACCTCAATTGCTCAGTGTTGATGCTGTTCTTGTTAAAATGTATGTCTCTCTGTAACCACTTTAGGACGGATTTCATACTTCATCTGACAAGAAATATGTAATTTTGTATTTTTTTTCTGTCTTCTTTTGAATAATTATCGTGAAAAAATCAAAATATCATTTTTTTTCTCCGGAGATATTTTGCTTTATAGGATAACTGTAATATTGAGCGCACCCTGATGAATGCAAAAACCAACGTTTACTAACACTGGAAGACCCATAGTTGCTTCTTAAAAATTAAAAAAATGCTCTTCCTATCACTTTACGGAACTTATAACTCACTTGGTATTTAGATGGATCGAAAACCCCAATTTGTAAGAGCTGCGCAATAAAAAACATATTTACTCAAAGTCTACTCGAGGACTTGTCTGTGAAAGGTCCCTAAACAATCTCACTAAGTGAGAGGCTGAAAGGAATAAAAGAAACACAGAATATTCAATAACGGAAAGAATCATTAAGCGATTACATACTTTCAGCTATAAGACTTTCATGCTCGTCACGGATCCTGTATTTGGAGCGTTCATCTGCAGTTAATTAAATTATTTAAGTATTTGATAGAATATCATTTCTAAGAATCGTTAAAAACGGTAATCTGAAACCACAAAATGCTCATTAACGCGTTAGTTGTCTTTAAAGCCACGTCTCATGAGCACAATTCTTGACGGCGAGTTTCTTATTGTCAGAACTTCTCACTTAATATTAAATTTGGATAACAGCGCCATAAAGCGAAAATAAGAACTCAGTGAGTTGAAAATTTGATATAAACCTCTCAAAACTTTTTAAAACTTTACAAATTCAGCTGAGGTCAAAATTGAAAAAAGCAAGTTTATTTGAACGACGTCTTTGCGGTCAATTCGTATGTCCTCCATTTCTTGATTTCCAAGCAATTGTAATCACTATCAAATGATAAAGCACAGAAGTGGATGCACAGTACATAACAGCAAGGCGCATGAGGTTTGATATAAGGAAATTTTCAAGAAAAGTTTCAACAAATCAAGAACGGTCGTTAACGGGCAAGGATACAGTACAAATTAGTACGGCTGCATAGGCCCTATTGCACAACACAGCAGTCGACGCCCTTTGCAAATTTCTCCTTCTACTCAGGCTACGATCTCTAACACTTAAAAGGGGAACTTTAGCGGGAGAGAAAAATAAAAAAATGCCAAATATAAGCCCGGCAAAAGTGAATCCACGAGAGGGGAATATGTGATTATCACACAAGTAGATTAAAATGGATTTTGATGACCGGTAGTGCTTCTGTCACTATTCTCCTCAATCTGTGCATGAGGGTCCAACAAATCCTTCATCAAAAGACCACCAGACTGAAATGGGAGGTTAAGGGGACTCAAGTAAAAAGCAATAGTATATCCATAGGGTGAAAAATACTCAAAGAGTGCGTTGATTGGCCAGCAGAAGGTGACTAGCATGTATTATTCACCTCCAAGCTGCTAGAGAGACGAAATCGCGCGTCCAGAGTTTAGTTTATGATCACGCGTTGTATTTTGACAGAAATGGACGAGATACTTGTGAGTCAACTGCTTTAAATTTCTAACTAACGTTGTGCTGCGTCGAATGGATATGACTATTATTGTCGTTTCAAAATTTGAAATATCAATTTCTTCCGCTTGTAATCCGCTTTCAAGGGGGTTGTGCTCTTGTGCATACTTCTCTTCATGATTGACTTGACCATTTGGTGACGTGCAATCTAAATACGAAGTGCATGCATGACTTTGTCAAAGGACGTACTTTTAAAACCATTCATGATTTTTGTACCAGTGTAGCATCTGAGGTGAAGAAAAACAAGAATTACATAATGGACCATGGAGGTGGCTATAGCTATCATTTGAAGCGGTGAAACACCATAAGTCTAAAGCGCAAGAGTCTGTTCCAATGTGGCGTTTTGTAGAACACGAGATTAACCAATCAGAATTGACTTCATAAAGTCCGCGAATGTTAAATGATTAGAAATCCCTATCAACAACCTTAAAAAAAAAAAACCCGCTTTTTATTGCGCTTAGGGAAGTCGGTAAATTGAATGTTCTTCGTAAGTAGACAAAGCCTAGGTAGATTAACATGCTGATCAAACTACAGTAAGGGGAGGAGTAAAGCATTGGGCTGATTACTTGAAGAGATGAAAAGTGCTATTCTGCCGCACAAGCAAAGTTCTAAATAAAATATATATCACGTGTTCACTAATACAAACCACCAAACTTTTAGTCTGTCAGTGCCTTCCCCCATCCAAATGAAAGCAACTGAAACAAAGTCTTTCGCAATACTCCCTATAAGGAAGATAAATTTTCTTTTGGTAAAACGTAACACTTCCCTGACTCACTATCTTGTCCTAAATCATCTTGATAACATGTAGAGATTTTTATAATTATTTCTGATATCATATCATTTTTTCAGGTTCTGTTAGCACATAGTCGTTTGTTTTCTTCCTCGATGGCAAAGTTTGTTTAATCTATTAGGCCGGCTGTGTAACTTACTGGTTACATAGTCTTTTGTTTCCACCCGCTGGTTTTGTCCACTGTACATTTAGCTGTGATGCTAAAACAAAAGAAGGCCTGGAAAGCCACCGCTGAGACAACATTTGCTACTGTTCATAGAGTTTGCATTTGTGTCGATAGACTTGTAGATTTAGATAATGATTCTGACAAGTAATATGTGGCCACTCCTCTTGTCAGGCGAATACATAATACGTGCTGCCCCGCACAGGCAAGTTACTCCGAAAAATTCTTAAAACTTAAGGCCACACACTACTCAGAGACCTTTACGTGGTAAGTTTCTTAACTTACCTATCATTTTTAATTATCATATTGGTTGATTTCTTCCTCTTTTAAAGTTAGTAGTTAATCATCTCTCCTGCGTCGGTGACTTTCGTCTCGAACGAAAAAAAGAAAAAAAACTCCTCTCAGCGACGGAATTTAAGAAATTAAGTTTGAGCAATGCTTTTTTTAGGGGTTCCGCTAGAAAATGATAATTTGCTTATACAATAGATACTTTATTTTTCTACCAGAACAAAAATCCATCTGGACATGAACTTCGAGATCATTCTGTTTCTCGTTCAAGCATTAATCGTGCTAGGGAAGCCCGCTCATCAAGATGAAGGTATGAGTTTCACTGTAAAGCATGCTGGGATGAAAAAAAAAATCTCCCACCAATGGCGTAGCTCCACTTTCTGCATATAAACCCACACACAACCCACGATTCCTCTAATCGCTCTGACGAAGGGCTAACGCTCGAAACGTCAGCTTTTTTACCCTTTACGGTGGCTAATTTACGTTTTCAACCCAGTTGTTGACACTAAATTACCTGAAAAAAAATAGTTTCCATTCAAGAAGAAGTTTCTTTATTTTTTAGATGATACTGTACTTGGAAATGCGCAATCATATTTAAAAATTTCCACTCGCACTAGTTTAGAATCAGATTTTTTTGCCAAAAAATGTATTCCGATAGTTTAGTTAAAAATCAATAAAGCACATTTATTCATGCTCACTTGGAATTTGCGCTATTATCGCTAAATTATGATTATCAATTGTGAGACCTTCGCCCCCGATAGTTGTGCCAGCCTAAATTATCACTAGAGTAGTGCATGGAAAAGAAGAATAAAAAAGTAATTGTAAAATGTAAAATTTGAGATCTGTAACTGCTGTGGTATTGTGTACCTAAAATGGCATGATGTAAACATTTTTTGTTATGCTATTCATCTCTCTCGTCTTTCTCTGTCTTATTCAAATAACGAACAGAAGATCATATCATAGTACGCATTTATTTCAGATATAATGGCCATAAAGTTTCTTTTGTCTCGTTTACACCAGCTCTATCAATAAAATTGATAATGTAAGCGAATAAACGTCATTGATTCCATGAAATTTAAGCAATAATTTCATTCTCAACGATTCCTCCCTTTGCCTTTTTTGTCCTTAGTTTTTCTTTTCTGTTGTCTTTGCATCTTTTTTTTTGGTGGTAGTTATGCTCTCTTACTATCAGTTCTCTCCTTTTTTTTTTCTTATTTTGACAGTAAAAACAAGATATGATACATTGACTTGGCTACACATTCATCACAACCAGATTGCGAATCGTATAATTTACTGTGTTTTATATCTTCATCTAAGTTGGCAGCTGTGATGTTAACTCCAGATACAGATGGGAATGCGGTTGGCTTGGAATAGACAAAGAAACCTGCGAGAAGCGCGGCTGCTGCTGGGATGACAGTGACCCTTGGGCAAAGTTCTGTTTCGTCAGGAAATATAAAAGTAGGATCCTTCTCATCTATGTAGTACAATTTCAAATGATTTCAAAGGTCTTCTCGCTAAACTACGTATCATCCCAGGGATGCTGCTGAAAAATCCACATGGAGAAGTTGTTCTTAAAAATTGCATTCGGTATCCTTACTGATTAGAGTAAAAAAAACTTAAAGTCTGCCTTTTTCAACGGAAGTATTCATAACTACTAAAGAGGTAACTTATTGTGTTGCAGATCTCCCTGATGGACTCTGCCCTGTTGCTCCTTCTGAGCGCCAGGAGTGTGGTCATTATGGGATAACAAGGGATGAATGTCTGAGTAAATCATGCTGTTGGGACCCCACCGTACCTAACGTAAAATGGTGCTTTAAACAGCCTGGTGAGTAATTCTGATGGCACCTTTGAAACGTTCGAACATAATTTACCCTTTCCGACTACTTTCCAAAATCGAGTGAGTGTCAGAGTACATCAGACATTTGCTAACCTTCCGTAGCTAACGCAAAATGGTGCTTTAAAGAACCCGTTGAGCAAATATGATGTCACTTTAGAATCTTTGGAACCGAATATGCTCCCCCCCAATCAAAGAATGAATGTCTAAGTACATCATGCTGAGTGGCCTTACCGCAGTGGAAGCTAAATGGTGCTTTATCCAGCTTAGTAAGCAACTTTGATAGCACTGGAATCGCTGGAAACGACTCCCATCCTGAGCCGATGCTTGTTGTTATCATGAAAATAATATTTCCCGTACCTATGACTTTAGATGGGTTACATATTTGTTTTTCTTAATTGGAATAGTTATGAGGGGTAGTTGGAAGAGACTTCACATTTAAGATTTTTATGCGAAACATTTAAAGTTTTTTTTTCTTGTTAAAATTTTGTTCATGAATTCCTCAAGTTTTTTTTTAAATGCACCAATCCTATGGATCTGGATTCCCAAAACGAAATCTAATCATAAAGGGTTGTAACTGATTTACATTTTACGCTTTAACAACCATCGTCTCTCTCCCTTAGATAAAATGGTGCATTAAATCAAAAGGAGATTTTCTGAAAACTTCACCCTGATTATGGCACCATATTTTAACATCAAATGTCCAAACTGATACAAGGAGTGATGATTTTAGATATAGGAAATTCATATATTTGCACTGCGGTGAAGAAATAAAATTAAGAGATCCTCGCAACTAAGAATACTACTGAAACGAGTGGTTGAAAATAGAACCTGAAAAAAAATTCATATATTTGAACCCATGAACTCTGCGATACCGGTGCAGCGCTCTACCGTACGGGCCTGAATTTTTTTCAGGTCTTATTTTCAACTACTCGTTTCAGTAGTGTTCTTAGCTGCGAGGATCTCTTAATTTCATGATACTAAGAGCTCCACCTTTCAGAGCCCCTTCTTGCCTAGAAAGAAAATAAAATATCTTCATAAGTCTTCACATAGCTCAGAAGGAGCTGCTGGTGTGGCATAATTCAAGTATGAAGTTCATGCCGTTTTCCGGCAGAATTTAAGTGTTTATTTGCCTAATTCAACGCTTCAGTGCTGTACTTTCAATGTACTGTATAATTTTCAAATCTGAACTGCTACGGGTTTTTTCCTTCAATTCATGTTGATTTCCATAAATTCCCAATGAGTAATATCAAGAATGTTTCTCAATTTCAGTTGAGGAAACGAGATCTTGTTACATTTATCATGGTGTATCGGGAACCTGTAAATACGTGTGTGATAAGGACGAGAGAAAGAGCTATGGAATGGGACAGTGCAAAGGGAGAATATGCTGCTTTTAATTAAAAAGTTATGTGAGTGGATAGTACTGTAACTTTGTGTGGATGGTGAAAAAGGGTATACAAATCACCCATCTGTGCTCTTTCGTTTCTTTTTTGAATGGCCTGATCCGTCAACCTTATTTGTTTTCTGTTCAAATCTGGATCCAAAGTACCCCAAATTTTTCGTGTTATCGATTTACTTAAACTAATTCAAACACCCTTCTTCTATCATAAATCAGTTGGTTTGGGCGCACAAGTGGAGAGGAGGCGTTTTGACCGGGCCTAAGTTGTTTCAATTCTCAATGTGAAAGCTCAACCAATTTCGACAGCAGAATGCCGACTGACCATAACAAATGAATAAACAATTAAGAATGAACAATATCATTCTGCGTATTACCTGGACAAAAACTTCAGGCATTTCGAACTCAGACCTTTTCGCACATGATTTTGTAATGTTAATATAACTGCTATGATATTTGATTTATAATCATAAACATTATTTGAGCCAATAGGAAATTAAACTATGTATACTCACCTTTCTTAACATTCAATTGGTTCAACTGTTAAGCATGACTGTATTTTGCGTTTCTTTTTTTATAGTGGAAAATGATCCTTGAGAAGTGCCACAGGACAAACAATTCATCACTTACACGAAGAACGTAACATTTCAATCAACATTCAATAAAACATTCACACTCATGAAAACTGTCCTTAATTCATTTTTGATTGAGGCTCCATTCAAGGCATGCGATGCCAATTGGAACAAAACAGGGTATTATATGTTTTAAAGGTGCCAGCAGACCATTACTCCTTTGACTGCTTAAATGTATCACATTTTACAAACACCACCGTTTTTTCAAATGATGTATCCACAATAATTTACTCCCAAAGCTATAGGTAACAAGAAATAGCTACAAATGAAGGATATATATCAATAAACCCCAGCCAACAGTTATGCATCTGAGAGACGACACAGCGACCGGAAAGTTTTTAATCGAAGTTAAGTTCTCTGAAATCTAGCATTAGCGAAAACATTGAAAGCACCAGTAACCGGAACTGATCCTACCGATAGGTCTTTCCAGTTTGGACTTTTTCTTGTATTGCTCCCAAGGTGAGAGTCAAAATTTCTTAAATCCTACCAATCTTGAATTATTTTGCAGTACACGAGAAAGATATTTTTAACATTATCTCTCTTACCCAGCAAGGAGACAAGCAGCAGTCGCAAGTCCGTAAACTGGGGTTAAAAGAATGAATCTCGGTATAAATAGTTATAAATTAACGGAAACAATTTCTCTCTAAATCAAAATGGCTTAAAACAGCGTTTCACAGCTCCTTAGGCTGTACTAAAATTTTATGACTTGTATTAGGAACAGAGTTGCAAGGCTTTTGGGAAAAAAAAAACAGAAGCTGTTTCAGAAAACTTACATCGTACCCAATTAAACTGGTTGTGGATTCGTGTTGATTATTATGGTCATTCATGTTTTCGACGAGTTTAGCCTCGCCGACTATTCAACATAGGGGGGGCTTAACAATTGCCCTTAGCGAACAATTGTTAGATATTCCATAGATTCCTCTTGCCAGCCATCAGGTGCAACATGAAGTCGCCGAGTTTCACACTTCGTCATGACTAGCTCTGGGCACGCTACTGGTTATTTACCTTTTTCTTCAAGAGTCGTTGATCAATTCATTGTTGCTCACTTTTACATTAAGTGTCAGGAAGACTAATACAACGCAGAAATTTCAGCAATTATTCATACCAATGCTTATCTATGCCTACTCGAGTAAAATTCGAGAAATCTGTTAGGTTAAATAGGTATATTTTCTTATCTTTCTGTTTTTATTACAACACTACATAAAGCCTTTTTCATCATTTGTTCAGCCAAGGATATCAGCTTCCCTCAAAAAAAAAAAAAAAAAAAAAAATCCCAAATCAAAATATATGGTCTTACCTCCATTCTAGCATCAGCATATATATATATATATATATATATACATACATACATACATATATATATATATATATTTATTACATCCATTTTGAAATCACTGGTGGTCCCTGTGATCTGATTGGCTCTAATTGGTGCGATTTATTCACGAATCGCACCTTTTTTTGCTCTTAATCGCATCTTTTCTCCAGCCAATGAGGAAGTTACACTTAAAACAAAACAACCAATCAGATTTCAAGGCTTGTTTAAAGTAACCAATCAAATTGCAGGAAAATGAAGGACAAAGAGTATCATTTCGCAAATTTGCAACTTTTGTTTCCATAACTCTTATTTTTTCCCCCCCAAAAATGGATGAATTTAATTTTTTCCAGTTTTTGAATGATGACAATGAGATCCTTCAGGCTGAAGACCAACATGCCAGGGACTTTCCCACTTTTCTTGTACATTTTGGTGAATATTTTGACGATTTTCTACCCTCTCGAGCTCAAAATCCGCACAATCCCGAGTCCACCGAGTCAGCAACAAACGAAGAAAATCAAAAGCCACCACAAGAGTTAGATGTTTCAAGATTTCCTATCATTTCAAGCGATGAAATACAGGAGCTTAAGTCTGTCGCTTCGAATAAAAATACGTCCCGCTCCACAAAACAATGGATGAATGTTTTCAGAAGCTGGTGTCAATGCCGCCATCTTGAATATGTCTCCATCGAAACAATGGCGCCTGAAAAACTTGACAAGGTCTTGAGTAAGTTTTACGCCGAGGTGAAAAAAAAGGACGGAGATGACTACGAGCCAGAATCCCTTAAAATCATGCAGAGTGCCATTGAACGGTATCTAAAGGAGAAGAACTATCCATTGAGCATCGTGCGATCGAGAGAGTTTCACTCCTCACAAGAAATCCTCAATGCGAAAGCAATTTCCCTACGTCAACAAGGAAAGGGAAAGAGACCCAACAAAGCTCAGCCAATCACACCTGAAGAAGAGTCAGCCCTGTGGGAAAAAGGTCAGTTGGGTGATTTTAATGGAAAGGTCTTGACCAATGTCAACTTCAAAAATTTGACAGAACAACTGGGATTTCGTGGTCGCCAAGAACACTACGATGCATACGTGGAAGAAGTAATTATAAGACAGCGTGAAGATGGAACTGAAGTTGTTGAGTTCAGGGAAGGTCCCACTAAAACGCGGAGCAGTGGTCTCACCATCAGGCGAAGAACAACACCACAGGCAATGTTCAGCACCGATGGCGGAAAAAGCGATCCAGTGCGGCTATTCAAGCTTTGGTTGTCCAAGCGACCCGAAGGAATGAAGAACACAGGGCCACTCTATCTTAGCATCATAAATTGTCCTAAATCAGCAGATGTTTGGTTCACCAAAGTTCGAATGGGACAAAACACCATCGGCAATTTAATGAAATCCATGGCCTCCTGTCTCAGGACGAATAAGAAGCTGACGAACCACAGCATGAGGAAAACATTAGTATCAAAACTGAAGAAGTCTGGTCAACCGCGCAATGTTATCTGTGAAATAACAGGCCATGCACGTGAATCTTCGTTAGACGACTACGATGAAATAGACGAGAATCACAGGAAAGAACTCTCACATTATCAGTGGATATAAAGAAGTGTCAAACGAAAATCAAGCAAACGAAGTCTCCCGCCAAAACACTGCAAATGAAGCCTCAAATCAAGAGATTGCAGTCCAACATAAACGATCACCTCTGGTTCCTATTTATCACGTCCAACAACAAGGCCAAATGCATCAGGCCATGGGCTCCAATCCTGGTTTTCAGCCGGCTGAATTCTCAGGATTTCCACCACGTTTTCCGTTGCAGTCTCAGTACCGCATGGAAGCCTTCAGTTGTGTTGCTCCCGTTCCATCGCAGAATTACTCAGGCTGCACCTTCAATTTCTTCTCTAGAGACAGCCAGAATTCTCCACCCCAACCACAGAAGAAACGAAGAGCTTACATCATTGAGTCAGACGACGAGGACTGAACTTTAACGCTTCACTATTTTTCTGAGTCATTGAGGACTTCTCGAATTTCTTGAATGAAAGTTGTCTTTCTTTTGATACACTTGACTGAGTTTTTGACACATGACGTCAAAGTCTTTCTGTTTTGCATACAAAATGAGATGTAAAAGCGTTTCCGGTTCCGCTTTTTATTTAAAAACCGGCTCAGTACTGCATCAATAAAATATTCGAATTGACCAAGTCCTGTATTTGGGTGATTTCAAAATGGATGTAATAAAGTGGTAATTGAACCTCGTGTCGTGCAATTTTGGTCTGAAATCATACTTGTGATTTCAAATCGAACTCGCGCTGCGCGCTCGTTCGATTTTGAAATCACGCGTATGATTTCAGCCCAAATTGCACTCCACTCAGTTCAATTACCATTATATATATATATATATATATATATATATATATATATATATGTGTGTGTGTGTGTGTGTGTATCCTCTGTAATCAGTTGTAAGTGAACACCACGATTATTCTCCATCATCTTTGTTGCAGGAGTAAAGGTATTTCCTTCATTATAGGGGTGCACCGCTGGCAAATGACGCAACTGACGGGTGACGTGAACCAATTTTGAAAGGGAACAACGTAGAGAAAGGCTTAGGATTAGGCCATCACATAATTCAAACTGCTGAGAATAATTAAGCAAACGGTACGCAATATTTGGCATAACCGTGAAGTTATTTTAGAAAGCAGTGGTTCATCTCAGCGGGAAGTGCACCCACTACACCCCTCCCCTACATCCACCTCTGGCAAGCATCAAGTGGAACACATCTTTTTTCCCAGTTGTACCAGGATTCTAGGATTAAACTTTCGAATGTCTCCCACTAGGTCTGTTCCAATTGTGCTGGGCACATTTGAGCAACTTTAGGCGTCTAGAGAACCTTTGCTGTTATAGCAACCTCGAGCAATTTTCGTCTTTCTTAGAAATTTTTGAACAAAATATAGGTTTAGAGCACATATCAGCTCAAAAAAGTGAACGATTTCAAAGAAAACTTCAATTCATGCGAATTTCATGAGTGTTATCAACCTTTTTCAGCACACAATCCGTCACTTGGCAACGTTTCGCAGGGCTAATGCGATCCTTATCTAAGATTACAGATAATCGGCAATAAGTGAAATGAACCTTGTGATTTGTTCCTTTAGACGTAAGAATACTCTTAAATTTTCACCCATATTGGAAAGCATCTCTTTGAAGCCAGGTTTCAAGCTATTCCTCTAGGCCGATGTTCAGAACTCTGCAGACCTTATTCTTCTAGTCCTAAGTATCCTGAGTATGGTATACTCTGGGCGTGAACGAAATTGGAGCCAAGTGAGATTTACCGAAAGTGAACACGTTACGAAATACAGACAGCAAAACCTCAAAGGACTGCTCGTAGCAACAGAAGACTGCATCTTGATTTTCTATCTTATCAGTCTTCATGTTAATCGAAGTCAATTTCCAATTTTGTAAGTGGTTCTTTTTTCCTCTCCCTTAGAGATAAATCCCTGTTCCACCGTACCTTAAGGGCCTATGGAAGGTTGGGAGGTATGAATTCCAAAAATGACTTCAAGTTACCTTAGAAACGAGACAGCTTAAGGCACCTGAACAAAAAATAAGTCGAAATTTTCTGGGTTTCAAAGAAGTTTTCTTGGGGGCTCTTACGATACCAGGGGCCACCGAGGGTCGCCTTCTCGTTACCGATACAGCACATAACTTTATTCATGTTATCGTTGAAACATCTTCAAGTGAAATATTGCCATGGTTTGGATAAAATAAGGCGACTACCTATTAAACTGTATTTCTTTATTCATAACATTAGAAATACAGCTTTTATTACATAGGTAACGCATTTAAGTCTTTATAACCACTTAATAAGTTTAAGCTCTCATTCGTACTTTACGACAAATATTTAAAAATTCATGCTTCGTTAAATAAGGAATGTATTCAGATTAAGTCTAAACTTCTATATTAACCTCATTTTCTACGGAATCTCGGGTATATTTATTCATTTCATTCACACATTTTCTTGCATTGATGCTTTTCTTCACTCAGCTTCTCCCTGTCTTCATTTCTCTAACACCCTGAGGAAAGGAAAAGTTTACGCGGTTTATTTTGCTAATTAGGCAAACTGAAGAACAAAAAAAGACGTACCATGCACGCCCGGAGTCCACTGAGGGTAGGATCTTACACAACAAAAATATAAGCGATTTTGAAAGGTGGAAGTGAGACTTGATGTCTAGGAAATAACGAAAACGATCAATGACGTGGTAGATTCATCATCTGAGCGAATATGAAACTGAAAGGGCATAAGTAGAGTTATTGAAAAAAAAGGTGGCTGCACATATTATGGTTATGAAAGTCTGAGGACTGTTTTTGTTGCGGGTCTGGTCAGCCAAATGGGTTGGAGAGAGATAAGCAATCCATCTTAGACTAAATCTTACTTTGTATTAAGTTAATTCGAAACTCTTTTTAACTTTGCATCGTCAAGTTATATTTTGTTCTTATACCAGTTAGTTTGTATAGGTAATCACATGATTCCGAGTGCAATTTGGGATAAATCAGCACAAGCAAATTTTTCAAAGGCTCACCAAACTGCTCAAGCCCGAAGGGCGAATGAAAATTATTGTCTTAGAAAAACTTTCAAGTGCTGATTTATCCCAAATAATACGAGAAAATATTCATGTGATTACATGTCAATAATACACATGCAAAATTGGACTCTGTTCTCTCCTAGCCTTGTTCATGGGTCACTGGTACAGCCGCTTGCATTTGTGTTGTTGCCAGAGTCGCTGGCGTTTTCGCGCACGAATTTGCGTCTAGCTTTTAAATTTTCTCTTAGGAATAATTGAGTGTTCACCCTCTTTCTCAGTTGCAATTGGCTAAATAGCGCAACCAGTACACGAAGGCCAACACGCTCGTAATTTAATCCTTGTCTTTCGTACGAATTATTACATAAACTGCGAGAGAATTTTGTTGAGGACTTCCGATTTCTGCGTTTCAATACCTTTTTCATGACCTTTTTTTTGGAAGCCCAAGACTTCCCAACTTTTTGTCAGTTGTTCTTGCTTTGTTGCGGGATTTTGTTCTGGATTAAAGCGTTCTTACTTTCCCCTTACCCGTCTGCTACTTTGTTTTGGTGTGCTATCGCGACTGGAGAGTCGCGAAAGCACATCATTGCGCAGAATGCCTTGACATGATTATGAATAGGTATTTAGGAGCACTGATGTGGGAATATTTGAATGCGATCGCACCCTGAAAGCCCATAATAAGAGAAGAAAGGGCCAAAATTAGCACAGCAGCGTTGATAAAACTCGTTTTCCCTATCGCCAGAGGCAATAAGTCAAAAACTCAAGAGCAGATTTTTAAGGAGGGAGGGTTTTATTTAAATTTAATTAAAGCTTAAAAAGAGGAAGTTTGAGAAAGTATAAAGTCTATTCCTTCACCTTTGAAAATGTCCAAAAAACCGGACCTTTTTAGTATAAGGGCCGATTTAAAAGCGATCTTTAAGAAAAAAATTCGAACTGGCTTTCAAAAACTCAAGAGCGGGAAATGGAGAATGGATCTTTCCTGCAATAGAACCCGGTTAAACTTTAAAAGTTGGTGAACTAAAACCGCTAATCCTCACAGTTTTAAAATTTTAAGTCGAAGTTCTTTTCGAAAACATCGCGCTTCGACTCGGAGTTCGACACCATTGTATTCAGCCCACGAATAATAATGGTCGCCAAAACTAAACAATGGCCAATTCAAGAAACCTCTCATGCTGCGAGTTTTGAAACGGATCTTAGCGCATCAGCTAGCTTAAGCAACGCTTGTCCAATGTCCACGCGAACACAATCCTACCCAAGCAATTTGTATCTAGAATTTGAAATAGTTTTCCGTTTGGCTAAACTAAACAATTGCCATTTCTTACACATCAACTTAACTTTGTATAGCCAAGGATTTTCCTCGATTTAAATTTAACCTTTTTCACTGTTTGGGATAAATTGATTCAGGGTTAGTTAAAACTGAAGCTGTTGTCTATTTCCTCAAAAATGATAACGAGCCTGCTACTCTCGAGACCTTTCGGAACTTTTGGAGAGTACTTCTTGTTCCTTCGAGTAAAAAGGAACTATTTCAACAAAATCTTAAACCCTCCGTTTTCAGTGAAGAAGGGTACGTAAGAAAGAAAGTTAAAGAAAATCTACATAGGCATAATGAGAAGATATATATTACGTTAAAAAGCGATAAGATAAAATGGTGGCGGAAAATTTCTGTAGCATTTACGTATCGGAAAGAAATTAGGCTAACCCAAGAAAGTACTCACTAAGACGCCAAACATCTCGTAACCTTTCTCCTCCGCTGCAACTTTACAAAGTTCAAACGCCGTTTTAACATCGCACTTCATTTCTCCGATGGCCTTGAAGTCTGCGAATCTTTCATTAAAGTCAATTTTCTCCCCCTTCTTGAGTACTTTGAAGCATCCCTCTGACCTCCACCCGTCTACAGTAACTGATTGGAAGAAGGATTTATCCACCATAAGTTTATTGGGATAGCATTGAGATCATGGTCATGATCATTATTATTAGGATTATCATTATTGTTATTTCTTCTATTAAACAAAACTACAATGAAATTCTTGAAGGAGATTGGTTACCAGCAGCCCGATTCAAGCACTAAGAGGATGAAGTATGCGCCTTGCTTGTAATGAAGAAATGTAAAATGGTTTCCGTGTTTACATCAGGCTATGTAAACACGGAAACCATTTTACATTTCTTTTATAAAATAACTAATGAAAGAGGAACGCAAACCGTGTTTACATACGCTCATGTAAAATGGTTTTATGGCCAATCAGAGCGCGCGTACTATTTGAATTATTTTATACTTGGGCAATGTATTATGGCAGTTGATGCATCATACCTGTGCAATTGGACAGTACGAGTTGTTCGCGTGCGCTGTTGTGGCGTATTCGCAGAGTAAACAATTATTTAGTTGTGAATGCGGTCTGATCAATTGGTAGTTAATTTGTTTAATTCGTAATTGTGACTGCAATCATACTCTTTATTAATAAATCATTTGCAGCATGGCAGCTTTTAAGTTCGCTATCACAGTTTTGATGGAGAGTGAACACACAGTTCACAATCTATATGCCTGTATGTACCTTTTTCACAATTTCCTCCAGAATATCCAACGGCACATTGGCAACTGTGCGAATTGTTTCCTGTTTCGGTGCAGATTCCTTTATTTTGACAAGGTTTCTTAGCGCATGGGCCCGCTGTTTATTCTTTTGTTTAAATCAATGAAGTAATTTAGATCAAATCAGGAATCTGTTTAGTGGTGACAAAAGTATTCATTCTCTGTATAAGTCAAAAAATGATGATATCTAATTCATATCCAGCAGCTGCGATTACCCCTCCGTATTGAAAACACCAAGGATAGAAAAAGATCAAACATTAAAATAACTGTTAGCTGAATTCACAGCCGTCACCCATGTACCTATTTCACAATTGCCTCCTAAATATCCTGAAGCACATTTGCAGGTATACGAGTCGTTTTTGGTTGCTGTACAGACTCCCCCATTCAGACAAGGGTTGTTGTCGCATGGACCGACTGCGGTGGAAGAAAAAACAACAACATCAATAACACTCACAAAAGTGTTTGTTGGTTTTTATTTGGCATGCATTTAAACTCAGGACTTTCTATTCCTTACCACAGTTAGCCCAAGATCCACTGTAAGTAGTGGTTAAAGAACACCACAATCGGCTATGAGCGGCCATGGTACAAGCGTTGTAGGTCGTTCCTCCATAGGTAAAAGGGAGAAAACAGCAGGCACCTTGCGGATTGTCGGTTTTTTTGCCAGGTGGACATGGCAGCTCTGTGGAAGAACAGAAAAATGTCCTTCACGTTCTGGGTGTATATTTTAGGTTAATTTGAAAGCAAAACCCCAGTGCGACTACTGGTTCATGCACCACTTTTCCACTGAATGGATGCCTTAATGGGGTTCGATAAGGAAGTACTTATCTAGAATTTTGAGTTTATGTTCCATTGTAAAAATGCACCGTCACACCGCTTGAGCTTACATAGCACTATTTCAAGTAGATCATAATTCAAATGATGTAAAAAAGGAAAATGAAAGGTAAGAAAAAATATCCTATATTACATAAATTATTCCCACATAGTGTAAAATCTATATGCCTGTATGTACTTTTTTCACAATTTTCTCCAGAATATCCAACGGCACATTGGCAACTGCGCGAGTTGTTTCCTATTTCGGTGCAGATTCCTCCATTTTGACAAGGTTTCTTAGCGCATGGGCCCGCTGCGGAGTAACAAGAAACCATAAATTAGATATTTTCATTGTTTGATTTGGATGAATGAGGTATTTGAGATCAAACCGTTAAAATGGCTGTTAGCTGAATTCACAGTCGTTACGCATGTACCTATTTCACAATTGCCTCCCGAATATCCTGAGATACATTTGCAGTTATACGAGTCGTTTCTGGTTGCTGTACAGACTCCCCCATTCAGACAAAGGTTGTTGTCGCATGGACCGACTGCGATGGAACAGAAAAAAAAACCACTCAATTAAGCACCGCCATACTTTTGTGGCTATGGATGAACTATTTAAGAGCAATATTAGCAACAATCTTCTTTGGCCTAACAAAAGAACATATTTGATGACTAATGATTCATCGGTTAGACCTAACAGACAATACCTGTATGCTTTAAGAATCCAATTGTTGCACCTCTTCTTACCATTGTGGCTAAAAATCGTGTCTTAAAACAAATATCTTGAGGTATAGTACTACAATAGTGTTTGTTTTTTTTGGCATGCATTTAAACTCGCGACTTTCTGTTCCTTACCACAGTTAGCCCAAGATCTACTGCCAGTAGCTTTAGTTATACACCACAATCGGTTGTGATCGGCCATCGTACAAGCGCTGTAGGTCGTTCCTCCATAGGTAAAAGGGAAAACACAGCAGGCACCTTGCGGATCGTCGGTTTTTTTGCCAGGAGGGCATGGCAGCTCTATGGAAGAACAGAAAAGTTTCCTTTACGTTCTGGGTGTATATTTAAGGTTAATTTGAAAGCAAAACCCCAGTGCGACTACTGGTTCATGCACCACTTTTCCACTGAATGGATGCCTTAATGGGGTTCGATAAGGAAGTACTTATCTAGAATTTTGAGTTAGTCTTCCATTGTACAAATGCACCATCACACCGGGCAGAGCTCACATAGCACTATTTCAAGATCATAATTAAAAGATGGTTAAAGAAATTAAAGGTAAAAAATATATCCTATATTGCATGAGCTGTTCACACACAGTTCACAATCTAGTATATGCCTGTATGTACTTTTTTCACAATTTTCTCCAGAGTATCCAACGGCACATTGGCAACTTCGGGAGTTGTTTCCTGTTTCGGTGCAGATTCCTCCATTTCGACAAGGTTTCTTGGCGCATGGGCCCGCTGCGGAGTGACAAGAAATCATAAATTAGATATGTTCATTGTTTGATTTGGATGAATGAGGTATTTGCGATCAAACCGTTAAAATGGCTGTTAGCTGAATTCACAGTCGTTACGCATGTACCTATTTCACAATTGCCTCCCGAATATCCTGAAGCACACTTGCAGGTATACGAGTCGTTTCTGGTTGCTGTACAGACTCCCCCATTCAGACAAGGGTTGTTGTCGCATGGACCGACTGCGATGGAACAGAAAAAAAAACCACTCAATTAAGCACCGCCATACTTTTGTGGCTATGGATGAACTATTTAAGAGCAATATTAGCAACAATCTTCTTTGGCCTAACAAAAGAACATATTTGATGACTAATGATTCATCGGTTAGACCTAACAGACAATACCTATATGCTTTAAGAATCCAATTGTTGCACCTCTTCTTACCATTGTGGCTGAAAATAGTGTCTTAAAACAAATATCTTGAGGTATAGTACTACAATAGTGTTTGTTTTTTTTGGCATGCATTTAAACTCGCGACTTTCTGTTCCTTACCACAGTTAGCCCAAGATCTACTGCCAGTAGCTTTAGTTATACACCACAATCGGTTGTGATCGGCCATCGTACAAGCGCTGTAGGTCGTTCCTCCATAGGTAAAAGGGAAAACACAGCAGGCACCTTGCGGATCGTCGGTTTTTTTGCCAGGAGGGCATGGCAACTCTATGGAAGAACAGAAAAGTTTCCTTTACGTTCTGGGTGTATATTTAAGGTTAATTTGAAAGCAAAACCCCAGTGCGACTACTGGTTCATGCACCACTTTTCCACTGAATGGATGCCTTAATGGGGTTCGATAAGGAAGTACTTATCTAGAATTTTGAGTTAGTCTTCCATTGTACAAATGCACCATCACACCGGGCAGAGCTCACATAGCACTATTTCAAGATCATAATTAAAAGATGGTTAAAGAAATTAAAGGTAAGAAATATATCCTATATTGCATGAGCTGTTCACACACAGTTCACAATCTAGTATATGCTTTTTGCACAATTTTCTCCAGAGTATCCAACAGAGTATCCACAATCTAGTATGTACTTTTTTCACAATTTTCTCCAAAGTATCCAACGGCACATTGGCAACTGCGCGAATTATTTCCATTTTCGGTGCAGATTCCTCCATTCTGACAAGGTTTCCCGGCGCATGGGCCCACTGCGGAGTAACAGAATACACTAAATTAGAAACTTTCATACTTTTGTTTAGATGATTGAATTATTTGAGATCAAAACTGGCAGCAATATATTTATTTGTGACAGTATATTTTTTTTCCTGTCCAAGGATTCGTAGTTAAAGGTATAGACCTAATTTGTCCAACTACGCAAATTTCAATTTATATCTTGCTATTTCCCCATTCAAAGGATACCAGGTGTGGGCTGAATCATCCAGGGCAAAAAATTACCGAGGATAGGAAATAACACAACATTGAACCAACTGTTAGTTCAATTCACATTTGTGATGCAGGCACCTATTTCACAATTGTCTCCAGAATATCCCACGGCACACTCGCAGCTGTACGAATCATTTTTGGTTTCTGTACAGACTCCTCCATTCTCACAAGGTCTCCTGTAGCAAGGGCCGACTGTGAAGGAGCAAAAAAAAACACTTCATTAATCTGGTTCATACTTTTTTTCAATTAATGAGCTATTTGATGTCAATACTAGCAAGAATCTGTTTAGGCCTAACACCGTATGTTCCCAGGCATGTCTCGAGAAAAGGGAAAGGTTAGTCTCGAACGCGGACGTATTTATTCGGCTTGAATGCGTCACGCGTTGTGCTACGTGGTGTTAGGCTACGTGAGAGGAACCGCTGAGAATTTGAACCCGTTATGAGGATTTGTATCGGAAAAGAAATACGGACGACTTACAACGCCAAATATTCCGAGATATAAACATTTTACGCGTAAGATCAATTAAACTTACTCATTGTGAGTCCGTCGTGGTTTCTGGTGATCTCTGCCGTTTTGGAGCGATGGCAAAGCAACCCCAAAACGGCAGAGATCACCAGAAACCATAACGGACACACAAGTAATGAGTAAGTTACTTAATTTTACGAGTAAAATGTTCATATTTCGGAAGATTTAGCGTTGTTAATCGACTCTATTTTTTCCCCACACTATTCCTTAAAATGGGTTCAAATTCTCAACAATTCCTCGCGTAACCTAACACCGCGTATCACACAATGCGTGACGCTTTCAGGAATATACGTTAAGTGTGCAAGCATTTTCTCGAGACATGAGCTTGGGATGTCTGTGATATTTGATGACCGAAATCTGATAGCGAGATCTAACGGACAAGATCTAGTTGCTATAATTAAGTATTGTTGTATCTCTTCTTATGATTAACCCTTTAACTCCCGTGAGTGACCAGAACAGAATTTCTCCTTACTATATCTATACAATATCATGCAGACAAGTGATGAGAATAAAGAAAAACATCAATTATGGGATTTCAAATTGATCCGATATCAAATTCTCCAAGCCAACATGATGAGAATCATTTGGCAGACAGTAAGGAGAATTACTAAAGAGATCTTGGTAGTTAAAGGGGTTGAGATAAGTTAATCAGTTTAACGTCAGAGACATAGGTAGTGGTCTCCCAATCTCCCAAGCCCGAGGCTCATGATATTAGTGTTTGACAAGCTAAAAAAAATTAAGACTATACATGCTAAGAGCTACGAAATTCTCAAAAAGAATAGAAATAAGAACGGGAGACTACATATATTAGTATAGTTAATTGGTCAAGTCTAAAGGTTATTGAGAAATGAATAATAATATCTACCTATACGAATGATTAAGAGTTACAATATTCAAAACGCGGTAATAAAAATCTCCTATATAAAAGAAAAACTGAGCACTTAGGGCGACAAAGTGCAGATATCACAGTATAATTATGCTCTCTTCAGCAATACATTTGAATGCGCTTGAGCAGATAACTTACTGATCTAAATAAATAAGCTAATGCTAAATCCTGTTATATACAAATATTTTAAAGTATATTGGTACAAAAACGTTTTTTTAAATTTTTTTGTGAACATTTAAAATATTTGCTTTCTGTTCCTTACCGCAGTTAGCCCAAGATCCACTGTAAGTAGCAGTAAGTGAACACCATAATCCGTTATGATCGTCCATAGTACAAGCGTTGTAGGTCTTTCCTCCATAGGTGAAAGGAAAAACACAGCAAGTACCTCTCGGATTGTCTGTCTTCTTGCCAGGTGGACAAGGAGGCTCTAAACATCTACTAAAGACTGCAAGAGGCAACACACACCGGAGATGTTTGTGAGACCAAGAAACTTCTAATGACGTCAGAGATCAAGAGTTAGAAAGAGGCACGGCATTCTTATGAGCCCAAGATGTTTATCTTTATACGAAATAAGTTGTAGACTGAACTCGCTTAAAAGGCTTCATCATTGGACAGTTTGACAGGTTAGTGGATCTTTTTGAAACCTTTTTCCATCCAAATAATATAAGAGAGAACAAGGTAGAGAGGGACAATCAGGACGTTTGCCGGGATAAGTCGTCGTCACCGAGGTTTTAACCTTTATGTGGAAGGAAAGCAAGTTCCCCCTTTCCTGCATTGCGAACATTAATTAATGCGCTAGCAATTTTTCGAAGCTATTTAAATCGAAATCAATATCCTCGCTGTTCACCAATACATCAATGTAATTTACAGTGGCCGAACGCAATACGAGAAAAAGATATTTTAAGTAACATGTGTAAGTACACAACTATATAACAGCTGTTTCAATAAGTGAAACCCCAAGAAAGCTAAGTAAATACTAATGAATACATGACGTACTTACCACAAAACATGTTAACGCCCCAAATAAGCAGTGCCAACATACATGCAGTTGACTTCATAGTGTCTAGTAAAAGTGGGTTGTAACTGAAACTTCAAAAAAAGGATTTCAATTAAAAATAGTTAAATTAACTGTTCACATTTGCATTTTTTTTTTGGAGTAGTTTGTCGCATTTGCTTCGGAGCGGATGATCGTCTGCTAATTCAGTGATAACCTCCATTTTGCAACATTGGAAACTTTGTTAAAAGAATAAGAGAGATGGTGACCTGACACTATCAACATTGCTGATCCTAGCAGTATGCAGAATGGCGTGTCATATATGGACTTTGTAATGGCCCGCGCTCACCATGTAGTCTCTATGACTCAATAGTAGAGTATTTAACCTCGGATCCGAAGGTCTGAGGTTCGATTCTTCATGGGGACTCAGATTTTTTTCTTTGTCCTACGCTCGTGACAAGGCGAAAAATTGGAAACATTTTTGGTTCATCATTGGAGTTTTTTTCAAGCAAAAAAAAAGGCTGCTACAATGTGTTTGGAGGGAGTTCAGAATCATCCCAATTTGTTATTCTACTTAAAAGTGGACTTATTTCACCTTAACAATTGCTATGCATTTTTTTCGTCGCCTAAAGAACCCAAAGTGGGCCTACATTTATGCCTACATTGATGACATAGAAATTTTAGTTGAATTCAGGGTTTCTATGTCAGATTGAAAGTTTTTTTAGTACAAAACGCTTACAATACAATTTTTCAAATTTGATAATTTTTCATTTTTGATGTAACATACTGATAGTTATATCATCTAGATTGTTTGATTCCATAAATTTACTTTTTGTGTGCAGTCACACCATTAAATTGCAACAAGTAAAATTATCTTTTTTGTTGAGGCAAAATTATTGATAATTTTTTTCGTTCTATGCATTATTTGCGTTTATCCACCTCGCTGACTTTATAAGCTATTTACTGATCATCGTTGCCGACCTATTTGACTACTTTTTAATTCGTTTATATAGTTATCTTTTGCTTTGTTCTCGCTGAATAACGGCATTTGTAACCAAAGTAGCCATTAAAGGGAACTCATGTTCATTCATAAATCATACTTTTGACTTCTTTAGGTCAGGTCACGATTTCTTTATTGTGTACGGCGGCAAATTTATGGTCAACGTTGCTTAATCAAAGCGGTGTTGTTTTTCAGCAAAATGAAAGGTCGCGTTTTGTGACAATGTAAGAAACTGCTTACTGATATAGTGAAAGGAATAGAAGTTGGGCAAAACACGTAGAGAAAATACACAAGGAGCAGTTTATAAAATCAAATGCTTGGACTGTGGAACCCACTATAATCAGAGACTGGCAGGAATCCAACACCCGACAGACAGAACACAAGCGGTGGTGACATCAACAATTGCACAGCTGAATGTTATCGGCTCACGAACTACACCATCGACTAAGACTTTTAGCAATGCTCAACCCACAACACTTACCGTCTTCCAACGACTGACTCTGGAAAGCTGCTTCACTTACTTAGAACGAAGTCCACTCGATAGATATCAACAATTACCGGCACCAAACAAACGATATATTGACGCCAATTACTAAACAAATGAATCGAATACCAAGGAGCGACGCAAAAAAGTTACGTCAAAAATCACCTTGCTGGAAATCGTCAACCAAAGAATCACATTATCGACTGAGACTTTGGGCAACTTGATTAACAACCTACAGCACTAACCGCCTAATTACAGCGACTGACTTTTCAGGTTCATACTGCTCAGAAGCTCATTCGCTAACCTAGACCAGTACCAAATGGATCATACGTCAGCGTGCGTTCATGGAGGTATGAAACAAGCGGGAAGTTGGAGAGCACGGGTGAGGAATTCTTGAGTGCTTTCAAAACTTAACTCCATGATTGCACAACTGACGCATGAACTAAGTGCTCTATAGCATTGTCAAAGCAGTATTTTGGATGTTGTTTTGACAAAATTTTGAACTCTTGTGAAAGACAGCGCGTAATAAATCTTAAGTAAATCGTCTTTTGACCAAAACAACCTCTGATAAAGTCAAAACGGTTAGAAAACTTATTCCCAAACTAAGGAAATGATAATTTTAATGAAAATGTACTCGATTAGATATCGAAGTACATACTTGGTGATCACTGAGATTTTAAAGTCAATTTGCATATTTATCGCGTGCTAAAAGGCAAGGCAAAAATGACTTACAAATATTTCGAGAGGAAACCTTTATTCAAATAAATACAAAATATGCTATTTAGAAGCGAAAAAGTAAAATTTCCTAACGTATATTCCGCTCGTGCTAAAGATTCAAAATGCTTGAATTGTTGTTTACTCGACAGAACACATTGCGAAACGGTGTGTTGGAAATTTTGTAAGTTGCCAGATTGCGCAATACTCCGAGGACATATCCACACTTAGAGATTACATTTACCTAGAACAGATGCCAATATTGTCGAATCTTCGTCACTACCACCGACAACGGTCCTTTTCAAGATTACTGTCAACCGGACAATCAGTTTACACTATAAATTTTATGACGTGACATAAATTTCATGCGACCGAGCTCTCTGACATTTCTCATTTGAAGCCTAAATGTGTGTGTTCATTTTTACACAGCAAATATGAAATAAATGAATTCAATCAAGTGGTATTTACCCTCAAATACGGTGTTCCTTCTCAACTCTTGTAATTTTCTGTTTACTTCTTCACTTCAGTTCTTTCGTGTAAAGTTCTTTGCAGAGTAACTTTGATTGAAATGACCTTACTAACCCTTCGTAACAGCATTTAAAGATCTGAAGACGCACACTTATTCAAAGAATGTTTATATCAGGTTGTTTTTTACCTGAATACAATTTCCTGGTGATTTGTTTTTTGCATGTGTGCGAAGCACGTCCTAGAGTGGAAAGAAGGCTATTAATTGCCTATTCAAGCAACAGAGTTCCTCCCTCCCTGTGGCCGTTAAAACTACCGTCCTTTCTGACACTTCTTGCCCTTGTTTTGTACTTCATTCCATACATATTTCAGGCCTTACAATGTTTCTGAAAAAAAAAGGGAAGTTGTCACATGCGTTGGCACGCATGTGAGCCAAGGAAGTCATGCCAAAACCATCTTCTCTTTCAGAGCGTAGCAGCTGAATGGTCACGGGCAACTAGTTTCTTTCAGCAATTAGGAACTTAACTCTTACAGTGCTTTTTACCTTGTAGCTCACGTACACTACAGATTGTTTAAGAATCTATTTCAGCAGCTAATAGTCGTCAGTATTAGTAAGTATTCTAGACCCCTGGCGGATGATTTTATCAATTTTGAACCAAGAGATTAAAAAATGGTTGAGGTGCAACCATAATGTAATGCTTTTATCAAGCCTTTTAGCTGATTTTTGTGACTTTACAGGTCGTTACCCTTTGCGGCATCGTTTGTTTGAAAATTTTCCACGAGGAAGACTCAGTTGTCAAGCCGTGTTTGAATTGATGTTCGCAACTTTCCAAGGTCAATAGTTTTTTTACATCAGCATATAACGAACGCATTATGTGAATTTACCCTAGTGTGTTTACTCAATTGACGCTCGTGTTGACTCGTGTCAATGCTCATTTACTAAATCCGAAATCAAAGGTGACAAATATATCTTGTTGATTGACTCGTTTTTTTCACATTATCTGCAAAAAGGGCATGTACTAGAATATAGACGATAGACGGTAGATGACAAACGATGAACGGTAGATGAATGATTTTGTGATGGAACTTAATCACGAATTCATAAATTGTAACGCAACCGCGTGAATGTCACATTAATCTTTATTTGCTACTTTCATTGTTTGCCTTTTGCCAGGTGTTGTGTATACTATTCTACGCTCTCTTAAAGTTTCCCAATGTATCGTAGATTAGAGTTTTTACTGGATTCGAACCTCTTTCATCTTAACCTCTTTTGTTAATCCTCTCATTTACCACTGGCGACAAAAAGAGCTGAGGAATTTCGTATTTGGCTCTAGAGCCCAGGTTGCGCATTCTGAAAACCAATGAATATGACAGGAAGAATCTAAGGAAACCCATTCAAAAACATTACTGCTACTCGTTTTAAAATTGTGTGAAAATAGCATAGGTATAGATATAGCTCAGTTACTAATGAGATGTGATACCGCTGACAGTACAATGATGCACAACTCGGCGACACTCGACCGATATGCTCCGACTGTTGAATGCAACGTAACGGTCAAGGTGTCGGTCGAGTGTCGACCGACATACCGACAAGGTATCGACCAACGGTCTACCAACTTGAATGACTTGGCGAACGACAGTCGGCCGGCTATCGGTCGACTTGCTGACCGAGTATGGGCCAAGTATCGATCAACACTCGGTTGAAATGTCGTCCGATAGTTTCCGTCGATACTCAGCCGACAGATATTTAAGTACCCATGATCTCGCAATTTGAGGACTCACCAACGTCCTCAGTGAATCATTCCGCAAAGTTCGTACGGATCCAAACAACATCTGCATCGTAAATTCATGGAAATTTTTTTCGAAAAGCCGGCATGAAAAAAATCTCGTACGGGATTTGAACCTATGACCTCTGCGATACCGGTGCATCGCTCTACCAACTGAGCTAACAAGCCAACTGGGAGCTGATCATTATGTTGGTTCCAAATAAACCCGTAAAGACCTGAATTTTTTTCAGGCCTTATTTTTACAACTGACCAAGTAGTGTTCATTACTGCGAAGATCACTTTCAAATTCACGTCTTCATCCGCAGTTTAAATATATATCTTTCATAAATATACAGCCGTTTATTAACCACTTCACGGGTTTGTTTGGAACCAACATAATAACCAGCTCCCAGTTGGCTTGTTAGCTGAGTTGGTAGAGCGCTACACCGGTATCGCATAGGTCATGGGTTCAAATCCCGTACAGGCCTGAATTATTTTTTTCAGGCCTTATTTTCATTACTGCTCAAGTAGTGTTCATCACTGCGAAGATCACTTTCAAATTCACGTCTTTATCCGCAGTTCAAATATATGACTTTCATATAATCACGGCCGTTTAACAGAAACGTTGTTCACATGCGATGTATATTCAATACTTGTTGGAAAATTGAGAGGAGTCAATAGTTTCGTCCCTCGTCTATGAAGATAAAAGTCTTCATGTGAAATTGGATTGCTTACTGATTGATTATTTCACGATAGATTTGTCATCGACAATTATCGGAAAACCACTCTTTGAAAACGAATTAAACTTATGTGGCCCGAGTAGAATATTTTAGCTTGTGGCATACTAATCTGGGCAACGAGAAGTCATCGCCATGCAATTAATGTCGAATGAAGAACCATGTGCTCATAAAATGTTTTACATATATCATAAATCTCTTATTTACCATCTTTGTTATTTTTTGAACGTTAAGCAGAACTATGTATTACATGCAATTCGATAAATTAGAGACGAACATTATTGCATTCATTTCGTTTTAAAGCAAATTTTAATGCGGGATCTGTTACATATGTGTAACTGGGGCAAATAACTAAATAACCTCCTACCTGGTAAAAATGTCCTCTCTTCAACCTAGTCTCATTTAGAGCCAGGCTCACAAGCCGGTGTTAAGGTGTCACGAGCTGCTTTCTTTTTATAAATACAAACTTCCTCATTTCGCTTTTTCTCGAAAAGTAAATCAATGGATTAACAAGCGAGTTTAACATGATTTTATTGCTCCTAAAATTCCAATTGAGAAAGCAATGATCCAAAATACTAACACTGCCATGTTAATGATAGTTTTAGTCATCATGTTTGAACATTGCATCGTAAATTTGGTTGCTATGACCATCTCGAAAATATATACCTTCAACCTTCAGATGAAGGCATGAAGCAGCCATTGATATAAACATTACATCGAGATGAACTTTTTCAACTGTTTACTGCTACTAAGACCCAGTAGTTGGAATGTCCTCCATAGAACGATGGCTGGCAAGGGACACCTGTCAATGCGTCAGTCACCGCTAAACAGGTCAGGAAGATGTTGTTGTTGGTTCAGAGTCGAGGTCTTGTTTTCACAGCATTCATCACAAGGACGTTGAGCAGAACTGTGAGAGGACATGTGGTGGTGTTGATGATGATGGTGATAATATAACTTACCTAAGGTGAGACATTTGCATAACTAATCATCCTTGCGGCGTTTGCTTGCTCAGCAAGGTTTGATATTTTTAGTTGGATGCCTCGCTAATGAAGATCAACTGAAATTTTTGATCAATACGTGGAATTTTTGACGGCTTTGATCGCGTTGCTCTACGCTGGGGTGCATGTGTTTCCTCTTAACTTTTTCTCACACATTAAGTACAGTAATTCTTAATTACTGCGGCTTTCAGTTTTTTCCGCCATGGTGAGTTGAAGAGCAACTCAAGTTCAGAGATGGACTAGTTGAATATTATCTTTTGTCTGGGCCATTTGATTGACCGCCACTTTCATTTTCATGTGCTTTCACTTAACTTTTTTCTCGCGGATCTTCAAGAAGACGAAAGCGCACAAAATTTCGAAGCGGAATTGCATCACGTTGTAGCGTAGGAAGTTTCAGAAATTATTCTATGGTTTCACTGTTTTACATTGTGGACACGGCCGTCTAAGCGTATTTTGAACTTTTTGATTTTTCGGAGAAAGCAAAGTGTGGTAAAGCTTTGCGATAAAATATCTTTAAAAGGTTCCTCAAAAGGGTCCTTCAGGAAAAATTAAATACATTACGAAGTTTTGCTATTGTCGGCAAATTCTCTATATTTATGGTCAGTGGCTCTTAATTTTAATCTTTCCTCTTAGCTACCAAAAGTTATATTTTGCGATTCCGAACCAAATTAAGAACTTCATCAATCATTTAACCGACTATCCAAGGTAGATGTCACTTTTAAGGAAACAGGGAGTCTAAAGGCTTCTTTTGAAAACGATTGATACGTTCGCGAGAAAAAGTCAAGTGGAAGCAACTGAACATGATAGTAACAGTCGACCAAACCACACGAATATACAGAATATAATTGAAAAAATCGATATATGAGATTGAGTTAATCCACATTAGCATTAGAAGTCACCATGGCAACACAATTGGCATCCTTATTAACTAATAATTTGAAATTGGTGTACCTCATGCGCGTGGAAAAGTCAAGTAGAAACACATGTACAAAACAAGTGTTTAAAACATCTACATGTGAGATCCAACACATCGATCAGAAGGTGCGTCTGACCTTAGTTGGTATCCAAGTCATCCTACATGTATCAGACATTTTGAGGCTCAACTTTGAAACGTTACCAAGATGGCTAGTACTGCAAACGCCGCACTAGAGGTTAGTTACATCATCACTATCATCATCAATAGCATCACTTTTCCCTTCACAATTTTTCTCAACGTGCTGGTGATAATGGCCGTAAAAACGAGACCACGACTCCGAACAAACAGCAATATTTTACTGGCCTGCTTAGCGGTGACGGACGCTTTGGCCGGTGTCCTTGGACAACCGTCTTATATCCTGTGGAAGATATTCCTTTTACTCGGTCTCAGCTCAAGTGAAACAGTTGGAAATTTCAATATCACTGTTAAGGCTACTTTGGTGGTTGCTTCATGCCTTCATCTGATGTTGGTAACGTTCGAAAGGCTCATAGCGATCAAATTTACGATGCATTACTCAAACATTGTAACTCAGAGTACCATTAAGATAGCAGTAGTATCAGTTTGGATTATCGCTTTCACAGCAGTAAATTTAAGATTGTTGAAAATGTATGTATTAGCACGTTCCATATGTGGCTTTCTGATTATTTCATGCATCGTTTTCGTTGCCTTCACTTCGATGATTTTGTTTCATGAAACCTGTCGTCACCAAAGGAAGATAAAAGCACAGAAACTGCCCCAAGAAGAAGTGAAAAGATTTACCAAAGAGAACAAAGCGCTTAAGACAACTGTGTTGGTAGTTTGTGCTGTTACTGTCTGCCTTCTTCCTGTTGCTTTCGGTCCAATCTCTTTAGTTGCAGGCTTTCATTATATTTCAGCTATCATGAAACCATGGTGGCAAACATTTCCCTTGTTAAACTCGCTCGTCAATCCACTGATTTACTGCTGGAGACAAAAAGAAATAAGAATGTTTGTATTTAGAATAAGAAGCCAGGTTGGTCATGCAGCTAATAATGAGTGATGTGGAGAACAAATCTTAAACAATCTTGAGCAATTTAATGTTACGACAATAAATGACATGCAAACATCGCTTTCTTCTCATTTCAATTTTAACTCGCATGAGTTTTATTTATAGCTCTATAGGGTTATGTTACCCGTATTTTCCATCCACTCATTACAATAAACTTCTCAGCGACTCTGTTTTGGAGAAAATTAAAGCGGCATATTTTAAGTAAAGGAAGTGAAATTTTGCTGCATATCAAACCTGATTCTCACAATATTCAGTTAAAAAGAATCACATATCCTTGCCAGGAGTGATATTTACTTAGTTTTTATGCATTTATGCACCTCTGAGGAAGCAGGTTAAATCATATTCTCTTTCGTTTCATTAGAGTGTCAATGAGAAAATCAGGCCGGAACAGAGGCGATGAGTAAAAATTAGCATTACTTTTTGCTTTGTTCATTTGACAAATGGGAGAACCACCTGGAAATCTAATCTGCTTGATTATTCAATTGATTTATTCAGATTTGAAGCAGAAAGAGCTCTCTAAAATCTTTGGTCAGATTTCTTCCCCTCTCTCTCCTTGTAGTCCGAAAAAGGCCCTAAATCTTTAAAGAGAAACCAACTCATGCCATAATTGCTAGCTGGATAGTGCGAGCCATCAGAACAGTATTAAAAGTTTTGGGGAACTGATTGATTTCTTCTTGGGAACGTGATAGGCCAACACAATTGTAATACAACTCTTTCGAGTGATATGTCATGGAATATCCTACGAGTCACCTCTATTTCCTCGAATAACACGAATCTCTATGATGAAACGACAAAGGTAGCTATCCAGTTTAAGTGGAGGAATTTCGGCCTGGTGTTTTTTCTTTGGTTTCTTTTCTTTTCAAAGAAAATATCAACTTCCTGATCAATCAGCAGCGTCTTTTTTGTTAAATACTCATTTTTTGCTTTGTTTTGGACCTCAGAATTAATGTCGAGGGAAACATTTGGCTCTGACATGGCTAAAGATAATCCGACCCAAGGATTGGAATATCCAGGACATACAAGTGCTGGCAAAGAAGACAAGTTAATGTATCAGTCACCGCTAAACAGACCGGCAAGAATATTTCTTTGGTCAGAGACTCATTAATCGATATTTAATGTCCTATTTTAATTTATAAATCTATGCTCTAATTTCAATTACGCGGTTTCGCTGGAAATTATTTTAAATAAGTCAATATTTTGAGGAACCAAAAATACCTAATACGAATTAATATTTTACAGGCGAACTTTATGAATTGAGGTATATCGCAGAGCATTTTCACTATTAAAGTGACCTCTCAAGATCATTTTTTATACAAAATTTACAATTTTGGTGACTCACAACCTCACTCATTGCTAATAGTGTTGTCAGAAATTGTTTAAGAGAAAATTTCTTTTTGGGTCTCGTGTAAGGATATTATGGAAAATTATTTGTTTATCGTGGTTTTATACAGTAATGAACGTTTGATCTTTTGTCTCACGATGTAAATCGTAATTTAGCGAATATAGAAAATAAATTTCAGCTAATCAAAAATTCTTGTTTCTATTTGGGCTCTGAGTCTTGCCAAAACATTTAATCACTGACCTCAAGTAGGAATCCTTTAAGACATCCAATCAGTGGGAACTTTTCCATTGCGATACCTATCGTTCTACGGTCAGCGGATCATAAAGGTCGGACGTTTTTTCCTGAGCTCCGCCATTTTACTCAGTTTTCTTCTTATTATTTGGCTCAAAAATGTATTCTTTGGTCATCTAACTTCCGGAATAGTTCTCTCCGAGCAAGAAAATACCTCTGCCTTTTCTCAAGAGAAGTGGCATAGTGGAATCCGTGGTTCTTATGTCTCTATGCACTCATGTGGTCGGAGGTTTCTTGCCGCTCGAATTCCGTTGTGTCCTCGTTTTCCTTTCAAAGCAAAAGTATTGCGTTGCTGTCGTTTGAATATGAGGTCATTACCTGTACACCTGGATGAAGTAGGTACTTTGATTCTCCTAAACAATCTAGATGTTTTTGCTGTAAGCGAAACCTGGTTCGCCAAGACAGAAAAACGACCGTTGCATCTAAAGCTCCACATGGTGGTGGTGTCGCAATCTATGCTAAACCACGCTTCACTGCCGAAGAATGACATTTTCAAATGAAACGCACATAGAACACATATGTTTATAGCTCAGGCAGCGTGTAGTATTAGCAGCGAATCGTAATCTGGAGAGAATAACTACGCAAACAACTTTTACACAGCAACAATACAAAAGAAGCTTTTATGAAAACGCTTATTGCGCCCTAATCAAACGGGTATCCCTCGTGCACAACCCATAACTCAAAATTAATCAAAAAGTGATTCAAATCATTTTAGATTTTACACATATCAATAAATGTGTTCTTCAGGTCCAAAATGGTTAGGCCTCTTTAATGCTTAGGGGTTGCATTCAATAGTATTATCGCCATGAGAGTAGGATCATGTGCGTGGCTACCATAGAACCAAAGACCTGACTGTTATAATCCAAACATTAAATTCAAGTCTTAATAAGAAAGATTGTTATGGAAGTTCTCTTTGTCGTTATTTATTTTTCTAGGCACATAATGAATAAAAGAAGGACAAAAATATTCATGAAACCATAGCCTCCACAAAAGTTATAGCGCTTCTTTTGGGGAGCAAAATGTTTTTCTGAAAATTCAATTTTTGTTTAGTGCGATGAATAATATGAAAACACTTTGGACAGGGTGACCGTTAAAACCTTTCGTGTATTAAAATTATATAGAATTTCCGGCGTTTGAGTGGATACGAATTAGCCGGAAATGAAATATTTCTACTGCACAGGAGCAGTAGGGACTGGGGCAGTTGAAGTGCAGCATGGGTAGAATGGAGTGCTACAAAAGGGATGTTTATTACGTGGGAAAGCATTTTAGGCCGACACCTCCTCTTGCTCACATTATTTTTTAGTATATATTTGATTTACTAGTGAAAGTTCGAGTTTCACAAGGGTTTCTTGGCTTGTTTGCGTTTCCTAAAATTATTTAGAGTTTTCCGTGCTTTGTCGGATTACATGTTTAGTAAATAAGGGCAAAGACCTTCCAGCCGTCTAGCCTTCGTAGGATGGTTTCTCTAATTCATGTGTACTGCATAGTGGAGCCGAAACTCTTTTCTTTCCTCAAGTCATTTTAATCAAATCCTATTGAAGCTGCCGTAAGTAGGCTTCTTGAAAGTTGGAAATCTTCAATGTGCTTCGGTGTGGCAATTTTGGTTTGATTTCGCATCGCCGGATTATGTTAAATAATGCTTTCATTGTGTCCCAGCCGTAGTTAGGGGGAGCTTAAAGCTTAAAATTTAAAATTTAATCAAAAATGTTCACTTTCTTTTATTAAAAGATCGCACGTAATCGTTCATGCTACGTAGCATATTCAGCATGCGCACGTATAATTTTATTTTGAGCAAATTACAAAGTCAGTATTGTGTTTTAAGAGGCGAACTTTAGATATTTTTAATGCCTGCGAGCTGTAGTTTTAAAGCAGGCACGAGAAAACTATTCGAAAAGCATTTGCAACACTGAATTAAAATCTCCCTATGATTTCATCAAACATATAAATTTCCCAATTTCTCAGACTTCGTCGTTTATGCAGTGACGACTCTGATTTTTCCGAAAAATCAGAGGCAATGTGCCAGTTTTTCGATAAACGTGGCTATCCTGTTTCTGTCCTCCAAGCGGGCCACCACCGTGCCCAACAAATTAATCGACAGTCAGCACTAGAAACGGCTGTTAAGGAAAACACTGACCGCATTCCATTCACTCTTACATTTCACCCCCACAACCACGCGGTTGAATCTATTATTTTTAAAACTTTAGATTACTCCAAAACTATTCAGAAATTGGCACTATCTTTTCGCAACTCCCACTTATTTCATTCAAACGTGACAAAAACATAAGCAACTTTTTGGTCAGAAGTTCATTCCAAACCAATGACCAATCTGGAACTTTCAAATGCGCTCGCTCACGTTGCAAAACTTGTCCTTTCATTTACAACGTAGAGAAATTATCGGTACCCAAGAGATCTATTAGGATCACTGATCACTTTACGTGTACCTCCGCCAATGTTATTTAATGCATAACATGCACTTATTGTTATAAGTTATACATTGGCGAAACAGGAAGACGACTAGGTGACCGATTCCGAGAACACTTTCGCGACGTAAAAAGAAATGAAAAAGACGCATCCAAACCAGTCGCTAGACGCTTTAATCTCCCCAACCATTCAAAACAGCATATGGCAGTTTGCAGCCTTTCCTTACATCTAGGCAGTTCGGAAAGCCGCAAAACACAAGAACAAAAATTTATCTTCCAAATCGGCACCCTTAATCCCCACGGAATCAGCGAGCGCTTTTCATTCAACTAATTTATTCCTGTTTTCTCTTCACCATATTCCTACCAATAGCGTAGCTCCACTTTCAGCATATAAACTCACCCACAACTCACAATTCCTCCAATCGCTCTGACGAAGGGCTAACGCTCGAAACGTCAGCTTTTTTACCCTTTACGGTGGCCAATTTACGTTTTCAACTCAGTTGTTAACACTAAATTACCTGCTACACTCTTCCACCGACGCAGCACCACAGTTTCTTTAGAAACTTACCCCCTTTAATATTAAACGTTGTTCAATTACGTTCTTCGGGGTTTGTAACTAAACTTATCCGAGTTCAGATTGACTTGGGAAGTAAGCATATGATCTGTGGTCGTATTCGGGATTTTGACTCTATAGAATTACCCCTCTTTTAGTCGATGCACTGCCTGGTTCTCATTCTCGATACAAGCTTCCTCATCAGTTGTTTAATCCAGAAGTGAATCAATGGGTTAACAAGCGAGTTTAAAATTGCCGTTTTTTTCCACACTTCTTCCGTGTTTGGGAAAATAGCATATGTCTTAAGCGCCCTGTTTTCTTTGTTTCATCTTTCCACTTCTTTTTGGTAGGTTCCTGTGCTTTTATCTTCCTTTGTTGCTGTTATGCGAAGTCGTCCATTGAACAAGAACAACTGGTTGTAGATGCAAAAAGTGTCATCAACCAAATTCATTTGGAACCTTTCAGCTCCGTTCAAATCTTGCGCGCGCTTTGTGTTCAGTCAATCGCTGAGAAAAAGTAAAACTGTAATGTAAAATGCCACAATGATTCTGGCTATGCATGCTTGAAATGGCATCTTGTGCGAAAGGGCAGGTGATAACGAAGTTATCTCGACATGAAGAGTTACCAGATCTGATAATTATGCGATCATGATTGACACTATATTTCTTTTCTATACTTCATAATGTGTTTCAAGAGACAGATTGGAAGTTCCTGATGTGTTTTCAATCTTTGAAATAATGATAAACAAAAACCAACAACAAAAACCTCTGACAGGCTCTGTAAAAGGTAGTATATCAGTTTTTTGCTGCAATAACAACCGTCCTCAAGCGCGCTCAATATGTATTCTTATTTTTGTTTTTTCAATCTCTTGTCCTGTTTTACGAAATGTATCGTGGAAGAAACAGGCGTTTGGCTCATGAACGTCATACAAAGAATAAAACCATGGCATCGAAGATGGGACGAGTGTCAAGTAAATTGATATTTTTGATGAAAATCTTCGTGAACGAACTAAAAGAAAAGAGCTTAAACTCACAAATGATATTTTTGACAATGAAAGACAGATATGCAAATAACTGACTTTAAATTAAGCCCAGAAAACCAAAGAAAGATGTCAAATAAAACATGGGAGATCCGTGCGTCGGGTTTTGTGACGGCGAATTCAACTACATTCGATTTTGGCTGGGTTGATGCCATGAAACTGACTCATTATTGTTGGATTTATAGCCATTCCCAATAGATTTTGAATTTTCAAACGAAATGATTATGACACATTGCATGGGGATGCAAAGCAAAATACTTTCAATAATTTAAAATTAGCAGAATGGAAATTCAGACTTCGAAACTGACCTTCAGAATGTATTTTATATTTCAACAACGGAAAAACTGAAATTCGTCTGTAAACTTAAATAAAAATAAGTTGTTAAATATTATTGTGTAGATGTGTAGGCATACACATCTGAAACAAGAAACTTAGAGTTGAATTAATCATACAATTAGAAATTGAAATACGTAAGAAAATATCAAGTTAAGCCACATGCACACTAAAATGGGGCTAATGGATCAAAGCCTCCGAAAAACATTTAAAATTCTAACTGATACAAACTGAGCGGTCGATATCAATAACGTATCAAACTAAACACATCAAACTTCTTCGAGCTTCATTTGCGAACGCTATAACTATGACCAGCACAGAAGGCGACACAGTAATTGTGCCTCTGGAGGTTAACTTCATGATCAGTGTTATCATTAACAGCATCACCTTTCCTTTCACAGTTCTGCTTAACGTGCTCGTAATTATAGCCGTCAAAAAAAGACGACGACTCCGAACTAACAGCAACATCTTGCTGGCCTGTTTAGCGGTGACTGACGCATTAACTGGTCTCTTTGGTCAACCGTCATATGTCCTTTGGAGGATATTCCTAATATTTGGCCTCGGTGGCAGTGAAATACTTAAACAATTTAACATCAGTGTTATGTCTACACTTTCGTCTGCTTCAAACCTTCATCTGATGTTGGTTACTTTCGAGAGGCTCATAGCGATCAAATATGCGATGCACTATTCAAACGTTGTAACTAATAACAAACTGAAGATAGCGGTGTTAGCAATTTGGATCATTGGTTTCGTGTGTGGTACTTTAGTTGCGTTAAAAATGTACCTGGCTATGCTTTATATCGGAAGCCTCATCACGATTTCATGTATCGTGCTCGTTGCCTTCGCATATGTGATTTTGTATCATGAAACCTGCCGTCATCGAAGGAAGATAAAAGCACAGCAACTGCCCCAAGAAGAAGTGGAAAGATCTATCAAAGAGAACAAAGCACTTAAGACAACAGTGTTTGTAGTTGGTGCTATCATTGTGAGCCTTCTTCCGCTTTGTTTCTGTCTCATCGGTACAGCTACAGACCTCTTTGATACCTGCCCCATCGATGAACCAATTTGGAAAACTTGCAGCATGTTAAACTCGTTTGTTAATCCATTGATCTACTGCTGGAGACAAAACGAAATGAGAAAGTTCGTACTTAGAATAATGAAGTAGGGCAATATGACAGAAAAACTAGAAAAAAACCTGTTTATGTAAACTTTAAACTCACTCGATAAACAAACTCCTTAGTTATTGCTCTATATCCTAATCGTATCAGTAACTTGTGACACGAAACCTCTGAAGGCTGAGAGTTTATTTTCAAACTCAGTTCTGAAGTCTTAAATTGAAGTTATAGCTTAAAGTTACCAGGGAAGTCACGTTATTTTCTTCGCATTCCTAAGAGGTATATTTAAACATCGCCTCAATACCTGAGAGGCGGAAACCCCATGTCAGCCGTACTTATTTATATCAGGCATTACCGCGAAATTATTAGCATGTATCAATAAATATATCAGTTAAGGGGAAAGTTATCTCAAGAGATGAGTTCAATTTTTCAAAGGGTTAATGATTCTCTTTTCAATTTATTAATGATACTTTTTATGAACCCGAAAGCAGCCCTTGAACAAGATAGTAGCCCTTAAAAAAGATATTAAGTTATTCTGATAATTTTTCCGAAAAAAAGGGCAAATGAAATCAGAAATTGAAATGAGAGAAAACATATGTTAAATTAGACTTTGAAAATCAGTTTATCAGTCTCTCCAAGATATAGACATCTCTTATGCTTCGAGAATTGCCAACTTCTGCATACATAAAGTGAGGATTAGGCAATTTCCTCAAGCCAGAAAATGCTGATCAATGGTAACTAGTAAATTTCCTTTGATGTGATTCAAACAAACGAAACAGCGGAATAAAAAAGGGAGAATCCTCATGCAATGCAAACCCATAACTGCAGAGAGTAAACTAAATAAATTCCACTCCTGGAGTGAATATTAGCTTCTCTTCAACTACGTTTTAAAAATCAGATTGTGTATGCAAACTTTCAAATCAAACATTCCTGAACATAGCACGAAATATATACAATTGTAGTTAAAGAGAATTTCGTTGACTGAGTGCAAGGACACGGGTCAGCAGAGTGTACATGAATAATCATCGAGGCTTTCCACCTCTCCTCCTTATTTCTCTCTTTCACATGATGGCTGGATGCACGACTTGGGTTCTTATTCTAAATAAAAGCTTCCTCGTTTCTTTTTGTCTCTAGCATTAAAACAGTGGATCAAAAAGCAGTTTAACATAGCAAATGTTTGCGTCAGTACTTCGTTGATAGGACAAATATTAGAAAGGCCTGTAGCTAAAACGACCAGAAAGAAGCCAAGTAGGAGTAGGCAGACAAAAAAAAAAACACCAACTACAAACACAGTTGCCTTAAGCGACTTGTTCTCTTCGGTTAATATTTCCATTTCCTCTTAGGGAAGTTGCTCCACTGTTATCTTCCTTTGGTGTCGACGCGTTTCATGATACAAAATCAGAATAGTGAAGACAACGAAAACGACACATGAAACAGTGGCAAGGCCTGCCATCTATAGAAGCAGTACTAAATGCACTAAAACAGGCTGTAAACCCGGCACAAGAGGGCAATGATCCAAACTACAAAAAGTGCTATCTTCATGTTATTATTAGTTACACGTCCTAGTGGCATAAAGTCAATTTGATCGCCATGAGACTCTCGAAAGCAACCAAAATCAAATAAAGGGATGAAGCCATAATTAATACTGCAATAAAAGTACAATGGACATTTTCAACTATGACAATGCTTCTGAGATCAAATAATAGGAACAGTCTCCACAGTATGTACGATGGCTGGCCAAGGAAACAGGCCAGCAAGAGGTTGCTGTTGGTTGAGGGTCGTGGTCTTCTCTTTACGGCCATTATCATCAGTACGTTGAGTAGAGCTGTAAAGGGACAACTGACAGTGTAGATTATGGTAACAATGACATAATTCACCAGAACAGGATTATTTGCTATGTTGCCCTCTGTACTGGTTATGTTTGAAGCGTTTGTTAACCTCGCCTAAGAGAAGTTTTCCGTGTCGAGTGGGAAGCTTATTACAAGTCAATGAGATCCCATTGATTTTTATCTAATATTTACTACTGATTTTGACTTTGATCAACCGCTAAAATAAAGTGCTTATATTTAAAAACGAAGGGAGAAAAAAGCTGAGGAAATCTGGTCATTAAACAGTAAGCAGTTTCAGCATCAACTTAGAATGACCTCTTGGCCCATATTTTATATAATTATAACAGTTTATTAAACTCTCTTGCAGTAACTTACTGAATTAACGAGTTATAATGCAATGAAAAGTTAATAAAATCAACTATGTACATTTCTGTGTATATTAAGTATCAATTATGTGCACCACACCAGAACATGCATCACATTTGATAAAAATAATTAAAAGTGAAAAGGTCTTCGGTGCGCTTCGTTCTACAAGTAGTAACGTTTTTGTAAAAGTACAGCTGGTCTGATTTGTGCATTAGGGTGTAGGGACAGATATCGTCTAGGCGTTTTGGTAGAAGAGGATGAAGATGGTGGTTTAAGTCCTTCATCGAACTCACGATAGAGAACCTCTGAGTTCATATAGAAGAGTCCGTCATCAAGTTGCTCAAAAAAAGACAAAAATTTGAAGAATCGATATATGAGATTGAGTTATCCACATAATGCTTTAAATTCACCCTAACCAATCAAATTAACGTATCAATTGAAGAAATGGTAATTACTACAATTTATGCAGGAGAAATTCTCAAGTTGATCAAAGTATTCAAAAAAATCTTAAATCCAAACATATTGATCCATAAGGTTCAATTGATCTCTATAAGGAATCCAACTCAGCAAATCACGTTTCTGTGCTTTTCTTTTAAAAACTCTAAAGATGGTAAGCAACGAAGGTGACAGAGTAAATGTCCCACAAGAGGTTAGTTACTTTATCACTATTATCATTGACAGCAACACCTGCCCATTCACAGTTCTTCTTAAGGTGCTGGTGATAATGGCCGTGAAAACAAGACCAACAAATACATCTTGCTGGCCGGTTTAGTGGTGCCTGACATATTAACTGGTCTTCGTGGCCAGCCATCATACATCCTTTTGGGGATATTCTAACTGTTAGGTCTCAGTACCAGCGAAACAGCTGAAAATTTGCATTTCAATTTCATGAATTTTTATTTCTCTACTTTGGACGCTTATGCCTTCATCCAATGGTGGTTACTTTTGAGAGGTTTATCGCCATCAAAATTACGTCGCACTACCCAAACAGTGTCACTGATAAGAAAATAACGATAGCACTGATTGCAGTTTGGATCATTGCCTTCGTGTGTAGAATGTTTGAGGCCTTAGAGATGTATCTAATATTTTATTCTAAAGCAAGCCTTGTCGCTATTTTGTGAATCGTTTTCGTTGCCATCGCATATGTGATTTGATATCATTAAACGTGTCGACATCAAAGGAGGATAAAAGTACAACAACTGCCCCAAGAGGAGGTAGAAAAATTTACCAAAGAAGACGAGGCGATTATGACAACTGTGTTTGCAGTTGGTGCTGTTATTGTCGGCCTTCCTCAAGTTTCTTTGTGTCTCATCATTTTAGCTACAGGCCATTGTAGCTTGTGCCCCATCAACGGACCAATGTGGCGATTCTTTGCCATGCCACCCACACACAACCCCGAATTCCTCCAATAGCTCTGACAAAGGGCTAACGCCCAAAAAGTCAGCTTTTGAGCTCTTTTCGGTGGCCAACTCAGTTGATAATACTAAATTAGCATGCTAAACTCGTATGTAAATCCATTGATCTACCGCTGGAGGCAAAAAGAAATGAGAAAGCACGTTCTTACACCTTGTACAGGAAGAACCCAGCTCGTGCATCCAGCCATCCAGCAAAGAAGGAGAATATGGCAGAAAGACTGAAAAAAAAGGTCCTTGTCGTTGGTTTACGTGACAATATATTTTCTGTTAGGAGTGTTGATTCGTATATTGCGCGCAAAATCTGATTCTTAAAAGGACTATTTGAACCCACGGAAAAAAATCTTTGCAAGAAGGGTACATCTTTAGTAATAAGCCTCAGCCTATTTTTTCTTTAGCAAAAAGAGCTACAGAGTAATGATTGCAATTGAGTTTTTCTTATATTTGTTTTAGATACGTAGAAATGTTTCGTTCTTGTCTCATGGTCGACATAGGAATTAGGTAATTGAATTGAAATCTCCTTATGATTTCATCAAACATATAAAGCATTGACAATGCTGGAGGACCTGTATTGACATCACCATACTCCCGTCAATATTTAACGTTGTTCAATTAAGTTCTTCGGGGCTGTAACTAAACTTATCCGATTTCAAATTGACTTGGGGAGTTACCCTCTTTTAGTCGATGCACGACCTGGTTCTCATTCTCGAAACAAACTTCCTAAGCGCCCTATTTTCTTTGGTTCATCTTTCCATTTCTTTTTAATCGGTTCCTGTGCTTTTATCTTCCTTTGTTGCTGTTATGCAAAGTCGTCCACTGAACAAGAATAACTGGTTGTAGATGCTAAAAGTGTCATCAACCAAATTCACTGGGAACTTTTCGGCTCCTTTCAAATCTTGCGCACGCTTTGAGTTTAGTCAATCGCTGAGAAAAAGTAACGTTGTGATGTAAAATGCCATAATAATTCTGGCCATGCATGCTTGAAATGGCACCTTGTGCTAAGGGGCAGGTGATACCAAAGTTATCTCGACATGAAGAGTTACTAGATCTGATAATTATGTGATCATGATTGACACTATATTTCTTCTCTATATATAATAATGTGTTTAAAGAGACAGATGAGAACTTCCTAATGTGTTTTCAATCTTTGAAATAATAATAATAAAAAACAAAAACAAAAACCTCTAACAGGCTCAGCAAAAGGTAGTGTATCAATTTTTTGATGCAATATTAACCGTCCTCAACCGCGCTCTACATATTTTCTTTTTTTTTTTTTTTTTTTTTTAACCTCCTATCCTGTATTATGGAAGAAACAGGCCAAGTATAAAACTATGACATCGAAGAAGAGACGGGTGTCGAATAAATTGGTATTTTTTGATGAAAATCTTCGTGGACGAACCTAAAGAGGAATAATATTCTTGACAATGAAAAACCTAAATGCAAATAACTGACTTTAAATTAAGCCCATAAAACCAAAGTAAGATGTCAAATAAACTAACAGCTAATACTTTTCTTCTAATATAGTTTTTTAATTAGGATAAGAAGCCATGTAACTATAAATATCTATATGTTTGTGTTGGGCGAATCAATTTCCTAAATAACAAGGTATATGAAGAAACGAGTAGGCTACTATAAGTTACAGAGACCACTTCAATGGGCTGAAACCATTTTTGACCCAGTGATTAACAAAAAGTCGGCAGTGATTTTAATTATTTTGGATTAAGAATGATATCTGGGCCGAGCTTGAAGGAGAATCATTTGATAAGGCGGCGAAGAAAGTTGCCACGTAAGCTTCTTTTGTGGTGTTGTCCTGTAAATATGGACTGAGAAGTTATTCTTAGGAGGTGCTTAAACTACTTACTATTCAAAGCTTAGCTTTTCGCTGCCTTCTACCTTCTCGTACAAGAATAATAATAAATAATCTGTTGAAAACATTAATTTTAGCGATAGATCAGATACAAAACAGCAATAGAAGTCATGAGTTCATCTCACAGACTTAGAAGACTTACAATAATCTACCAACTCGACATGGTGAATTTTTCAAAGCTTAGCTTTTCGCTGCCTTTTCACTTTTAGTGCAAGAATAATAATCTGTTGGAAACATTTGCACATTTATTTTAGCGATAGATCAGATACAAAACAGCAATAGAAGTCAAGAGTTCATCCCAAAGACTTAGTTGACTTACAATAATCTACCAACTCGACATGGTGAATTTTTCTTTGGCTAGTTTTAGAAACGCTTTCAGACTGATAAAAAATTTCTGATGCCCCATTTTATATTTACAAATGTATCCGCTAACGTTCTGATAATTTTCCTAAACAGAATCAATATTTTGAATAATCAAAAATACAAAAATCAGAATTAGGAGTTTATAGGAGAGCCTCATAAATTGTTGAATGCCTAATCAGTAGTGCTGTTAGCTTCATAAAGAGTTTCATTTGTCATAGGGAAAGTACATCGTAAAGCATTTGCGCTATTGAACAAATCTCTCGAGATAATTTCCCCCTTCAATATTACCACGATAACGTAATTAAAATATTGCTGATAGCATTTTCGAAAGTGTATGATTGTTTATCAGATATGCATACCATCAATTGTAATACGGCAGACATGGGAGATCCGTGCGTCGGGTTTTGTGACGAATTGAACTACATTCGATTTTGGTTGGGTTGATATGTCATGAAACTCTCTCATTAATGTTAGTTTTATAGCCATTCCCAACAGATGTTGGAGTTCCAAACGCCATGAATGTAACACATTGCATGGGGATGCAAAGCAAAATACTTCGTGCGACAACGGCTAAATTTTCAATAATTTGAAATTAGCAGACTGGAATTCGGACTTCGGAACTGACCTTCCGAATGCATTTTGTATTTCAACCATGGAGAAACTGAAATTGTTCTATAAACTTAAATAAAAATAAGTCGTTAAATCTTTAAAACACGATAAACAAGTGGCTGTGGGCATACATGTCTGAAACAAGAAACTTAAAACTGAATTAATTATACAATTAGAAATTGAAATACGTGAGAAAATATCAAGTTAAACCACATGTACACTAAAATGGAGCTAGTGGATAAAAGCCTCCCAAAAACATCTAAAATCCAGCGAAATGATACAAACTGTGCGGTTGATATCAATAACGTATCCAACTCAACACATCAAACTTCATCGAGTTTCATTTGCGAACGCTATAAGGATGACCAGCATAGATGGCGACACAGTAATATTCCCACCGAATCTTAATTACATTATCAGTATTAGCATTAACAGCATCGCCTGTCCTTTCACAGTTCTGCTTAACGTGCTGGTAATTATAGTCGTCAAAAAAAGACCACGACTCCGAACTAACAACAACATAGTACTGGCCTGTTTAGCGGTGACTGACGCATTAACTGGTCTCTTTGGCCAACCGTTATATGTGTTGTGGAGGATATTCCTAATATTTGGCCTCAGTAGCAGTGAAATACTTGAAAATGTTTGTGTCTGTGTTATGACTACACTTTCGTCTGCTTCATACCTTCATCTGATGTTGGTTACTTTCGAGAGGCTCATAGCGATCAAATATGCGATGCGCTATTCAAACGTTGTAACTCATAACAAACTGAAGATAGCGGTGTTAGCAATTTGGATCATTGGTTTCGTATGTGGTACTTTATGTGTGTTAAAATGTACCTAGCTTTGAATTATATTAAAAGCCTCATCTCAATTCCATGTATCGTGCTCGTTGGCTTCGCATATGTGATTTTGTATCATGAAACCCGCCGCCATCGAAGGAAGATAAAAACACAGCAACTGCCCTAAGAAGAAGTGGAAAGATCTACCAGAGAGAACAAGGCGCTTAAGATGATAGAAAAAAAACCGACAACAAAAACCTCTGATAGGCTTAGTAAGGTAGTTTCTCAATTTTATGATGCAAAAATTTAACAACCGTCCTCAAGCGCGCTCAACTTGTATTCTTATTTTTGTTTTTTTCAATCTCTTGCCCTATTTTACGAGATGTGTCGTGGAAGAAACAGGCGTTTGGCTCATGAACGTCATACAAAGTGTAAAGCTATGGCATCGAACATAAGATGGGTGTCAATTAAATTGATATTTTTAATGAAAATATTTGTGAACAAACTTAAAGAAGAGAGCTTAAACTCGCAAATAATCTTGACAAAGAAAAACAGATATGCAAATAGATGACTTTATATTAAGCCCATAAAACCAAAGTGAGATGTCAAATAAACCAATAGCTAATATTTTTCTTCTAATATAGTTTTTAATTAGAACAAGAAGCCATGTAACCATAACTATCGATATGGTCGTGTAAGGCGAATCAATTTCCTAAAGAGCAAGGTATGTGAAGAAACGAGTGGGCTATTACAAGTTACAGAGACCACTTAATCCATAGTGAACTGGAACGTGAATGGCTGTCAAGGGCCAACATTCTTTTGATATTTATCTTCTTGTGAGGCCATCATTGCTGCAACAAACCGCAGCAAACTCTGAAAAAAAGTAATAGTCAGTGATACCAATTCAATATCAAAAAGATGATTAAGGAAATCAAATAAAACATCAATTACAGCACAATTTGTTGATCAAATACAAAATTCTCCAACAAACCAAGATTGTTATTTTCCTGCATGTAACTTACAACATATTTTGTAACAAAATGTGAGAAATATGCAGTCAGTAATAATAAAATGGACAACCATATTTGTGGCATATTACATAGAGCATTTAATTATTAGAAAGTTAATTTGCGATGTAATTAGAGAATTTTCCCTCTTCTTCTAAGTTGCCCCATTGTGAAGAAAGGATTTTAAAGTTTTGAATTTATTGGTGAAAATTACCTTTGTCTTATGATCTCATTAATATTTGTTACAAATTCTGTACAAAATTAATAGAAATATGTGGTCACTGATGTTGCAATTGACAACCATATTCATGTGGCTTATAACATAGTTCATTATTATCGTAAACATAGAAAAAGAGACACTTTTTGGTGAGAAAACAAAAGGTATATATATTTCATGTATTTTTTTTACATGGAATTATTTCAAAACAGGTGTGTATATGTATATGTATATGTATATGTATATGTATATGTATATGTATATGTCTAGTTATATCTGAGTGAAATCACCAAAACAGACCCAAAAAAACAACAAACTCAAAGTGAATATCGCAGAAAAAAAACTTTCAAAATTGAACATTTTTAACCCCACCCCACCCCTGGCCAAAATGATTAAGTGCATGAGAAGTTATGCCATGAAGTATGAGTCTGACTATGAATTTACAGACAAAGTATTAAACAAATCCAGTCTCATAACAACTCAAAACAAGATTTCCACTTTTATGCAAAAAACAAATTCCCCGTAACTTGTAAGTCAAAAACCTACTCTACCCAATTTGCACACAAAGCCATTTGCAACCCACCCTCGGGAAGGTTGGTGGTTGGGTTGCATTTGGTTACTAGTCATAATGTTTAAAGCCCTCTGCACTTTTTTTGGCCAGGCTCATTTGAAGGTGGGCAATGCCAGCTTTCCAGTGATTAAACCTTGCAATGTCAATTGAGCTCTCTTTTCCAAAGGCATGCTTTTGACACCCAACCACCCTTCAGCCATGGAGTGTTAGCTCAGTGAGAAAGTGTTAGCCTCAGAGAAAAATGCCAGTCTAACAAAGGGTTTCAAAAATCTATCCTCTCCACCCCCTGAGGTTTCCATACAGAGTCATTTGCAAGTCACCTTTGGATTGTTTGGTGGCCAGGCTGCATGTGGGCACTAGCTTAAATATTCAATCCCCTGCATTTTCTTTCAGCAGGCTGGCTTGAAGGCAGGCAATGCCTATCTTCAACCAAAACCTAAAAATTAGGTTTTTGCAGCCTCTGCTAAGCCTGCTGCTTTGGATGTTCAACAAGCCTCCGACCACAGGGTGTTCACCTGTTAGCTAAGCTCTGGCAGGGTGTGAACTCAAATGTCAATCTTGCAACATAATGGGCATGTTTTTGCCAATGCAATCAGATATATTTGTATGTATGGACAAGTTGTATCTTTAGAACAGGAATGAAATTTGTAATTTGTGATGTATATGTATAACTACATGCAACCTGATTAGCAGTTGGGCTGGCACCCTGGTATCCATTCAAATACATACACTCTGTAACGTGTTGAAATTCTGAAAAAATATATATATATACAATTAGATTGTCAGTGAAATTATCAGCAAGCATATTTAATTTGTTGCATATCATCTAATTTGTTATTTATACATGTAGGTTGATCAGAAGAGATGTTAAGTTTACACACAATTTATACACACAAAAAATGGTTTAATAACTAATTAAAATGCACCAATTATATTATGGATTGTTGATTGCAGTATTTGGAATTTTATTGTGTCTTGTATCAGGTGGAGGACAATACAAAAAGGCTACTTAGAACAGGTTTGATTGTAGGTTTGAATGTATTATTTGCAGGTTTCCAAGAAAAAATTAGTTTGAATATCCCATTTCCTATGAACTATTGGCCTAACTATCCTGTATTCCATTAATTCCTGCAGTTTGTATCCCTAAAGTTCCAATTAGATATTCTGCAATCATCTATTTAAAATATTTTCCATTCCATTGAATTTTTCTTCAAGTATCCTGTATCTTTATAATTTTGACCTAAATATTCTCTATCTGACTGAAACTTCATTGATTGACACATATCAATCACAAACCCAACTCCCTCTATAAAAACAAAAAAAAATCCTCGCTCAAATTACTGGGCAAGAATAGATCGTTGCTGAATATGTTTGTAGCTTTTGGGTTTTTGTGGAATTTTGCATTTCTTTCTCAGCAAAACAAATGTGAGAGATTATTCAGCGTTAATTGATTTCCGGTTGGTTTTTTTGCGATAAGTCACAGATGATTGAACAATAGGATCATATTATATATTTAAAATGAGAGAGACCAGAGCGTGAGACAGAGAACGGTGAGAGAGAGAGCATGGGAGATTAAGTTGATTTTATAAAATAAAACGTGAAGTTTCGGAACATAGCCGATTCTTTAGTCTCATTTCCGACACAAAGTAGCACTTTTTATACTGTTGGTAGTGAATCAGCAGGCTTCTAAGTGGCTACTATCAGCTTTTAGATGCAGGAGACAAAGCTGGAAATAGGATTTGAAAAGCCAATAATGAATATAGGATGCAAATATCAATCAATTTAATCGATGGCTTGTCAATCAAAAGAGGCAAAGAAATGGCTGTGGTTTTATTTGATTCATCTAATATTTGATAACTTTGAGGTCAACTATCTCTCCCCGCCAGAAAGCTACGACTAATTTAATTACCCTTTATAGTCCATCATTTCATAAATTTGCGACTATGACTTGAAGCTTCTATTAACTACACTTGTCACGTAATTCTGGCTCTCAGCGGTCACTTGGGCCAATAATTAACAATTGCTTCATGCGTCAGCGTGCGTTCTTCGAGATATGAAGCACGCGGGAAGTTTGGAGAGCACGAAAGATGCGTAAGAGTTGCTCGAGGCGTAGCCTACGTCTTCGTCGACTACGTCTCGCGTTTCTCCCTACACTTCTTTCGTGCTCTAGCCGCTTCCTGCGTGCTTTATAACAGAACAGAGCATAGTCAAGGCTTCTCTATTTGTTAAATATGTTACAGCTCGTTATCCATGATGGTTGATTAAGGAAGCTAAGAAATGTGAACAATTTTCGAGTTTTTTTTTTTTTTTTTAAGGAATGGAAATTAATTTCACATCGAGAGAGATGCTTGTAGGCGAAATGTTGATGGGAAATCGTAGTGTTTCTTTTGTCGTTTGTTACTTTGGAGATTTACTAAAATCAGCAAATATGGCTTTTGTACGGCACAAAATATTCATTAGTCTACGATTTGTTACCGCTCATTTCAGGAGATTTTTAAGTCAGATGTGGAGTGTTGGTTGACATACAAGTTCCCTGTGCAACAACTTCGGCTTTTACGGCCGCGAAATTCTGCCCTCTTGCTCGAGAGAAAATACCAATAGCTCTTTTACATTAAAAAACTGTGCTATTATCCCAGAGATAAAACTAAAATAGTGTTGTCGTTGACACTTACCGCCATCGAACACTTCAATGCAGAACTCCGCCAAAACTAACATGTGCATCACGATGTGCATCGTGACCCGAATACTTTTCGCTGTTCATGCTGTCTGCTATACAAAAATTTCAGAATATTCTGAATGACTTCAAAATTTTGCGCAGAAATTTCTTATTAAAAGCTTTTAAAATAACTGTGAGAACTGTTGCGGGCTAATTGGTCGAGAGCAAAAAGAATAAAAAATTTATCCAACAAACTGATTACTACTATATGCGCTCTTTGAAGCAGAACGGAGTGGGGGAGGGAGGGAGGTTGGGGCAAGTAGGTTGGGGTACGAATGATCGATGTTCTTGATTCATAAGAAACATAACTCACAGAAAGGTTTCCGAACAAAACCGGCCAGAATCCATCTCTTTAATTTCCTTTTTTAAGCAGAGCGAAGTGAAGGAGGGAAGGGGTTTGGCACGAGTAGGTTGGGCTAGGAATGAGAACTCCTCATGCACTGGTACTCATAGTTCAGGTATATTAACGTTAGGAATATAGTGTGATGTTAAACGCCCTTAGAAATAGCTAAAGAAGGAGACGAGAAGGACACCATATCAAGAAAACGTGACATTACTGCATAATCCCATAGGAAAGTTTCCCAAAAAAGAGGAGTGTATAAAAGTGTGGTAAAAACAAGAATATTTTTATTCCCAAGCCAACTTTCTGACAATAAGCTGACTTGAAAACGATTAA